TGTAATGACAGGTGGTCCCCCTGCTGGCTGAAAATAAAAATGAAATAAATAAATAGTGGAAAAAAATAAATAATATATACTTAGATCATATATATATATTATATATATATGATCAAAGTATATATATACACATATACATACACACATGTACACCGTCTAGGTGTATTTTACTATTAATATATATATAGTTATATATATATATTAATATCAAATTACACGTACACTGATACTGATTAAATATATATATAATTATTGTTATATATATATTTATATATATTATAAAAAAAATTAAAATGAAAATACGTTAAAAAATAAAATTACAAAAATAATTAAAAATAAATAATTAAAAAATATATAGATGTGTGTTATTTCGTTCTAACTGTATTGTGAAATTAATATATATATATATATATCAAAATACACATAGAGCGAAATAATATATATATTTATACACATAAATATATACGTATATATCACTATATATATACCTATATATAAATAAAAATATTTAAAAAAAATTATATAGATATATACATATATATACACATACGTATATATATACATATATTGATTCTACATATATATTTATGTAATATTTTTACATAATTAGTTATCTTAATTAATTACAATTAGCAGGACCTGCATGACAACCCATGCCGAAAGTAAAGGGAATTTAATTTGCTAGCACTATATTTAACCCTATAACTTTCTGAGACACCATAAAACCTGTACATGGGGGGTACTGTTCTACTCAGGAGACTTCGCTGAACACAAATATTAGTGTTTCAAAACAGTAAAATGTATTACAACGATGATATCACCAGTAAAAGTGACATTTTTTGCATTTTTCATGCACAAACAGCACTTAAACGGACAATATTATTGCTATGATACTTTTTACTGTTTTGAAACACAAATATTTGTGTTCAGTGAAGTCTCCCGAGTACAACAGTACCCCTCATGTACAGGTTTTATGGTGTTTTCAAAAGTTACAGCGTCAAATATAAGGCTTGCGTTTCATTTTTTTCACATTAAAATTCGCCAGATTGGTTACGTTGCCTTTGAGACCCTATGGTAGCCCAAGAATGAAAATTACCCCTATGATGGCATACCATTTGCAATAGTAGACAACCCAAGGTATTGCAAACGGGGTATGTCCAGTCTTTTTTAGTAGCCACTTAGTCACAAACACTGGCCAAAATTGGCATTTTTTGCATTTTTCACACACAAACAAATACTAACGCTAACTTTGGCCAGTGTTTGTGACCAAATGGCTACTAAAAAAGACTGGACATACCCCATTTGCAATACCTTGGGTTGTCTACTATTGCAAATGGTATGCCATTATGGGTGTAAATTTCATTCCCGGGCTACTATACAGTCTCAAAGGCAACGTAACCAATCTGGCGAATTTCAATTTCAAATGTAACGTGCTATATTTGACCCTGTAACTTCCCAAAACGCCATAAAACCTGTACATAGGGGGTACTGTCTTACACGTGAGACTTTACTGAATACAAATATGTGTATTTTATTGCAGTAAAAGCAAACAGTATTATGACACTGACCGTTAAAATGTCATGTAGAACTAAAAAAATCCAAAAAAAATCGTATTTTCTCCCATTTTTTTCATATTAAATTATGTTTCATAGCTAAATATTTGATATTAAATGAAAGCCCTGTTTCCCCTGAATAAAATGATATATAATAAGGGTGGGTGCATTTACTATGAAAGAGGTGTATTACGGTTGGACAGACATGTAGCGCAAATGCCAGGTTTTGTTTACATTTTGTTTTGTTCACAACGTGTACATTTGGCTCCGTCCTTAAGGGGTTAATTCCCAGTCCGGCCCTGGTCACGCACACTCTTAGAGTAGGGTGCATTCGTGACAGTAGTGGAATCCAAATGAGGTAATAAGTTTGCCAAGAGAGGCAGTATAAAGAGAAAACAGAAGGGGACCAAGGACAGAGCCTTGGGGGACTCCAACCGAGACAGGACAAGGGGAGGAGGTATCATTAGAAAAGGAGACACTGAATGAACGTTGGGAGAGAGAGAAGAAAAACCAAGAAAAGACTGTGTCTCAAAGACCGAGTGATTGAAGAGTTTGAAGAAGGAGAACATGGTCAACAGTGTCAAAGGCAGCAGAGAGGTCAAAAGAATTAATATGGCACTGGAGGCTGTTGCTGGGAGGTCAGGTAGCTATTTTCTGCAGCAAGGTCTTCTGCTTAATGTGGGGGCGGAGCTTGATGACGAGAGGTGGAGCTTGTGCACATGGGTGAAACTTACGAAGTGGGGGCGGAGCCTACATCCGCGAGGCAGAGCAGGAGACTGTTTGCTGGGGAAGCTGCTGGGAAATCGGAAGGGAGTCTGTCAGTGCTCCCTCTGGCCCAGAGCAGCCTTAATGCAGCCCCCAGCACCTCTGTCCTGAATTCACTCGGACTGTAACAGGATGTTACAGTCCGAGGGAAAATAATGAAAAGCACATGGCCGTGCAAGTTGCCAGGACTGTACCGGGAGAGTGAATTGCCAAGGGCAGATTCCAGCATGCTGGGACTGTCCCGGCAAAAATGGGACCGTTGGCAACTATGCGGGGGAGTCCTGCCAGCTAGCAGGATCTTGGATCCCCAGGGCCAGTGCGCTCTAAGGCCCGTCTGTGCCACCTTATAGTAACACCAGGCCTGGGGCGGTAGAGGGGGGCACAGGGGCTGATAAAAAAACAAAAAACTAAAGTGTATTCCCCTGTCCCTAAAGGCTAACCTTGGGCCAATGAGGGGGGAATCTTATCCCTGGTGGGACAGGAGCTGGAGCCTGCAGGTCAAGTCAGGTCTGCTGCGGAGTCTGGGAAGTCACGCCCTTCTCCTGACATCATCAGAAGGAGCCAGATGACTTCACTGCCAAGCTGCTGTGTGCTGGCTGCAGGGAGAGTGAGGTGATTTGAAAAATTTGAGTCCCCAGTAGGGGATTCGGATTTTTGTGCCCCTGCGCTGGCGCCCCAAGGTGCCTTATGTATGTGCCGGCCCTGGGCTCCAAGTGCCCACCCCACAGGAGAAGCTGGATGTCCTCATTGAACTAAACAGGTGCAATACAGGACATTGGCCCAAAGCACTCAATGGAGTTAACACATGCAGGAAAATCAAGATGCAGGGTGCCCAGTGGAATTCAGGTAAATTGTTTTGCTATTCTAAAATGTTATGACAAACTATCTGGGAGAGCACCAGGGCACTCCTGGCACCATAACCACTACAGTTGGGGAAAGCCGTTTTCCCTTCAAATGTTAAAGCTAATTTCTAATTCTACAATTTTCTTGTTAACACACAAAAAAAAGCACCCTCATCCTCTTTCCATATCAGTTTGCTGCATTGCTACTTTATAATTTTTCAAAATATCGGACTGTTTCTCTTATTTACAGTTATGCTAATTGTAAATAAGACAACATAAATGCACACTTTTTAATTTAATTCCTATTCACCATTTTGTTTACATGGATGGCTGCTTTCACCAGTTTGACTTTCCAGTGCACTTCCAACCATGCATTCCTTCTCCGAGTGGTTTTCTGAAGAATTTTCTGCTCATCATTTTTTTTTTTTTAACCAATCAATTTTTATTGAGATAATAAGGCATGTGGGAAACAGAAGGAAAGAAGGATAACAATCGAGGTTTTACAGCGCAGATATAGCCATCTATCCAACCTCCCATATCAATGCTCTCGTCAGTTACCTTGGGTAGCCAAAAACTGGGGGGAAGAAAATAAAACAGTTTAAAATTACACGTAGTTCAGCTAGATAAGCAATACTATTTGGAGAATAATAGTATCAAGCAACTTTTAGCGAACTGTATCAAGCCCTCCATGAGCGCCCTCGTGAAATGAGGCATTTAGTTTTGGGCTATCCACCTGGTAGAGCGCCCTTCTTGTCTCTTGGTTTCTCATGTGTATGCAAAAGTGTATGCTATGTATGTAGTTGAAGTGTGTTGATCTGCACAAGTCAGGGTTCAGTTCGGTGTCTTGGTGGGGATTCTCTCTGGTTTGTCAGGCTAGGGGGGTAACCTCTAGTTAAGGGGCCGAGCTGGTGGACAGTCGTGGGAAGCCGCAGATGTACTGGTGCTGGGTGGGGTGTGTCAACTCCCTGTCCGCCGCGTCCAGATTGCTATGGTTGCATACTCGTCGAGTTGGTCAGGGTACTCAGTGTGGGATGTCTGCCTGTCCCCCCCGTTGGTCTGCTCATCATTTTAAATCTAAATGTAATTTATCTTAAAAAACAAACAAAAAAAAAACAGTATTACAGGAAAACATCATTTTTATTTTGAATTTGTTCTATTAAATGCTTGTCACAGAGCACCACTGGGGTTGAAAATTGACACTCATCCATGCATGCATGGGGTGTATTGTTTTTGCATACTATCCAAACCGTGAGCAGCCTAAACCTTAAAGGGACTCTCCAATGCCCCTCTCCCTCCCACCCCCCATCCCAAGTTTCGGAAGGGGTTAAAACCCCTTCAGTGACTTACCAGAGTCCAGCGCCGATTTCCCTCAGCGCAGGGTCAGGCTCCGCCTACGCCCATTAGGGGGAGACCTAATGGGCAGACGCGGCAATGCCGCGTACGCGCATTAGACTTCCCCGTAGGAAAGCATTGAATAATGCTTTCAATGCTTTCCTATGGGGATTTCAGCGACGCTGGTTTGCATAACGTGAGGACGTCCAGCGTCGTATAACACACTTTTCGTGTTCTATGAACATGGAAGTCTCCTCTAGTGGCTGTTTATTAGACAGCCACTAGAGGAGGACTTAACCCAGCAACGAAATTATTGCAGTTTATGAAAACTGCAATAATTACACTTGCAGGGTTAAGGAAGTTAGAATTGCGCCTGGAGTGTCCCTTTAAGGAAGTCGCAGAACTTTCATAGCTTGCGTTCCACTGTTTCTATGACAACACACCAGGAAGCGAGCAGATCCTTCCGGTGACCTCTTCAACTTTGCCCTCTACGGTTCACTTCCGGAGACATTTTTGCACATGTGAGCTGTACGGATGTAAGTAGTGGGAATTAGATGGTTCGAGTCGGTATAAAGGATAATTTTAATTAATAAGGAGACATGGGTAATGGTAAAATATGTTTCATTTGGTATATATACATAGTAGCAGGAAGTACCTCCTATATTTCCCTTTGTAAACCTTCAAACTATATTCCTGAATGTGTCACATGGCTTCAGAGCAATAAGTATCATAGTGCTTGATAAACTACGGAAAACGGATCTAGAAATTGATACGTGCGGACGATATACGGTGGTCCTAAACTATATTTTAATCTCCTATATGGTGATCAGTAGGTCAAGGAGTGCTGAAACAGCCCAATCCCTAAATCATACCTCCAGTCACACCCCATTAGATGTAAGTGTCACTCTTTGGCCATTTGAAATATTGGCTCTTGTTTTTTTGATACTGGGAAGCAAATTTTGGTGAGATTAAGGCAGTTGTAGGCATAAATCTACTGCTAATCCTTAATGGCTTTCTAACCCCACTGCACATGGATCTGTCTGCTTGCTGTACTTCTCTCAGCCCCAAATTGTAACCCTAACCTCTTGTGTCAAATTATCTGCTTTTTCTCCCACCCATTAATTTAAGCCCAATTTTCTAGTTTCTGGTCTTACAACAGTGGAGAAGGCAGGTTTGAGAAGCTGGGTGGGCATAAACCTGAGAGGGTGCAATATCTCAAGCGTCTGGATAATTTTCAAGCATATGAAAGTTCAATGTAAGGTTATTTTTCTTAATATGCAAGCTGTAAAATGCCCAGATTTAGCAAAAATTAAACACAAGTAAACCTGCTCTGCTTACATCTCTATTAAAGGACCACTATAGTGCCAGGAAAACATACTTGTTCTCCTGGCACTATAGTGCCCTGAGGGTGCCCCCACCCTCAGGGACCCCCTCCCACCCGGCTCTGGGGAGAGGAAAGGGTTAAAACTTACCTTTTTTCCAGCGCCGGGAGCTCTTCTCCTCCTCTCCTCCCCTTCGGCTGAATGCGCACGTGCGGAAAGAGCTGCGCACGCATTCAGCCGGTCTCATAGGAAAGCATTTACAGTGCTTTCCTATGGACGCTTGCGTCTTCTCACTGTGATTTTCACATTGAGAATCACGCAAGCGTCTCTAGCGGCTGTCAATGAGACAGCCACTAGAGGATTTGGAGGCTGGATTAACCCATTTATAAACATAGCAGTTTCTCTGAAACTGTTATGTTTCTAAAAAAAAAAAAAAAGGGTTACTCCTAGAGGGACCTGGCACCCAGACCACTTCATTAAGCTGAAGTGGTCTGGGTGCCTAGAGTGGTCCTTTAAGCTTCCATTTCTGATTGGAAACAAGCATTTGAAATCTTCATGCACAAGCGATATCTTAAACAAATGCTACCTAGCAATGATGCTCTTTCTCCTCAATGTTTTTTAAAGTAATGAAATGTACTATGCATATTTATGATCATTATGTCTGCTGCTTTTTTGTTATGGCCCCAATGGTAAGTGGCCTTGATGTGTTCCTCACTTCACAATACAATTGCTGCATGCAATCTAAACTAAAGCATTGCATATTGTCAGTTTCTGTAACGTGCAATTTGCATGCATCTTGAAGTTGTTAAAATGTGTTTTTGTGGAAATTCATTGGCTTAGGGCAGGGGTGCCCAAAATGTAGTTTCCTGGATGTTGTATAACTACAACTCCCATGTTGATTTGAATGCATTTAGAATGGCAAAGTATCATGATGGAAGCTGTAGTTTTACATCTGCATGGGTGGAAAACAGTAGATCTCCCAGACGTTGTAGAACTGCAACTTTTATGATGCTTTGTCATCCTAAACCAAGCATATGCAACCTTCGGCATGCCAGATGTTTTGGACTACACCTCCCATGATGCTTTGTCAGCATTATGTGTGTAAGAGCATTATGGGGAATGTAGTCCACAACATCTGGAGTGCTGAAGGTTGCCTATCCCTGTTCTAAATGCTGGCAAAGCATCATGGCAGTTGTAGGGACCTACCTTTTACGAGCCCTTTCATATCCATGACTAATTATGGTTGATTAAATTGGCATTACAGTATTTGTGGGTTTAATTTCCTTATCAGTAACTTAATTTCTTTTTCTCTATTTCTGTCATTAGGAATTAAAGAATACAAATTATGGAAGAATTGTTTCATGACCAATCTCTCCTACGTGATCAAGTGAAAAAGAATTTAAAATCACCCGTCAATGGTAAGAGTAAGAGTAGAAGTAGTGCTTCTGAAACACCAAAACAAAAATGGAAAAATAAACAAAGAAGTGATTTTGGGGATCAAACAAAGGCTTTACGTGTACGTGACTCTATGGTTGATCCTACAGACCTTGAAAGAACGTTGGATTCTTCATGGAGGGAAGAGGGCACACACAGGGCAGATATGGATTCTTTGTCATGGTAGTTTACCCCAACTCGCAAGATTTAGTCCAACAATTGACAATATAGAGCAGATACGTCTTACCGGACCTTAGAATGGCTGGACTCGCCGTAGAGCAGAGAAAGACAGAGTTAGGACCGAGCCGAGGTCAAGAGAACAAAGAGACAGCGAAAACAAGAACTAGCCAAAGTCTGGTACACCGTAATCAGTAAGCCGGCAAACAGGACAAAACAGGGATAAAGAGATAAACGGAGTCAGATACAAAGCCAAGGTCAAGCATGAAAAATCACAACTGAACACAACAAGCGCTAAAGGGAACTGAAACAGAAACCACGATAGGGCAGGGAGTTAAGGGAGAGGTAAGTATAAATACCCTAGCCTTTAATTTGATTGGCCCCTGTCATATCCACGCCCCCAAAATGTGAGTGTATGGGGAATGTGAGATGACAATGGGAGACCGTTGTACATTTCGGCTCCCACTGTCCCTTTAAGAGCGTGCCCTCTTAGAGCTAGGCGGGACAAGTGACCGCTTTCATCTGAGCGAGTTGCGCGTGGCGGGAATAGAGGACCTCGGCCGGCCCCCGGATAAGGTAAGTACCGCTACATTCTTCTAATGCAGACCAGGAGATCACATCCACTTCTATAGGTAAAATTACAGACATTCTCTTTCAAAAGATTCAAGATATCACTGGAGTCTGCAGATGGTCAGTTACATTCTTTCTGTATGTGCTAATCTGCAAGTTAGTGGCAACGCTCTGACGGCCGCGGGACTCGCAAGATTTACACAGGAGAGCTGAAGGGAGCTGCTTGGAAGGTAACAGCTTACTGAGCCCCCCAGGACCGCCTGGCTTGTAATTGCGGTCCTGGTATGTATTATCGGCAATATCAGTATCTCTATTGGCTGATACCGATATTGCCGAAAATATCGAATATCGGCTGATAATATCGGTAAAACCGATAATCGGTCGATCCCTAGTACAAACCTACTGATGTGCTGCAGAGAAATTTATTTCGGGTAAAGCCTGTATTTGCCTCCATTAGCTATAGCCAGTAAGTCTTCTTTCAGTAGTGGGGAAAGTAATGGAAACCATGTTAAAGGATAGGATTGTTGAAAATCTAAAATCACATGGATTTCAAGATCAGAGACAACATAGGTTTACTTCAGGGAGATCATGTCAAATTAATCTTATAGATTAGTTTGACCCATCCCTTCTTCTAGTGACACCCATCATGCCCTATCTTTGGTTAAGTTAATTTGTGACAGCACTGAAAAATGGGCTGCATTGTAGTGAGTAAACCAATGCGGCCCTTAAAGGCCCTCTGACCCGTTAACTTATGTAATAAAGATTTCTGACATCTGCATGGATATTGTTTTAATTCCCATGACAAAATTGAGAACAACTACTTTCAGTCTCAGTGGAGTCTTATTGACAGTGTTATGGAAGAAAGTGACAAGAGCCAGGAATTTAAAAGGTTACTCCAAGCACTATGATCACTTCAGTCATTCAGTCATTATGCTTGGTGTATGCATGTACATCATTTATTTTTAAAACTCTGCACTTATAGCGTTAAAGCACTTTGCTGCCGGAGATGTAACACCAATGTTGTTTGGCTGCCTTGAATTAGATTTTTGCTAAAGATTTGGCAAATTATATCATAATGCAGTTAAGGCTAGCATAACTGGGACGAACATTGCAAATCAGGAGGAAAAACAGAAATATTATTTAATGTATCCATCTCTTTGTATGATTTGACAGTGTGTTGACTCACAGGTGCAAAAGATAGAGCCTCTAACCACGACTTACATGGAGCTACATGGAGGCACCCAGTTGTAGGATAAACAGCAGTGGATTTCTACAATGAACTGTATTTTTTACACTTCACAAAGTAAACCTAATATTAGGTTTTATATATTTTGATGGCTAAGCCAGCGCTGCCAGGGTTCAAAAAGTTGACATTTACCTTCAGCCCTCGCTGCGCTGGTCTCCTCCGTGTAGACTGCCTGTTTATCTGAGATCATCAATGTTGGCGGCTAGTGCGCATGTGAAGCAAAAATGCTCTAGTGGCTGCACATCAGACAGCCACTGGAGGCTCTTCTCTTTCAATTGTTGAAGGTGTTCACATTTAAATGTCATGATGACGCCAAACACAATTGAATCTCCTCCATAGAGAAGCATTATAAAGTGATGACAGAAGGGCCCTCAATGCTTTTCTATGGAGAAACAGTGGATTGGCCAGAGTTCATCTTACTGGATGGATAAGAACTTCTAAAGTAAACACACTGCTGTAAGATCTGATTAAAAATGAAAAAAAAAAATGTAATTGAGGCTGCATGAGTCACAGCCAGGGAAGGTGTGTCTAGTGCTGCATGAACAGAAACAAAAATTATTTAATTCCTAACTGGCAGACAATTGAACAGTGAGACTGTAGGGGCTTGATATATACAACAAATCACACAGAGTAGCACTTTAAATATAGTTGTTGATGCTTGTATATAGTGTTGTGGATAGTTGTTTTGTGATATATTTTTATATTTTCAGTGTTCCGTTATTATTAAGATGGAAAAAAGGTGACTTTTTTTGGTTTCTTGTTAGGGGACTCCACTTACTCTGTAAAGAAAAAAAAGAAGAAAAAGAAACGCCACGCAGAAGACATGGAGAATTACAGCTTTGTAGCTTCCGACGTCAATGAAAATATACATGATTGGCCACATGAGAGCACGGCGCAAAACCTGGAAACCACCCATGATGAGTCTCAGGTGACACAGAGTGCCAAAAAACGCAAGAAAATAAAACATCCTGAGTCATCTACCACTGATTTTATTGAACCGGAGGAGTCAGAGAACACAGCTGGTAATGAACAAGATTCTTCTACTACAAATGATCATCAACGTGCTAAGCTAGACCTTCCAGATGATGCTGCCCTCAGGTGAGGAATATGTAATTGGTTGTTTTCAAACCTGGTTGATTCAGTTCTGTTCGAAGTTAAAGATGATCTGTGCAGATTTATACGTCACTATGGATTGTTATGTTGTAGCACCATTAGCGCTGTGCACTATTTGGGTGCACATTGGATATTCTATTCCAGAGCAAGCCCTTTAACCCTATATTTTAAAGGAACACTATGCAGCATTACTGCTTTAACTCACTGTAGTGATTTGGATGTCTAAAGTCCCTGCACAGTCTCCTGGTTTAATGTCAAACAATTTAAGATTGGTTTACGATAACTGATGCTCTTCCCGGCATTCTACTCAGACACCTCAGTATTCACTGATGCTGGGCTAACCTCCCCCCCTCCCTCTCGGCCTGCAAGTGTCAGATATTTTGGAAGAAATTGACAATGATAATGCAGATGTGTTCATTCAATATTATAAATTTGTCCAATATGGGCGCAGGGAAGATCTTCGGCTTGTATCCTACCTTTCCTAAACAGTGTTTATTATTAAACTTGGGGACAGCACCAGGGCATTTTAGGCACGCTAACCACGAGAACAAGCTAGTAACAGGTTGCATTTTTTTCTTTCTTAAAGGGACGCTGTAGGCATTATAACCATTTCATCTCATTGAATTGGTTTTAGTGCCCGGAGTTCCCTGGCACTGTCCCTTCATTCAGTGTTAAATTGTTTTTAAGCACTTTAACACTAAATGAGGTTCCTTGGCCCACCCATAGTCAAGTGGCCCCTGCTGGAGGTGTGGCTAAGGTAGAAATTACACACTTCTATGTTCGTTCTATGTTTCTATCAGGAAGTATTACTTTACTGAGAGGGTAGTGGATGCATGGAATAGCCTTCCAGCTGAAGTGGTAGAGGTTAACACAGTAAAGGAGTTTAAGCATGCGTGGGATAGGCATAAGGCTATCCTAACTATAAAATAAGGCCAGGGACTAGTGAAAGTATTTAGAAAATTGGACAGACTAGATGGGCCGAATGGTTCTTATCTGCCGTCACGTTCTATGTTTCTACTTCCTTGTAGCCATACTAATACGTACCAGCGATGGTGGCTGTGATAGGCTGGAAGTAGTCGGCTCTCAACAAATCACTGTCGCCCATTGTTGCTCCGGTTAATGCTAATGCTTCTTGCCAGTCGGCAGTAAAACAGACTTTTTTAGTCTTGCAGAAGCATCCCATCTTACTCTTGATACAGCTGCCTGACAGCTCATCTGTCTTCAATTTGTAGCCCAGCCAACCAGTTGCAAATATTGCTGGCAATCATTGCTAGTGCAGAGAGATTACAGATTTAAAATGTACATGGAGTTAAAGAAACATTAGTCTGTCTGCCTACCGATCTCTCAAAGGAGAGCGCTCACAGGTCTTTTTCTTGAAATTTTTCGCTACTTTATTTGATGCAGATAGGTGCAATTTACTGCCAGATCAATGTTTAAATCCTCATTCGAGACGATTATGAAGATAACCATATTGTGCACAGCAGTGTTTAAATAGGATGCCGAAACGAAAGCTAGGGTGGGACAACTGGTGACTGAAATTGAGGGTGAGATTGCAAGTGGAAGAGGGACTGAGAACGTGAGGGCAGGATGTTGGGCAGTTTTGTTCGAAATGTTAACTTATGTTTCTGAAACTGTAAAATGTAACCAGCAGGGTTTTTATTTGCAAGTCTACTGGGACAACATCTATACCCCAAAATAACTTTCTTTATAAAGAGCAATTCTGGGGAAAGAGCTTAAAAATTGAGTGTTTACTATGGAAACCAATGAAGAGCTTTGTTGGTTACTTTTATTGTAGTTCTATTCAGCAATACTACAATCACTAAACTTAATGCAATTCCCTCCCCCCAATTCCAGAGAATACCTTAAAGATCCTGTCTCTGTAAAGAAGAAGAAGAAACGCCGTGCGGATGTGGAGAATAGCGGCTTTGTTCACAGCCACAATGGTGACCATGTTAATGAAACCATACATGATGGGAGTATGGCACTAAACTCGGAAGCAGACTCTCAGGTGACACAGAGTGCCAAAAAACACAAGAAAAAGAGAGTTTGTACATCGGAGGATATGGAGAATACCCACATTGGTAATGAAACCATACATGATTGGCCAGGTGGGAGCCCATTAGTGTTGAATGCCTGTGAGATAAGTTTAACTGTGTTGTGCGAGAATTTTTAACTTAAGGTGGCAAAAAGAGGCGAAGGCCATAAGTGGTGAAACCTCAAACCAGCTATCTAAGTGATGGTCCGACAAGAAACGTATTGTATAAGTGGAAAACCCTGGAGCAAGCATGTTGAGTGCTGGTGGACAAGGCCAGTTTTGTCAGAGCCCGGCTATGTTGGCGAGGTTCATGTAATCCATGACCTTGACCATAAATGACCCCGCCGTGGCAGCTGCACTCCAACCGACACCATCAGCACTGCAGACCCCACTTCCAACGATGCAGCTGCGCCGGGGTCTCGCTGTCTCCACCCACCCTGGACCCAAGGCCAGGATCCAGCTTCCAGTCGGTGAACTTCTCTTTCCCCAGAGAGTAGGAACAGGAACAAGCTCTTAGCAGAGCTTAGTGATCATACCCTGGGGAGTATAGTGATTATAGCAATCCCCAGAGTGTAGTTCTCCCATTCCGCAAACATGAGCCAAGGCTTCAAGAAAGGTACAAGATGATCTGGTTTTAATGACCACATACTGGCTTTTATGCAAGTCCCCATGCAAGGGGACATCCCACAGGGTGGGACACAGTACAACCAATCGTTTACAGGAAAACCGTAAATCACACCCAGCACCAACATACAATCCCTCCCCTCTGCCTGTGATATAATTACTGAACACAATGGGTTAATGTAATTTATCACAGGCAGGAAAAATACACTTTTTACACATACTGTAATTTTAAAAATATGCATCATATTCACATAAAACATACATATTCAGAATCAGCATATCAGCACCAAAAATCATGCAAATCCTTCCATTAGTTCAAAAGTTAGTCAGAAGTCCTTTGTGACCAAATGAAGCATGGCGTTTCTGCCCAAAACCAGTTCCTCAGTCTTCTATCCTGGAGATAATTGGGAAGTAATCCAATTATTTCCAAGGACAGAGGCAAAACTCCATTGAACACATGGCAGCAAAAGACAATAAAATACATAAAACTATATAACTGTGCAGCCATTGCATAAAACAGGTACATTCAACATATCCCAGATAGCTCAGATCTGAGCGCACATTATTACTGAATGGCGTTCAGATCACACACATACAGTTCAATTGCCATGGAGCCAAAGTCTTTCCCATAGTCTTTCATTATACGAATGGGCTCCATGGCATTGCTATCTGGGGTATCACCACTCAAACAGGGCAAGCACCGAATGACCCGGCTTTTGTGTCTTTGCAGGGGAAAATCCAGCGTTTCAACATGGGGCCATAGTCTAAAGGCAAGAGGCTGGCAAGTAGTCCTCTCCAGGCACAAGTGGCGAGGTTAATTTCGCCACAGTAGGGATTGTAGTTCCATGCGGTTGCAAGTACCAAGCAGGAGGTGGTAATTGGCGTTGTTGCGACTGTTCCTATTTCTCACGAACATCTTGTGTTCAACAAATATATTGAAGATTGTGGGCTGCTCTTGACCCGAAAGTTAAGCGGGAGAAGAAATATATAACTGCTGCCGATAAATGCCCTGTAAGTGCCAGTGTAGGGTGGATGGGGGCAGTCTGACATACGTTTGTGATTTCAGTTTTACTTAACCAGGCTTCCCCGCTTGAGTGATAGCTGTAATGGTATGAACAATGGTGGCATACTGTAGTGAAAACTCCTTGGAGGGTATGAGGGAGTTGAGACTTGGGGTAGCCGAGGCGTGAGGTGCAGATAAGTCTATGATCAGTTACAGTGTGAGGAAAGATTCCCTGTGACAATCCCAATGGGACTGCACCACGCTGTAAATGGTGTAGATCGGAGAGGCCCAGGTAGAAATCTTTCTGCCATTTCTTGGGCCATGAGTGTAATTCCAGCTGTTGGATGCTGCTGTGATGACTGCAAGTTAGGGCATTCTAGATTCCCCCAAAAGTATATGGCAATACCTGTACGGAAGGCCTTTAAAATTCGGATATTAGGAAATCAACTAAATGTCTGGAAGGGTGATGAGTTAGAAAGTACTGGAAATGCATAATGTTTAGAGACGTGAAGTAAGGTTCAGGGTACATTTATTGGGACACATGGTTTTGCATGTGCCCTGACTTATTGAGAACATATCTGCAACAGTCTGCATGCACGGAAACTACATGTACCAACATGGAAATTGTTTCAAATCTGGGATTTGCCAAAGAGAATGAGATGACCCAATTTGTCTCTGGTAGTTCTCTACGTACTTCCAGAGGTGCTAGAGCCTGGAGCCTGAAACGTGATCGTCCGCTGTGTTGGGACAAAATTGTCGTGTGAGACTAGCAACATCTTCTCCAAGTGAAAGCGTGTTGACTCTAGCTGAAGTGTTAGGTAGAGAGAAATCCTTACCACCTGCTTGATACATACTAAAAAACATGTAGATAGCCATTATTATATGAACCCACAGTGTGCTAGTACTGGCTTGCTAGCTAAAGCCGCATGGCGAAACATTCCTTTGTTTAGTGACATGTGAAGCCCTGCTAGTTGCCAAGTGGCTTGAGCGGCTCTATCTATGCAATGGCGCGAGGGGATTTTGTGGCCACCAAATGTAGTGGCAGGATGTTGGCCTCTCGGTGACTGTAACCAGAAAAAAGGGGAAGAGAGTGACAGGTGAGGCCCTCTCTATATACCATGCGAGGTGGCTAGCTCACGAGTGTTTGCCTCCGAGCGTTGAGGCGGGATGTTGGCCTCGCGGGACCACTATACGACAGGCGTATATGTAAAGAAAGGAGAATACCTATTGGAAACCTATAGTCCCTAATTGCCAGTACGCTAAGGATATACCCAGGGGGAAACAGAAAATTTATGTTTATACCACATGAGGTGTATGTACCTGGTAGTATGATTAGATACCCTTACTGGTTGTAAGGGTTATTAATACCTGTATCCCGGACTGGTAAAACAATGTACGAAAATTGAATATAGACATTTAAAAGCGTATACCCATATGTGTGTTATGCAAGTTTAATAGAGCAAAGTGCTCCGTCCCAATGTTTATTGTATGCTTGTAATGCCCCTGTTTGAAGGAAATTAACTTGTCGGGAGTGTTATATCATGTGTGATATGGAATACTTCTGTACCCCGAAACATGAGTGTAGTGAACCATGACTGGCAGCTGAATAACCTAATATGTGAAAATACGTAATTGGAAGGACTTATATTTTAAGCGTGCAAACATGCCAATATTCCGTATTAGACTCTGGAATCCTGCATAGTGCTTTAAATAGTATGTGCATTCTTGGGTAAATGTATGCGTATTGTCGTAAATGTAACTACATGCCTATGTAGGCAGGTATGCAGGAATGATTATATCATAGCAAGCACGAGTTGTAAGGAAGTGTTATTGTGTAATTATAGTGGGAATGTTATGAGGGGAATAACCATATGTCTGAAAAGCCTGTAGTATACCGTTTGACAGATAGGAGTCAGTATAAAAGCAAAAATGCTGTAGTTAGTTTGTTTGCTTATGAAGTGAAATAAAGTCTGAGAAGCCGATTGACCGGTAGGGGTCAGCATGTAGGCAAAAATGCCGTGGTTTGTTGGTTTGTACATGAAACGCAATAATGTCTGAGAAGTCTGTAGTACACTGAATGACCGGTAGGGGTCAGTGTCTAGGTGAAAATGCAGTGGTTCATTGGTTTGTACATGAAATGCAATAATATCTGAGAAGCTTGTAGTACACTGAATGACCGGTAGGGGTCAGTGTGTAGGCAAAAATGCAGTGGTTTGTTGGTTTGTACATGAAATGCAATAATATCTGAGAATCTTGTAGTACACTGAATGACCGATAGGGGTCAGTGTGTAGGCGCAAATGCAGTGGTTTGTTGATTTGTACATGAAATGCGATAATGTCTAAGAAGCCTGTAGTACACCAAAAGACCGGTAGGGGTCAGTGTGTAGGCGAAAGATTGTATTTCATTTGTAGTTTTAACCAAACAGATTTTAAACAACAGATTTTACATGAACAGCTAGGTGAGTATAAGGTAACGAAATAACTGTGCAAAACGAAAGGAAACCGTAAAGTGAGAACCCGTGCTGTGCTGAACGCCGTGGGAACTAATCCTGGCGCGACAGGTGGGTCAACTTACGGTTTGAGAGTCCCTGAGACACCAAATGCGATGCTGACCGGAGAGAAAGCCACTGGATTAACGGAAAGCCCTGCTGCTGGATTCCTGGACACAGCTGGGAGTAGGAGACCTCATGGAGCAGAGGTGAAACCAAAATGGCATCTTGTATGACCTGGAAGTGGATCTCATGCAAATGCTGACCCTGAACAGTCTATTTGTCTGACCAACAAAGGTAAATAGGGAAAGGGGGGAGTCCCTTTTATAGGTCTATAGCCCCTCCCACAACTTCAGGCCATGCCTTCCAATATATATATATTGCTGTAATAAAGCAGATACCTAGTTATTTTAGTGAATAACCCTGTAAGTATCATTACAAGCCACACGCGAGTGTGCTTTCTTTTGAATAATATATATATATATATATATATATATATTATTCAAAAGAAAGCACACTCGCGTGTGGCTTGTAATGATACTTACAGGGTTATTCACTAAAATAACTAGGTATCTGCTTTATTACACCAATACAAAATAAATAAATCTATACACTCTCCACATATAGCCCAACCCTATGCGTTTCACCCATAACAAATTCGGCCTTCCTCCGGGGTAATAATCGCCCAGTCTCCCGTGTGGTATGATTCCTTGTTGTCTGGCGTTAGTTTGTTACTCTATGAGTGTTTCTTTTTCTGAAGATCTTTTTTGTATTTGTATTGTTGAGGACTGGGAGGAGTCCTATCTTTTTTCTACAGTTTAAAAGGATAGCGTATAGGTAAATAATATTTTACCTTTACACTGTGTGTCTTTCCACTGAACTACAAGGATGATCAATCTATATTGGACTTTAATTAACATGACTGTTTTTTTGTTATTTTACACTTGGACAGTATATTTACTCTTCTATAATAAATGTGTGATATCAATAGCTCTGATAATGCAGATCTTTGATTTCACACGTAGAACTGTTTTTAGTGTTCTGTCTGTCTTGAAACTTAAACAAGTTAGTTTAAAAAAAAAAAAATTTTTTTTTTTTTTAGGGGACTCCACGTACTCTGAAGATCCTTCCTGTGTAAAGAAAAAAAAGAAGAAAAAGAAACGCCACGCAGAAGACATGGAGAATTACAGCTTTGTAGCTTCCGACGTCAATGAAAACATACATGATTGGCCACATGAGAGCACGGCGCAAAACCTGGAAACCACCCATGATGAGTCTCAGGTGACACAGAGTGCCAAAAAACGCAAGAAAAAAAAACGTCCTGAGTCCTCTACCACTGATTTTATTGAACCGGAGGAGTCAGAGAACACAGCTGGTAATGAACAAGATTCTTCTACTACAAATAATCATCAACGTGCTAAGCTAGACCTTCCAGATGATGCTGCCCTCAGGTGAGGAATATGTAATTGGTTGTTTTGAAACCTGGTTGATTCAGTTCTGTTCGAAGTTAAAGATGATCTGTGCAGATTTATACGTCACTATGGATTGTTATGTTGTAGCACCATTAGTGCTGTGCACTATTTTGATGCACATTGGATATTCTATTCCAGAGCAAGCCTTTTAACCCTATATTTTAAAGGAACACTATGCAGCATTACTGCTATAACTCACTGTAGTGATTTGGATGTCTAAAGTCCCTGCACAGTCTCCTGGTTTAATGTCAAACAATTTAAGATTGGTTTACGATAACTGATGCTCTTCCCGGCGTTCTACTCAGACACCTCAGTATTCACTGATGCTGGGCTAACCTACCCCCCTCCCTCTCGGCCTGCAAGTGTCAGATATTTTGGAAGAAATTGACAATGATAATGCAGATGTGTTCATTCAATATTATAAATGTGACCAATATGGCCGCAGGGAAGATCTTCAGCTTGTATCCTACCTTTCCTAAACAGTGTTTATTATTAAACTTGGGGACAGCACCAGGGCATTTTAGGCACGCTAACCACGAGAACAAGCTAGTAACAGGTTGAATTTTTTTTCTTTCTTAAAGGGACGCTGTAGGCATTATAACCATTTCATCTCATTGAATTGGTTTTAGTGCCCGGAGTTCCCTGGTACTGTCCCTTCATTTAGTGTTAAATTGTTTTTAAGCACTTTAACACTAAAGAGGTTCCTTGGCCCACCCATAGTCAAGTGGCCCCTGCTGGAGGTGTGGCTAAAGTAGAAATTACACACTTCTATGTTCGTTCTATGTTTCTATCAGGAAGTATTACTTTACTGAGAGGTTAGTGGATGCATGGAATAGCCTTCCAGCTGAAGTGGTAGAGGTTAACACAGTAAAGGAGTTTAAGCATGCGTGGGATAGGCATAAGGCTATCCTAACTATAAGATAAGGCCAGGGACTAATGAAAGTATTTAGAAAATTGGGCAGACTAAATGGGTCACATGGTTCTTATCTGCCGTCACATTCTATGTTTCTACTTCCTTGTAGCCATACTAATACGTACCAGCGATGGTGGCTGTGATAGGCTGGAAGTAGTCAGCTCTCAACAAATCACTGTCGCCCATTGTTGCCCCGGTTAATGCTAATGCTTCTTGCCAGTCGGCAGTAAAACAGAGAGATTACAGATTTAAAATGTACATGGAGTTAAAGGAACATTAGTCTGTCTGCCTACCTATCTCTCAAAGGAGAGCGCTCACAGGTCTTTTTCCTGAAATGTTTCGCTACTTTATTTGATGCAGATAGGTGCAATTTACTGCTAGATCAATGTTTAAATCCTCATTCGAGACTATTATGGAGATAACCATATCGTGCACAGCAGTATTTAAATAGGACGCCGAAACGAAAGCTAGGGTGGGACAACTGGTGACTGAAATTGAGGGTGAGAATGCATGTGGAAGAGGGACTGCGAACGTGAGGGCAGGATGTTGGGCAGTTTTGTTCGAAACCGAATGTTAACTTATGTTTCTGAAACTGTAAAATGTAACCAGCAGGGTTTTTATTTGCAAGGCTACTGGGAAAACATCTATACCCCAAAACAACTTTCTTTATAAAGAGCAATTCTGGGGAAAGAGCTTAAAAATTGAGTGTTTACTATGGAAACCAATGAAGAGCTTTGTTGGTTACTTTTATTGTAGTTCTATTCAGCAATACTACAATCACTAAACTTAATGCAATTCCCTCCCCCCAATTCCAGAGAATACCTTAAAGATCCTGTCTCTGTAAAGAAGAAGAAGAAACGCCGTGCGGATGTGGAGAATAGCGGCTTTGTTCACAGCCACAATGGTGACCATGTTAATGAAACCATACATGATGGGAGTATGGCACTAAACTCGGAAGCAGACTGTGATAACTCCCAGGTGACACAGAGTGCCAAAAAACACAAGAAAAAGAGAGTTCGTACATCGGAGGATATGGAGAATACCCACATTGGTAATGAAACCATACATGATTGGTCAGGTGGGAGCACAATATAAAACCTGATGATGAAGAAGAAAAAAAAAAATATATATATAGAGCATACTTTGTAATATATATTCAAAAGAAAGCATACTCACGTGGCTTGTAATGATACTTACAGGGTTATTCACTAAAATAACTAGGTATCTGCTTTATTACAGCAATATGATGCTTTAATTAACATGACTGATGTTTGTTGTGTTTTTTTTTTTTTTAACCCTTAGACAGTATAGTGACTCTTCTATGATAAATGTGTGATATCAATAGCTCTGATAATGCAGATCTTTGATTTCACACGTAGAATGTTTTGTGTTCTGTCTTTCTTAAAACGTAAGTTAAATTTTTTTTTTTAATGTGTTTTTTTTTTTTTAGGGGACTCCACTTACTCTGAAGATCCTTCCCCTGGAAAGAAGAAAAAGAAACGCCATACAGAAGACATGGAGAATTACAGCTTTGTAACTTCCGACGTCAATGAAAGCATACGTGATTGGCCAAATGAGAGCACGGCGCAAAACCTGGAAACCACCCATGATGAGTCTCAGGTGACACAGCGTGCCAAAAAAGGCAAGAAAAAAAAAGTTCCACTTACTGATGTTATTGAACCAGAGGAGTCAGAGAACACTATTGGTAACGAACAAGATTCTTCTACTGCAAATGTTCCAGAACCTGATAATGCAGAAGATCTGAAAAATAAATCAAAAAATAAAGGCGACCCCAGGTGAGGAATGTGTAATTGGTATGTTTCAAACCTAATCGGCCAGTGCTCTTTAGTGCCATCACCACAAGATGATCCGTCTAGCTGTCATACTATAGAAGCAGTAGAGGCGTATAGCACTGGCAATGCTAAATGTGTAGGATGTTCCAGAGCAGATTCCTTAAAGGGACTCTCCAGTGCCAGGAAAAGAAACCATTTTCCTGGCACTGCAGGTCCCCTCTCCCTCCCACCCCCCCCATTCCACGTTGCTGAGGGGTTTAAAACCCCTTCAGTGACTTACCTGCATCCAGCACTGATGTCCCTTGGCGCTGGTTCTGGGCCGCCCACGCTCCTCCCCCGCCGACATCATCCGGCGGAAGAGACCTATTGTGCATGCGCGGCCGGCGAGACCTAATGCGCATGCGGGGCATTAGACCTCCCCATAGGAAAGCATTAAAAATGCTTTCAATGCTTTCCTGTGGGGAATTCAGCGATGCTGGAGGTCCTCACATAGTGTGAGGACGTCCAGCGACGCTATAGCACAGAAAATCTGTGCTATAAACCAGTACACAGCCACTAGAGGAGGACAGCCACTAGAGGAGGAGTTAACCCTGCAAGGTAAATATTAGTTTATGAAAACTGCAATATTTACAGTTGCAGGGTTAAGGGTAGTGGGAGTTGGCACCCAGACCAATTCAATGGGCAGAAGTGGTCTGGGTGCCTGGAGTGTCCCTTTAATCTTACCCGAAACCTATATTATAAATGAACACTAGGGGGGCAGTACCTGTATCCTTGCAGAAGCATGCCATTTTACTTTGACAGCACTGACAACATTTTTACAGTCGATCTGACACCTGCATGTGTTTGTACCCCAGTTAATTGGCGGCAACTGTTGGTGATGTTGGCAGTCAAGTGGATGAATCTGTTATTTTTAGTACAGTGTGTTTGTAATATTGATATGTCCTGCATAAGGAGAGAGACTCTCTGAATAAATAACTGGTTGAGTTCATGTAAGATCTGAGTTACTGTATATGCACAGGCTAGAGATGTAAACCAGAAACCATGAAACGCACTGGGAGTTGATAATTCTGTGGAAAGAATTTCAAAGTGGAGCAGTCACTCTGTCAGCCAATGGCATTCTTCTCCTCATTCACTGCTTTTTAATAATTTTTTTTTTGCTAGCACAGAACTAAAATGTCTAAACTTTGTGGCTGTAATACTCTGAGAAAGTTTATTTGGAACTCATCTGCAGATGAAATAATAAATTTGAAACCGTCACGTTAAGAAAATATAATTTATTTAAATAAGGTAAATAACTTTGGCAGTTTTCTGCAGCAATAATGTTTTGAAATCATAATAATGCATGAATGTTGTAAACTTGTTTCAGAATTGCAACACAAAAATATATCCTTTATAAAAATAAGTAAATGCTTAAAGGGACACTATAGTCACCTGAACAACTACAGCTTAATGTAGTTGTTCAGGTGAGATCTATAGCTCCCTGCAGGCAGTTTAATGCAAACATCAGAGAAAATACAGTGTTTACATTGATTGATAGGAATACCTCCAGTGGCCATCACTCAGACGGCCACCAGAGGGACTTCCTATCACGTATGGCCCTAAAAGGGCCATGTACACGTCAGACGTATTAAAATACGTCTGACGTGTGCAGGAGAGAGAAGGCACTGTGCGCGCGCCTTCTCTCTTCTGTCTGTCAGCAGAGGAGAGGGGGCGGGCAAAGCCCGCGAGCTGTGCTGTCAGTCAGCTCAGTTAGCGGCCGCGCACGCATACGCGGTAGTGCGCTCAGGACTTCATAGGGCGGCATGAATGCCGCTCCATGAAGTATGTGCGGCGAAGCCGAGCATGCGCACAAGGGTTCAATGACTCTTCCGAATGGAAGCGTCTGATTGCTCCCTGCTTGCGCCCGCCTATTTTGTCATTTTGACGAAATAGGGGGCGCGGCTTCACGAGGCTCCCGGCGCTGGAACCAGGTGAGTAAAATGGGCTGCCTGGAGTGTCCCTTTAATTAGCAACAAGCAGTATTGTCCATTAGATTTTAATAAGGTTGCCAGAGCAGGTGACCCCAGTAGTAGAAAGTAACAGTCTCTTAATAGGAAGAAATAAATCCTGGTAATGAAATATATCCTGGTATGATACGTGGTTGTAATCAATAGACTCCAATAATAATAATTGACATCATTGCGTAGTTTGGCAAATGCTATATTCAAATAGAAACAGCAAGTCGAATCCCAGAGGGCAGACTTTGGTATTCCTTATCATTCCCAGATGACGTAAGGTTAGAACCAATTAATAATGGCAGTCCCTGGAGAACTTATCTTGCCTTTACTGAATGATAGGATTTGAAGTCCTTTCCAGCTTAGAATGAATTATGGTTCCTTGAAGTAAGGGAAGAGATGCAGGAATCCAAAGTTAAGTCTGTTACTTGAGTGGCAGAGGGGAGTAGAGGATCAAAGCCAGAAGTTCCGTACACAGGAAATCAGGTTAGCTGGACTCTGTAGCGAAGCGGCAACAATGTAGCCAGTAGCGAGAGTATATGAAACCACAAGAGATTGATTGAGCACTTTAGATGCAGTCGCAGCTTCATTTTAAAGGGAAGCGCGAGATGTCAGACGCATGGGCGGAGACTGATCTGCGAAACCCGGAAGTCATACCGGTAATGCCGATCGGGAAGAATTCAACATTGAGAAGTTCAGAGACAATATGGAGGAATTTGGACAGTGGCATTTTTTTTACATTCTAGTGAATATCCTAAAGATCATGTCTCTGTAAAGAAGAAAAAAAAGGGTATAGAGAATAGCGGCTCTGTTAACATCAACTTTGCTGTCGATGTTAACGAAAACATACATGACTAAAGCATGGCAAAAAAAATGGAAATAGACTGTGATAACTCTCAGGTGACACATAGTGCCAAAAAAAACGCAGGGAAAAAAAGAGTCGGACATTGTCTTTTGTTGAATCAGAGGAGCCAGAGAACACTTCTGTGTTAAAGCACCCAAGAGTTGAGCTGCAAAAGACTGGTGTGAATGAACAGGATTGTTCTGCTGCCAGTGATCAGGAACTTGATAGCACAGACTGTACTGATAATGCAGAAGATCTGGGAGTAAAATCAAAAAATAAAAACGGCCCTAGGTAAGTAATAGGACTGTTTTTCTAAGTAATGTATAATTGGTATGTTTGAAAACTATTCGGACCATTGCTCTTCAGTGCCATCACCACAAGATGATCCATACTGATATTATTGTTGTGCTGTAGAACCAATAGAGCTATGTAGGATGTAATGTACCAGAGTGACCATAAACCTATATTTCAAAGTAACACTAGAGGGCAGTACGTGTGTCCTCACAGAAGCATGTCATTTTACATTGACTATGCTCATAGCATCATGTAAACTGATCTGACACCAGCATTGGTTTGTAGCCCAGCCAATCGGTGTCAACGGTTGTTGGTGCTGTGGCGGTCAAGTAAATGAGTCTGTAATTGCTAGTGCAGTTAGGTTCTCATTTTGATATGTCCTATGTACAGGAGACAACACTGAATAAATAACTGCTTGTGTTCCCGTAAGTTCAGTTACGTGTATGCACAGACTACAGATGTAAACCTAAAACCACAAAATGCAATGGAGTTAATAAGTGCAATTCTGGGAAAAGGGTCAAAATGTGGAGCAGTTGCTATGGAAACCAATTGAGTTCCCTGGCAGTCCAGTGGAGGAAAATACCCTGGTAGTCCTGCAAGAGTTGAAACTCCCATGTAGTTCAGCACGGGTTGAAATTCCCTGGTAGTCCTGCAGAGATTGAAATTCCCTGGTAATAACCTGACCTCCACATTGCATCTAAAGTGCATGGGGGTTTGACATACCACTTTCTTCGGAGGAGTTGGAGTTTCAGAGGTTGCCTGTATGTTCAAAGAAACAGAAGTTTGGAGTGATATCAATTATGTAATTGCAAAGTGGTCTGTTCAAGTTTGGCCAAATACTGTTCATCTATGGTTCTTCAGTCTGTCCCCATCAATAGGGGGGTTTGGTTAACCATAGGATGCTGTAGCGGTTGATATCCACCTCCTGACAAGCGTGCCGCAGATTAGAATGTTAATTTAATTTGACTTTCCTCATTACTTTGAGTTGAATTAAAGGAGATATGCATTTTCTTGTTACCTTCTCTTCAAGTAAAAAGATCTTTTGGAATAGACTATCACTCCGCAAGCAAGATTTAGAACTAATGCTTGAATATTTTCCAAGACTAATGAAACTTTCTCAATCAAGAGTCACGAATCTATTTTGTCACGAACTTGAAAGAGTCAAAGCCGCCAAAAGAAAAGGTAACATTGCAGAATAAAATCGATGTGCAATTATTATTATAGCAAATCTATTACAGTAAACATATTCTATACTCAATGCAACCGAAAATGTATTTATGTGTTAAGTGCCAACCTATTGCACGGTGCAGGACATCGAAATTCAATACCCCTTTGTAAAAATGAATGCACGGTATAAAGTTATTATCAGACCCCCACTGATATGCATGATTTACCAAATATCGAATTCTGTGTGTAGTGATAAAAACGTGACACATGACAAAGGAGGGAAGTCTGTGTTAAAATACAGCTGTAACCACTATGAATGCTGTTGTTTTAGTGATGCAGTCACGTTTGATCTTTTGTTAGGCCATATAGAGGAACAGATATGCAACCATAATTGGGTGCCCACTCAGCCATATCTCTGTTCTTTCCTTTGCATGTGTTGCTGTTGCACAAATACAAAATGTATATTTGGGCACGTGTATTCATGCTTCTTTTTCATGTGCCATTTATAATCTGGTAATCATAATTGTTCAACTCAATATCATTCTTCTGTTACGCTCTAGACTTGTAAAGCACTCCAGTTTGCTGAAGTGCTGTATTTGTTTGGAGTCTGCCTTTTTTTTAACAGTTTATTAAAGTGCCGATTCTAATAGAAAACAGGGAGGGTTTTTAAAAAAAATAAAATTTCTGCTTTTGTTAGTTCCACAGCGCTAACGACAGTCACAGGTGCGCTAGGCTAAACGTGCCACAGGACTCCATGCTTTGAGCATCTTTTTAACTCAATCTGCTGGGTTTTTGCTGCACATGGACTTTTGTGAGGTTGTTTTTTTTTTCGAATCCCTGATGGGTAGTGAGCTAGAGCTGATAGTACACTGGTGTATTTTAAAGGAGCTGATTGTGAGCCACGTATCCTCTACAATGTCTGTTGTCAGGAATTCAAATTAAATTGCAAGTTGTCGGCCAAAAATAAATAACATTTTTCAGTTTGGCTATTTTAACCTAAAATTTTAAGTTTGCTTTGTATTACTCACAAATCCCTAAATATGACAATCTTACCAAATTGTTTCTTCACTAGGAATTTTACATTTATTTAAGAACTTTTGATTTATCACTGTAAGGGCATACACTTGTTATTAGGAAAAAAAAAAGTTTTGATTTTTATTCAAATTTTTTTTTTGAGATTTTGTCAAAAATATAATAAAGTAGGTAAAACAAATGTTGCTGTGCACTTTGATCACACCACACCTGTAACCTTCCATTGGTACATCAGTTGACCGTCATCAGTGGCTTTGGGTGATTGAATCTCCCCCTTATTTTGTTGTTTTTCTATTATGCTGCCTATGATCTAATTTTCTTCCCTTCCTTCCCAGGGATCAGTTTTAATACGGGCAGGTTTACTTTGGAAGAAAATAAACAGCTCCACGAAAACGTGAAGGAATTCATGTTTATGTCGGGGGTGGACAGTGAAGAGAAGCTTTTTCATTCCTATAGATTTCCAGAAGAGCAGCGTTTCATACAGTTATTGAAAAAACAGTACAACTTCAAAGAGCGAATTGGTAAGCAATTGTAAAGGAGTTTAAGCATGTGTGGGATAGGCATAAGGCTATCCTAACTATAAGATAAGGCCAGGGACTAATGAAAGTATTTAGAAAATTGGGCAGACTAGATGGGTCGAATGGTTCTTATCTGCCGTCACATTCTAGGTTTCTATGTCTATATGTTGTCACTTAATGGCCCTATCACTCCATCTCTGTGTTAACTGAATAGATTCCCTTGTTTTAACCCATGTTTATAATTTTCCCGCGTCCTAGGTACAAACATACCACGCCCACTAACCGAAATCAGTCACCGAGGAGAGAAGATGTTTGATTTATCTAGCCAAAAGGGACGGTAAGTCTTCTGGTCACATAGATCAGTGGTTTGTCTTCTAGCTGTCCAAGGTTTTATTTTCATTAATGTTAGCTAAGCCTCTCATGCATCCAAGGTCAACAAATGAGTAATATTAAGTTAAACCATAATCACATTTAGACCCCAAGACATTATTAAGTAGCAAAAAGGTAAAGAAAGGCGTACCATATACGAACAAGTAGGGATGCACGGAAAATTTCGGCCGACAATGGGCCTATCCCATTTCGGCCGAAAATAGGACAGAGTGACTTGTCAGATCCTCGGTCCGTGACTTCACTCTGCCTCACCCTCAGTCGAGCCCTCCCTCCCACACTATGCCACTAGGCACCCCCTTCCTTACTATGTCACCACCTCACTCTGACACCAGTCACCCTCACTGCCACTCCCTCACTCTGCCACCTGTCCCCCCCCTTCTTCCCTCACTCTGTCATTCCCTCTCTCCCACGCTCTGTCACTCTCTGTCACTCCCTCCCACGCTCTCACCTGTCACTCGCTCTCACCTGTCACTCGCTCTCACCTGTCACTCGCTCTCACCTGTCACTCGCTCTCACCTGTCACTCGCTCTCACCTGTCACTCGCTCTCACCTGTCACTCGCTCTCACCTGTCACTCGCTCTCACCTGTCACTCACTCCCACGCTTTCACCTATCACCCGCCCTCACGCGTCCCACGCCCTCACGCGTCCCACGCCCTCACGCGTCACCCGCCCTCACGCGTCACCCGCCCTCACGCGTCACCCGCCCTCCGCTCTCACCCATCACCCGCTCTCACCTGTCACCACCTCACTCTGCCATCCCTATCAACCCACAATATGTGGGTTACACACACTACATCCCTAACCCACCGCACACTATGTGCCCTATACACTCTACATAACCTCCACACATACACACTACATCCCTTTCCAACACCTCACTATTTCATACACACACTACATGACCTCCACAAATCATTTGGGGGAGAAAAGTCATTTTCGGCCAAGGGCATCCTGAATTTTCTGGTCCGAAAATGAATTTTTATTTCAGTACATCCCTACTAAGGAGACCAAAGAATGAAGGTGGGCTGGCGGTACCAGACTTTCATTTATACTACCTGGCTTCCCACCTACAGAGCGTGTTGGAGTGGGTCATGGATGGAGTATCCAAAATGTGGAAAGAGATTGAGCAATCCCAGACGGGAGGTTCTCTGAAGGCACTAACGTGGATTCACCCTGCAGCGAGCAGGAAGCTTTCACCATCAACCTTTCGTTAAGACCACTCTAGACTTATGGCATAGGACTACAACGAGAATGGACCTCTCATCCTCCCCCTCCCACCTTTACCCTCTGACACATAACCCAGAATTTGCCCCCGGAACGGAGGAGAATGCGGTCACATGTGTACTCCCACAGCCAAAAGTACAAGACTGGCACCTGCTGGTGGGGGACGAACTTAAACCTCTTAGTGAGGTTGTAGATCGCGCACACCACACTTTTATTCAGAGATTGAGGTATGAACAACTGAAATTGTTTATAAACCAAATCCCACAAAAACTCAACTTGAAATTCTAGGTGATGACCCGGACCTACTACCGCATGCGGTATCCTATCTTTACTCATTAAGCCTAGAAAATAGAAACCTTCCATCTCTCCCGTACATGGGCAAAAGGGAAACATGGTTAGGGGAAACTTTCACAGACCAGCAGTTGGGCAAGATCTGTGACCTAGTACATCATTGTGCACTAGCCAGTAAGACTCAGGAGACTGCCTATAAGGTTCTGTCTTTATGGTATAGGACCCCACAGGCTCTAAGGTATTTGAATCCATCTCTGGGAGACGATTGTTGGGTCTGTGTGGCCAGCACTGGAACGTTCCTGCACTTTTGGTGGGAATGCCCTATGTTAACACCTTTTTGACAGGCAATAGGTGAAATCTTAAACAAATTCTCTGACAACCCGCCCACTTTCCGACCGCCCCTCTACCTCTTACATCACACTACCACGCCAACAATGGCATGCAAGAAATCCCTGACAGTCAAAATATTGAATACTGCAAAACAAGTGCTGCCTCTGTTTTCTGGAAAAAAGACATACCCCCCTCCCTTGACAGTATGGTTTGATAAGATGGAGGACCTCCGACAACTGAGGGAACTGACGTTTGCTGCACAAGACCACTCTCAGACTTATATGGACGCACTGGCTAAAGGTCGTTTACTAAGCTGATTTCCGGAGACTGCTCATGTATGGACTTCGGACGGGACTCCAGTGGGAGAGAGGAGTGCAGGAGGGAAGGGAGGTCTTGAGTCACCGGTCCAGGCAGTATAGGGGCCAAAGCTCTATCCCGAGAGACTGTTTGCTGCCTCTCCGTTTATGGGCCACACGGAGATGTGTCCAAGCACCCAATACTGTAACCGGTTCGTGTAGAGCCCTGTTGGGAGGGCGCTGGAGAGTATTACTACCAGTGAATGGCTTAATGACTATCACTGTACCTAAGAGAGGCGTACAGGTTCAAGCGGCCCATATAACTTTACCTTGTCCCCAGTGGAGCATAAGATCAAACTCCAACCTGCGGCTTAGAAGCTGATCCTTACTGTTATGACTATATATATATATATATTTATTAGTTTTTATTTGTAATTTCCTGAATTGTCTATGGTATGTATGTAACATTCTTTGACGCACTGTCTCAGATTGGCACCTTTAAGAGTACATTTGTTAATTACAAAATGGCCCTGCGTGGCTACACTGAAAACAAAATGAATAATAAAGGGAAGCAATGAAGAAAGAAAGGTGAAAAGAAAAAAAAGGGGGAGGGGGAAGGGAAAGGAAAAGAGGAAAGGAAAGAAAACTGTACTAATTGGGGACCTGCGTGTCCTTCTTTCTTGGCTTTTTCCTGCTGTTGTTGAATGTCAATAAAACTTTCGTTTAAAAATAAAAATAAAATAAAAAGGTAAAGAATAATTGCCAAGGTGCTTTAGGGTTAAATGGACACTAGTCACAAAAGCTATTTTTTGTGTGTGTGTGTATAGATCCTGCCCCTGCAGTCTCACTGTTCAATTATCTGCCATTTAGGAGTCAAATCACTTTTGTTTCTGTTTATGCCGCCCTAACCACACCTCCTCTGGCTGTGACTGACACACCCTGCATAAAAACAAATGGTTTCATTTTCAATCAGATGTAACTTACTTTAAATTTTTTTTTTTTTTTAATCTCCTGCTCTGTGAATTAAACTTTAATTACATACAGGAGGCTCCTGCAGGATCTAACAAAGCAGGAGATAAAAACAGAATTTGCAAGAAAGAAAGTGTAACTAATAGATTACTCTTTTCAGGAAGTGTTTAGGAAGGCTGTGTGAGTGACATGCAGGGAGTTGTGCCTAGGTCTTCATAAACAAAGTGATTTAACTCCTAAATGGCAGATAATTTCTGTATATTTCTGGTGTGGGAATGGATTTTTTCCTTAAAGAGCTCCCAGTACTTTTTATACCAGATTACTTCTCACCCACTTTTAGTTAAGCTTTTCTTATAATTCTGTATTTGAACATGCAGGGAGGTACAGCTAGGTCTTCATAAACAAAGTGATTTAAATCCTAAATGGCAGAGAATTGAACAGTGAGACTGCAGGGCCATGATCTATACACCAAAACTGCTTCATTAAGCTAATGTTGTTTTGGAGACTGTAGTGTTTCTTTAATTTTCTAAAGGTGCTGATTTCAAGAGAAATCCTTTCAGTTGCACTTTCCTGGCTGTCCTCATCTCTAATCTGTAGCAGATGTAAGCATTTTTCACAGCAAAGCATTGGTTTAAGTGCTACTCTATGTGAAGCACTGGAGTTGCACTTGCTGCATCATTGGTGATGGTTTCCAAGAGGCAGCACTGCAGCGATGTGATCTGTTGGGTTTTATTTTTATGCTTTTAGGTAATAGATTGCAATGTGTTTTTTGTTTTTCTCATTTGTCTACTATAATTTTTTTTTTTTCTACTTTCCAGGTTCTCAGCCCAGGAAGTGCATGAGTTAAAAAAACAAATGCAGTTACATGGAAACAAATGGAGAATCATCCGTAGCTCTATTGATAGGAGTAGTATTGGCTTACAGTTAAAGGCTTCACAGCTCAGACGAGGTAACTGGATATCAAATATGTCAAAATGGAATAAGGGCACTCTCTGGAATTATTGCATATTACTTTAAATATAAGCATATATGCCCCTTTCATGCAAACAGAAGAAAACTGATACACAAAGTATTCATTTTGGGAGGGGAAAAAATATTCCAACGTCAAGTGCTCAGAAAAAGAAAATTAAAATATGACTTGGTCCCCATTGCATATTAAAGCCTTAGATTGCATTTCATGTCATTGGCTAGTGGATACAGTAGGGGTTCTGTATGATTGGCTCAATTCTCACCAACCGTTCCAGGCCAATGCTTCCTCCAGAGAAGGATTAAAACCAATGCGGATCAATAGGAAGTCTCACTTCTTCCTGGATGTCTTACCTGGGGGGTTCATACCAGAAACTTTATAAAAGTGCTGGAGAAGGGGACACTCTGTTAACCACTGAAAAGCTTTAGGGGTTTGCAGTGTTCCTTTTGTATAGTTTTGATTTCTTCCACCCCACACCGTCTTTCAACTTTGAAAGGGATAACATCAGGTTAATTCCATTTATTCTAGCACTGGGACAAGCTTTCTCACTGCAGCTCTAACCCATTTCTGGTGAAGTCTTCAATGCTGATGGCTTGTCTCCAATCAGATTCATAAAGATACCGGATATATTGGGATAGGGATCGACCGATATTGATTTTTTTTTTTTTAGAGCCGATAACCTGTCAACTTTCATGCCGATAGCCGATAACTTACTGATATTCTGTACATTTACCATTTTGAAAAAATAAACTATTTCTAAAGGTAAATGCACAAAATATACATGCCACGTGTAGTTGATGCAGTGTGTTTAGACATTGGAGCTGTGTGTGTTTGTGTAGTGTCTATATAATATGAATGCATAGTGTGTGTATTTCTGTAGCTATGTAATTTGTGTAAAATATATTTATTTATTTTTTTGTCCCCCCTCCCTGCTTGTTACCTGGCCAGGGAGGGGGTTTATGGCATTCCCTGGTGGTCCGGTGACATGGACTGTGCAGTGGGGGGGCCACAGCAAGCTCTTACCTACCCTTCAGCTCCCCGTCTAACTCTCGTGGCCTGCGTGCTGTGCGTAGCGTTGCCATGGTAACCTGTGGCAACTCCCTGACAGCCGCGGGACCCACGAGATTTTCACAGGGGAGCTGAAGGGAGCTGCTGGGAACGTGTGTAAGAGCTTGCCTGGCCCCCCAGGACCGCCAGGCTTGTAATGGGCCCGGCGGTCCTGGTATGTATTATCGGCAATATCGGTCTCTCTATAGGCCAATACTGATATTTCCGAAAATACAGAATATCGTCTGATAATATCAGCCAGATCAATAATTGGTCGATCCCTAAATTGGGATACATGGCGTACACGTGAGAGTCACCACAATCCGCCAACAATGCTGCTCGGTAAAAAGCACTGAAAGCCAAAGCTTCCTTATGAGAAGCACTCACTTCCACTTTGAACTGAGGCAGGAAACCCTCCCGACTGTCTGATGAGTGGCAGGTATTATGATGGGATTTATAAACGTGACAATTTTTTCTTAATATGGGCACATTTTTTAAAACGAGTCTGCATGGGCAAGCAGTTAAAGGGACACTATAGTCACCAGTGCAACTACATGTATTCCTAACCCTATAGTGTTAATACGACCATCTAGCCCCCCTGGGCCCCTGAAGCCTCCATAAATATAGTAAAAATCTTACTGTATTCAAGCCAGAAGCTGTAAATCTGCATGCTGAGACTCAGGAAAAACAAGCAGTCTGCTGACATGTGATAGCCTGATCCAATCACAGTGCTTCCCCATAGGATTGACTGAGACTGACAGGGAGGCAGATCAGGGGCAGAGCCAGCATGATTCAAACACAGCCCTGGCCAATCAGCATCTCCTCATAGAGATGAATTGAATCAGTGAATCTCTATGAGGAAAGTTCAGTGTCTGCATGCAGAGGGAGGAGATACTGAATCACAGGATGCTCCTGCACAGCAGATCTGAGTGGATGGAGGCATATTCTGCCTCCATTAACTCAGAAGTCCCTCTGGCTCACTCTGAGTGACTGCAACTGGAGGTGTTCCTAGCTTTCAATGAAAATACAGTATTTACATGAGAGAGGCTGCAGGGAGCTATAGTTCTAACCCGAGCAGCATCATTAAGCTGAAGTTGTTCAGGTGACTATAGTGTCCATTTAAGCTCTAAACCACTTCAGCAAGAGTCTGCAGAGCCCTAAAATGTACTTTTGCTATAAATTTTTCAGACAGTGAAAAACATTTTTACATTTGTTTGGAAACACACCTATGTTGCCTGCCATTAGAGGCACTTTCTATTTAGGTTTTCATCATTTTCCATCATCATTCATAGCATAATGATGTCAAACGCATCCACGGTTTCTTATTTACCAGCATTGGATTTAGTGCTTCTCTATGAGGGGTGAGACAGTAATCTAGAGAGAGCAAAGAACACTCTACCATTAAAAATACATTTTATTTCTAATGTTGGTTTTCCTTTAATATGAATCGCATCATTTGCTACTGCACATACTACCTTAAGGTGATTGAAATTTCAGAGCCTAGTACCTAAACCCACAGTTCACATATTGGTGAGATGAAAATCCTAAATTTAGTTGTTTAAAAAAAAAAAAAATAATAATAAAAAAAAAATATTGTGTGCAGGTAGTTGCATATCACTGTCACAATAGCGTACATTGGTGTATTCAGGCAAGACAGTGGCACGAGTAATTACACTTTTTTTGTAATTTTTTATTTGAACAAGCTTAGACGTATAGCAAAACGCATATTTGATTATTCAGATAATTATGTCGATAATAAGAATTCCTGAGTAGCCATTCCTTACTGCACAAATTCTGTCTGGCATATACATCGCCATGGACTACATTTGGAATTAAAACAAGCTAAGACTTTGACTATTCAGGCACTCATGTTTCAGGCGATAAAAAAAGAAAAGTAAATGAGTTAAAATGTTATGCTAGGCGTTGTGTATCAGAGGGTTATTTCTCTGCCGTATCATTGCTTTCTATGTGTAGAGGTCAAAAGAATAAAGCTGTATGAATCAAACTGAGCTAGTATTTTCCCTTGCAGATATAAGCTTAAATCAGAGAAAGCACTCTAATCATGACAGAGTAGGGGGATGTATACAATTAAACAAGGCATATCACAAGCATGAGTAACAAGGAGAATACAATTAACAAGAAGATATAGGGCATGATGCCCATGAGTGGTAGCATGCAATTCCTAACCGTAGATTAGGAGACAAAAATGCAAATAGCAGGAATATTATACACCAGAATATGAAATCATAAAAGGAACGTAAGTACAGTTATGTGGTAGGTTTGATAAAACCTACGCCTGGTGTCTTCACCCTTTGCTGCGTATGGGTCTTTGCAAAGTTTCCATGGCAGAAGGGGTTGCTCAGTCCTAGGTATCTTATTCAGCTGATGCCTGTCAGGGTTACCCCGAATTCCTGCAATGCCGCAAGGTAGTGTTCAGAACTTCCATGTAGGTACAGTTTATGAGGGTGAGTGACCGTACAGAGTTAGTGTGAGCCGGCACTCGTGCCCCCGGCCTGCGATGGGACCAGTACCTCGCTGCCATGAACTCTGTGACCGCTGGAGACCAAGTTCTTTCTATCCTGGTTGGTGCTGAGGGCTCTAAGTATTGCCATCTCCCACTAGAGTAACTGGTGCCTCTGGGTCATCCCCAGTTTGGCCTTAGGCTTGGGGAGGCTTGGCTTAGTGGAGGTTGGTGCTTTTGGGGTTATTTTGCCTGTGTGGGGCCTCAGAGAGCTCACCTCATGGTGTTGCGGTTTTTCCTGCCGTGGGTGCAGTGTCCATCTCATTCAGTCTCGTGCATTCCTCTAGTGCTGCCCAAAATCAGTCAAATATCGTCTCTAGACTTCCCTCTGTGCACGCTTGTTGTGGGATCAGTGTAGCCTGGAGTAGCCAGGTAAGAGGTGGCAGCAATGGGTTTTGTGGACCGGGATGACACCCACCGGTCCTGGGGGAGGAGGGTAGGGACTCGGCTGCGATTTGGCCCACTGGCCGCGTTGTGAAGGTTGGCCGCCACTCCCAGGCCTCAGTAGCTCTGGATTAGTAATCTGCTGCAAATTGACTCAGCATTGCACCAGATGTTGCCCGCTGCGTTCCGGGTACCACTCTGTGTGGGTGGAGGTCGGATGCAGTGCAAGATTGGTCGGTCAGCGGGCTTTAGAGCTTTGTATGCGGTAGAGACAACAAACAAAAGTGGGAACAACATCCAAAAATTTGAATACAACCTGGAAAATAAAATCCAAGGATGAAAAATGATATACAAGAATAATAGTGGATCTAGAATAATAAAAAATACATATGCTAGCGTAAAACAGTATAATAAATATAGGTAATGAGGTGCTGGTAGCAAACTCACAAACAGAAGTCGAAATCAGGCCTCTCATCCCCTGGGGTATATATAGTACGGACTTGATAGTAGATCCTGGTAATAGGAATGTCTTCAAAGGAATGGAAGAAAAGAACCATACATGGTGAAGTATGTTAAAAAAAAGTAAAATAAGTTTATTAGATTACACTTACAGAAAGACAGATGTAAACAGACATATCTCCACTTAAAGTGGAACAAAACCGCAGCGTGGGGGAACTGGAAAAATTCCAACTCTGGCCGCAGGCAAGTGAAAAAGCAGGAAGATATAAAATAAATAAAAACAAATCAAGGGTCCAATATCTGACGCGTTTCGTCAGAGTAGAATAAGGGACTTCTTCAGGAATATGTGGTAATTCTTTCAATGAAGGAGCTTCTTATGTCCGTAGTAATTCACCTTAATGCCGTTCACCGGTGGCGTGCGTTCCACCCTGGAATGCAATGACGTACTTCCTGTGACGTCCGGCGGGTAGCTGGCTCAAGCGCAGAACGAAACAGAGTTCCAAACACTGAAGCTTAATCACCATATAGTGTGCTATGACACACGCAAATGAAATCTATGCAGAAGAGAACTGTCGGTATCCCGCGGGCGGCTGTGAGGGGAGGCTGCACTCCGCTCGCGGTACTCACCCTCCAACCCTTCCGCGGTCCCCTCCTCCTCGTGGGTCCGGCGAGCGGCATCCTTCCAGCCTCGGATGCCGCCCGCCGTTTCCTCCACGTCCCCCAGCGGCAGCATATATGACGCTGCACGCTGGGAGACCGCCCAAATTTGTACACGCCGGGGTCAGTCACCTGACCCGGCGTTAAAGGCACAGTGCCTCAATCACAGTGGGAGGTCTAGATATCTCCCACGTGTGATTGGATAATTTCCAATTAGAATTAACAATCAGAATTAACCTTATGGTTTAAATACTTACCTTTCCTGTTCCTCCCTGCCCTTTTGTGGTCTTTGCTTTCTAGTATTGCTACTTACCTTGTACTTGTACTATTCTGTCTTCTGGTTCCCCTTACTCGGCTTGTTTCCTGACTATTCTGTGTGTGCTTAGCCCGGTCACTCTAAGGTCCGGTACGGCACCTTGTGTGTGTGTGTGTGTGTGTGTGTGTGTTGGGTTCCCCGAATCGTGACAAGAACAAAATACACATTACAGGCGAGCTGTCGCCATAAAAGTTTAGCGAATTACTATTCTGTCATCATACTGTTTACTTTATTACTTTGTATGTGGTGGAGCCCCAGTCCCGTGCGACCGCTCAACCAGACGGCCATATCCCGCCCCTTTAAATTTAGTTTTTTGACGAAAAGTAACCCAGAGGATTTCTTGGTGCCCAAACCCTCAGCTTGAGACACGATGAAGGATAATTTCATGCGAATGCATTCTTGACTTTCTTTCTTGCCATGAGATGTGTAGTTTTATTTTGTCTTCATATTTATCCTGTCAGTGGTTACAAATTTCAACTGTGAGCATTCACGATTCCTTGGCACTGCAAATAAATGCCAACCGACCAACCCTGATTTTTTTTTCTCCTCTTCTTCTTGCAATCTTTACTTCGTACTATAATATTAAAGGACCACTATAGTGCCAGGACAACATACTCGTTTTCCTGGCACTATAGTGCCCTGAGGGTGCCTCCACCCTCGGGGTCACCCTCCCGCCCGGCTCTGGAAGGGGGAAAGGGTTAAAAACTTACCTTTTTCCAGCGCTGGGCGGGGAGCATTCTGCCTCCGATCCTCCTCCGTTCCTCCTCCTGGGCTGAATGCGCACGCGCGGCAAGAGCTGCGCGCGCATTCAGCCCGTCACTTAGGAAAGCATTTACAATGCTTTCCTATGGACGCTTGTGTGCTCTCACTGTGAAAATCACAGTGAGAAGCACGCAGGCGCCTCTAGTGGCTGTCAATGAGACAGCCACTAGAGGATTAGGGGGAAGGCTTAACCCATTCATAAACATAGCAGTTTCTCTGAAACTGCTATGTTTATAAAAAAATGTGTTAACCCTAGAAGGACCTGGCACCCAGACCACTTCATTAAGCTGAAGTGGTCTGGGTGCTTAGAGTGGTCCTTTAAATGTTTGGTACCTGACATGTCGAACCAAGTATGCTAGTTTGTCTAATCTTGGCTTTTCTGTCTACTATTCTAAATTCTTATAACTCTCTGACATCCACTATTTGAAACACCAGCATTGGATTCTCCCATTATAAACAATCTTCATCTTAACAGTATGCATTTTATGACCTAATTTTATTGCAGAAACCAACACGGGTACCTGGGGTGCGGATGAGATAAACCGTCTGATTGAAGCTGTGAAAGAGTTCATTCTTACCAGGGAGAAGACTGACACCTCTTCAGGGGATGAGGCTCCTGTCAGTATTGCCAAACAACAGCTGTACAAAGGCATTCCATGGGTTCAAATGGAGGAAAAAGTCAATACCAGGAACTGGTCTCAGTGCAAGACAAAGTGGTAAATGGATATTGGGTGAAAGTAGGGGGGTAATATCAGTACCATAGTGATCAATATCTTTATTACATGGTTTGTCTGGATTTCTTTATCGGGCTCATATATTGAAATGGTAAAATTATTGCACACCTTGGCATCTTGAGGTTAATTTACTAAATATTGATTTGTAACTAATTGATAACAGAGTGGAAAAAACTTGGCTCAAACAGACTATATATGTTTTTGAGATGGAAATGACAGGATTTGGCAATAGAATGAACATGAGCCTTGAAGGAGAGGTCAGAGTCAAAGAGAAGACCTAGGCAGCGAGCCTGCGTGGTGGAGCTGATGGTAGCGCCGTTGACTTGAAGGGAGGGAGACACAGGAAACAACACTTGAGGGAGCAAAGACCAGAATTTCAGTTTTGGTCAAGTTTAGTTTAAGGAAGTGGGCAGCCATCCAGTTAGAAATAGCAGAGAGGCAGTCCGAGACACTAGTCAAGAGGGACGGGGAGCGAGCAGGAGAGGACAGATAGATTTGCGTGTCATCTGCATAGAAATGATATTGGAAGCCAAAGGAGCTAATGCGTTTACCAAGGTAGGCAGTATAGATGGAGAACAATAGGGGACCAAGGACTGAACCTTGGGGGACACCAAGAGAGAGGAGTTGGGGAGAAGAAGCAGAGCCAGAGAAAGAAACATTGAAAGAGCGCTGGGAGAGGTAGGAGGAGCACCAGGAGAGAGCAATATCTTGTAGACCAATATTGCGGAGGATGAGAAGAAGCTGTTGATGATCAACAGTGTCAAAAGCCGCAGACAGGTCAAGGAGAATTAGGATAGAGTAGTGACCACAAGATTTTGCAGCGAGTAGATCATTGGATACTTTGCTTAGTGCCGTTTCCACAGAGTGTTTAGCGCGAAAACCAGACTGAAGCGGGTCTAGCAGAGAGTTGGAGTCTGTCAATCTCGCATACACAATTCTTTCAAGGATCTTGGATTCAAAAGGCAGTAGCGAGATAGGACGGTAGTTGGATGGGGAGTTAGGGTCAAGGTGGGGCTTCTTTAGAATTAGGGTTACAGTTGCTTGTTTGAAGGGCGATGGAAATATACCAGAGGAGAGAGAGAGATTGAGAATTTTAGTGAGAGGTGGAGAAAGAGAAGAAGGTAGAGTACGGATGAGATGCGAGGGAATCGGATCTAGGGAGCAGGTGGTGGGGCGGAAGGACTGGAGCAGAGCAGAAACCTCTTCCAATGTAGCAGGTGTGAATGAACATAGAACAGCAGAGGGAGTGAAGTTAGGGAAAGTGTTGTAAGGGGAATAAGAAAGAAGAGAGATCTCTTCCCTGATTGTAGAAATCTTGTCAGTGAAGTGAGGTGCAAAGTCTGAGGCGGTCAAGTTAGTAGGTGAAGGAGGAACAACAGGGCAAAGAAGAGAGTTAAATGTGTGAAATAGTCGTTTGGGTTCGCGGGAGAGTGGTTATGAGGGTATTAAAGTAATTTACTTTTACAGTGGAAAGAGCCAAACTGTGTGAGCTCAGCATAAATTTATAGTGTAACTTTGGCAAGCGTTTGTGGCGAAGTGGCTACTTCAAAAGACTGGACATACCCCATTTTTAATACCCTAGGTTGTCTACTTTTTCAAATGGGATGTCATGGTGGGTTTAATTTTCATTTCTGGGCTGCATACCGTCCCAATGGCAACATAGCCAATCTGGCAAGTAGCATTTTACAAAAAGAGAAATTGGCAAATCACCCTGTAACTTTCCAAATCACCATAAAACCTGTACTTGAGGGGTACTGTTGTACTTGTGAGACATTACTCTACACAAATGAGTGTTTTCGAGCAGTAAAATGTATTATGCTGATATCATTGGTGAAATGTCAGTTTGTGTAAAAAATGCAAAAAATATATATAAATGCTAATTTTGGCCAGGGTTTTTGACTAAGTGGCAAATAAAAAAAGAGTATAAATAACCCATTTTGAAAACAGTGGGTTGTCTACTTTTACAAATGGTATGCCATGATGGGGTTAATTTTCATTCCTGAGCTGCTATACAGTCTCAAAGGCAACATAGGCCCAGCAAACCAATCTGCCAAATTTCAATGTGCAAACATGAAAAGGGGGAAAGCCCCTACATTTGACCCTCTGTAATTTTCCAGAAACCCATAAAACCTGTACATTGGGGGCACTGTTGTTCCCTCCGAGACATTTCTAAATACAAATATGTGTATTTTATTTTATTAAAATCTAACAGTATTATGACATTCACAGTTAAAATGCCACACAGAACTTGAAAAAGAAAAAAAATTCTTAATTTTCATCCTTTTTTTTTTTAGATTTTATTTATATTAAATTGTTTCATATATAAATATTTGATATGAAATGAAAGCCCTGTGTCTCTGGAACAAAATATATTGTATTAGGCATATTAGGGAGTTTACCAAATATGTATATTTGTTCTCTTATGATATTAATTAAGATCCACAATTTTCAGCATTGTATGCTAATTACAATGTACCTGGCACCTGAACTCAAAGTGCCTTGTACAAGTTCACATTAAAATCATCTCTAATGATGATCTCTCTCTGAGTCTGGGCTACAGATTGCTCATTAGATTCTTGATATTTCAAGACTTGTGCCATGACAAAGTATTGTGTCTTCTCTTACGTATAAGAGGTTACCTAAGTATATATATATTATTTTATAGTTAAAGCTTCCAAGCCCCACATTGGGCGCCAATTGTAACCGCGGCTGGTTCCCTTATTTACCACTATAACGTCTTAAAGCATAGACTTTAGCAGGGCTAATCATACAGATATCTTAGCCATAATTTTATATAGTTAGTAAGAGATACTCTATTTAACATATATAAATAATTGAGAATAAAATATAAAATAAGGATTGTCTTGGAAGCAATAAAGTTTTGTCTTTTAGATATTTATTAAATAAAAATATAAATATAGACATATAGCAGAGTTTATAAGATTAAACTAAATGCTTGCAAATATCATTAATAGGTTAACATACCCTTCTGAACATTTCATCATGTCAGCCTCTCTGTCATTTTAAGATGGAGCAGCATCTGTCTCCAAGTCTCTCCTCCCTTTCTTAACATTTAAAAGTACACCTATTTATACCATAGGTGTCTCCATTTTAGGGTTACTGTAGTTCATATATGAAAAATTAACACTTCTTTTACTTTATTCATTTTAGGATCTCCCTTAACCCCTTAAGGACACATGGCATGTGTGACATGTCATGATTCCCTTTTATTCCAGAAGTTTGGTCCTTAAGGGGTTAAAGGACCACTATAGTGCCAGGAAAACAAATTAGTTTATCTATTGCCCCCACCCTCAGGGTCCCACTCCCGTGGCGCTGAGGGGGGAGAAAGGGGTTAATAGCTTACCTCTTTTCCAGTGCCGGGCTCCCTCGGCGCTGGAGTCTCTCCTCCCTCTTCTTCTGTCATCGGCTGAATGCGCATGCGCAGCAAGAGCCGCGCACGCATTAAGCCAATCTCATAGGAAAGCATTCTTGATGCTTTCCTATGGACGGCAGCATCTTCTCAGCGCGGAAGCGCCTCTAGCGGCTGTCAATGAGACAAGCACTAGAGGCTGGATTAACCCTATTGCAAACATAGCAGTTTCTCTGAAACTGCTATGTTTACAGCAAAAAGGGTTAAACCTAGATGGACCAGGCACCCAGACCAGTTCATTAAACTGAAGTGGTCTGGGTGCCTATAGTGGTCTTTTAAAGGGTGTATACGTCATGGAAATTTTCCTGACTTAGTTCAAGATGACATCTTAAAGTTTGAACATCCTTATCTACTTAGTATATTGTGTACTGAAAGAATCGTAGCATAGCCTTGAAGCTTGTTAATGCATTATTGTTATTGTAATTCGTCTGGGACAAAATGGTGTAAACATATTATGCACTGAGGTTATTGCTTAAAGAAACAGTTATGAAAAACAATATGTTCCATCTCTAACACCTTGTCAGTTTGCAATATCTCTTAAAGACAAAATATACAGTTTAAGAAATACAACATTTCATTCTAAAACTTGTAATATTTGCATTTCCCATAACAATATATAACGAGTGTGGGTGCACTTAATATGAAAGAGGTGAATTATGGGTGAACCACATATTCCATGTTTTGTTTACATTTTGTTTTGATCACAACTTGTACATTTGGCTCAGTCCTCAAGGGGTTAAAATTGAGTTACCTTATATTTGTTGACTGTAAACACAATCTCATGAACTTATCAGAAATACAACTGGAAAATGAGAAAATAAATTATAATATCCTCAGAGGTTTATAAAATTAACTATTCTGTTGTTTGATCTGTGTGATATTTAGTGCAAAATAAGATAATTTCTTTTAATTTATTATAGGATGGAAATACTGCTTTCACGCATGAACTTTGGAGTTAGCCCATTTGAAGGAATAACCGGTTTGTGTACGAGAATAAAAATGATAAAATGGTAAGTTGCCAGTATCCTACGGCACTTGACGCACTAACTTGTTTCCTCCTTCGTCTCTTCCTGTCAATCATTGCTTTAAGCTCTGCCCTTCTCACCTGTCAGTCAGCATTGAAAGAGAAGGAAAAAATTAACAATATTTCTGTTTCTCCTCCTCAAATTCTTTGTGCCCTGAATTGTGAGGTCAATTTCTAAATAATTAAAGAAACCCTACAACCCTCTCAACGCTTTTCATGGGAACATACTAGGGTCTCGAAAAAATAAAAAAAGTGTTGATTTTCTCCCTTGTTGGACTTTCATACAGCTAATGTTATGACTTCCTACACTTTTAAAAGGAGTGACACTGAGCTATTGGAACATCCAGTAGATACATTTTGATTGAGATTATTATTACCTCTACCCACTGGTTGAACCTGCTATTGTTCTCCACTGCTCTCAAATAGAGCCAATATTGCTGGCTCTCAAAGAGTGAGTTTAACCTGTGTGTGTGTGTGTGTGTGTGTGTATATATTTATATTTTAAGCTATGAGACGTTTTCTCCTTTGGTGATCCTAGATCTCAAGTTGTGCACAGAATTACCCATCAAAAGGGGTAATATTCATTTTCAATTTTTTGATGTGTGTGCTTTCACTTTTTTTCTATATTACCCTTATCCATTACTTCTGTAAAAACTGTCTCAATACCCCTTTCCTTTTGTTTAGATGGTGGGTATTGCGTAAACTGGTGTAGAGTCAAGTTAAGTGTGGCCAATAGGGTGTGCAATTTAACAAACCAGGGTCACTGCTTCTAATGGCCCATACCGTGGACAGCAGGGGCTGCAATTCTGTGGGAATTTCAATAGTGCTGACACCTTGAAACAACTGTGCACCAAGTATAGACAGTGGGGGAGAAAATGGTATGCATTCGGGGGATTTTGATTATCCAACGCGCTTTTTTCCCCCCACAAATAAACAGTATCCTTTACATGTATACGTACTCTGTTTAGTAGTTGGGAATGTGCCATTTGTGTCTGTGCTGACTAACTGCAGCTATACGTCAAAGCATGATATAGAGCTCACAGTGTTTGCTGATATGTAAGGTTTAAAATGGGTTGCTGCCATCAAGGTGGCTAGCATCCAGGCTAGCTTTACTATTGGTGTAGTGAATAGGATGTCTAGCACTTGTTGGTTGTGGGGAGGCAGCTGGAACAACCCAGATCAGAGCCTCCTCTTCTGGTTGTGAGTGGATATTGTACAGTATGGTAGAGGGAAGCAATGCCTTATGGGTGTACTCGGTTTAGATCCAAACAAATCGATATGAAAGACAAGAGAACAAAAATAAAAAATGGAATATGGTGCAGTATGCCACTATCATTGGTGAGGTAGATTAGAGAGATACACTTACAGTTTTTGGAGCTTTAATCCTGTTCCAAGTGTTTACACCTGTGTGGTACAATCCCCGCATGTGGATGTACTTGTAGCATTGATCTTATGTTGTCTTTTATATTGATTTGTTTGGATCTAAACTGAGGACATCCATAAGGCGCTGCTTCCCTATAGCTATGCTATTGCCTGAAGCCAAAACACTGGCGGCAGTAACGGAGATTCCTCTACCATCATTCCCATTTTGGCCAATACATTTATCCAAGGAAATTCACCGAACAATTGGGAATTACCAATAATGAGTGATGTAGCCACAGCTTAGAGTCTTCCTGACTCTTAATAGGCATGGGCGTTATCCTAGGACAAGAGACGTCATATGTTTAACGGTAACAGGTCCCTGATGCAAATGTTCAGGGAGAGCAAATTGCTCCACTGTCAGTAAAACAATCATAGATTTGACCATTTACAATTAGGTTTGTCATTGGAAGTTGGTTCCAGTTATCAGAGAGCTGTGGGGCCAAGCACGTTAGAGTCCCCGACTGTTGGATTTTCTGTGCCTTGCCAGCCTGATCCCATTACATAGGGAATTGGACTGGCTTAAGGATTGCGTGGTGGTTTGCTTCTGGAATGGGGAAGAGGTGTCTAAAAAATTATTAGGGTGAGGAATATGATTGGAAATCAAATCAATGCTCGCATCACCGGTAAAAAAGTTCAAGATGGGTTATAGGTATCCCCTTTAACTTGGCTACAGAACTTTAAAAGGTGATCTTAATCAAGTTGTGGTTATTCAATTGCTACACTGGCAAATGTCAGCAACTTTATTTAAGTCATGCCAACTGCTCCTGATGCTGACTGTCTAACATTTTCTTTTGCAGGCTGTATGACAACAGGATATCAGAAAGTGGCCTAATAAACTGGGAAGAGTTTGCAGAGTTTCTTGGGTAAATATTTTTGTTTTTGTGTGGCTGTTTAAGCATAATGTTGCTTAATTCACTGGTTCCCGACTCAATACTTTAGGCACACAAGCAGTCCAGATTTTGTCTGTATCCCCGGCGGGGCCAAATTAAGAAATAGCCAATTCCTTGGTGTTTTGAGATTTTAGAGGCAAAAATCCAGAAATCATTTAAAGAAGAATTAAAAGTACCACAATCAGACAACATTGCTGCCCTGCCTCATTGACAGGTAGTCCAGCAGTCGCCCTGTAAAAACAGATCAGTGTTTCTGGGCAACGGGGGTGATGGACATGGAATCACTGTTTTTCTTTGCCATGGCAGACTGTGTCCTTTTATTGCTGGATGTCGCATATGTAGCCAACAGTTGGGAATTGCTGCGACCGTGGTAAGTACCAGGAACTTTGAGTACCACCAACAGTTGACAAGGGCATTCGGCAACTGATCGCTGTAGCATACCGCAGAAATCGCAAAACTTGGGACATCTGGGAAGGGTCTTTTGCCAGACACTCTCAGTTGTGAAGAATCTGGCAATAGTCGGGTTTTGCCACAAACCGTAAGACCCAACATTTTAATGGCTGCTGTAACTGGTATGTCTACTGTCACTAAGTGCATTAGTAATGGTAATGTACAAGTTATGGCAGCAATCCTAAAGGTATTAAACGGAAGTGAGCGTCAATTATAGAGTGGTACAAAACACCGTTATTTCTCTTCCTGCAAGATGTGGTCACCCATGATGCATGTGGCTTTCACTTACTCAATGGCTGCCCAGTTTGAATTTGTGGCATGCTTCCTAACTGTTAGAAAAAATAGGAAGGAAATTTAGAGGTATGCCCAGCTGTAACCTTATTTCCTTACCAAATGCTAGCCACTTTATCTATTGCAATAGATTGTTAAATGGAAACAGAAGAAATTACCCCTCTTTTTTTTTTTGTATGTGTAATATAAATAATAAAAAAAAAAATCAATTGAAATAATCAAAGCTCCTGTAACAGCACTGTCCAAGCTAACTGCAGGTCCAGGAAGGCCCTAACCAGGAAGAGGCTCCACGTATCAGGAGCCTCTCATTATGTTAAATGGTGTCTGGTCCAGCAGGGATTCATAGAATTCGTATGGTATCCAGCCAACCTTACATATCTCATAAAATTAGAGGAATGGTTTTATAAACGAATTGCTGCGGCTCTAAGCCATTCAAAGCTGTAATCCGGTAAAGGATACTTTCTGCACCATACGATTTACAATAACATACCTTTCTAATCTGGCGTTATGAGAAGTTGTACGCCAGTCGGATGGGATAAAGGGGGCAGGCCAAAGGGTGTCTGCTTCATACTGGTGTTTCCTGTACCCAGCCAGACTGAAAGGAAGTACTCACTGAGAGAGCACTTTCTGTCAGTCCAGCCGGGTACAGGAGACTGAATGAAGGTCCACTCTATTCCAGCAGGATCGTAGGATAATTTCCTTAATCTGGAAGTAGTGCGCTCTAAGGAGCACATCGCGTGGCGCCGAGTCCGGTAAGTATTGTGGTTTTGAGACTCTATGGACTCTATCCACTAGTAGCATTTCCGCTGGAACTCCCGAGACATACGCGTGCATTAGGCCTCGAACGTAGACCTGTAGGTCACATGGAAGCATGGTCTTCGGGACTACCCGCTAGCGGAGGTTATTTCTTTGCGCTCTATCCTCCAAATCCGCCATCCACATTTCCAGAAGCTCTGTTTTGTGCTCAAGAGCCTGCACATGGTCCGCCATGTCATTGTGTGCGGAGGCAAATTCTTTGCACTTTCTTTCCACGTGGGATGTCCTTGTGCTAAGATTCCGGATCTCTTTATGCAATTGGTAGGCTGTATTTTCCCATGATTGTATGAATCTCGCTGACATCACTTCCAGGGCTTGTTCGAAGTAGGTTTTTGTTAGTCCGTCTGAACTTTTGGAGACCATCCATAATTGACATGTGGGAGCTGGCGTCGAAGTCGTCCGTACCATCTTGCATAGTCTCCTGCGCGGCCTCAGATGCGGTGGGTGGTTTCTGGCCGAACAAATTGAGCTTTTCAGCTCTGGCAGCACATTTTGGGGTCAAATGCTGGGGTTCTGCAAGTGATATCTGTGATAAGTGGAGCCCATGTGCTGGAGCAATTATTTAAGCGGCCATCTTGCTAGGCGGTCAATATTAATTTTTGTTTGGAGTCTCCTCTGCCTGCATTACAATATGACTGATTGGAACTAACCTTTTATTTCTCCTGTTCTTTTCAGAAATATCCCACCAATGATGCTTCAAATAAAGGTTTATGCTCTAAAGGCTGAATATATTAATCGTTGGCAAGACATGACTTTCCAAGGTAAATATAACCACGTTTTGTCAAACGTTTGTTTACCGTGCGTGTGTTTTCAACCTTGACACTTGCAGGTATTAATTAGAGTGCATCTTCTTGGAATCTTAGCCAGATAAGGAACATTTCTTCTTCGATGGGAGAAATAACCACAGAACGTTTCATGGTCACATTCCAGTTTAATTCTTCTGGCTGCAATATTAAATGACTTATCACTTGGCAGTGTTTGCAGGAAAGTAATGAATTTACTACAATGGATTTAACATAACAAATTTGCTTTATCTATGAAGGACTGGATACAGTGCAATTGTATGATGACTGGTTAAGCATTAGAAAATCCCAATCAGACCATGTATAAGTGTTTGGGAAAACGTAAAAAAAAAAAATAATCCCCCTAAAAAGCAGTGCCTGCTTCTGATCTTCGTCATGAAGTCATTGGCTGAGAGCGCTATCTAAGTGTTTTCGTCCAATGAGTGCAGTGATAGATTAATATTGCCTTATTCAGTAGAGACCTTCTTTGTCCGGAGAAGACTGGACGTGGCACCGACACCGGCGGAACCCAGGAAAGTTGACAAACTTTCTGTAGGACAGTGCCGAATACTCATGGCACCATAATTACTGCAGTGGTGTAGTGGTTATGGTGCTTGTAGTGTTTCTTAAATTCTCCCTGATACTCATGTTTGGGCTGGGATATCTACTAAAATGTATCTCTAACTTTATATATCTATGGTTTCTGATACTGGCCATCTAATGCCCTTTTCATACTTTTATACTACCTCTTTTGACTTTGAATACATTGTTTTTTTGTTTTTGTTTTCCTTTTGTGCATTTTTAGAAATTGTGAATCACTTACATTCTGTAATCATACCAGCAATGGAAGCAAAATTAGAAATAGCAAAAGCCAAAAAGAAAGACATTGAATATGTAAGTAAAAATTTACACCCTTTCTGCTACTTGTAGACATATTTTACTCTGCCTTCTTCAAGGGATGTGTTGCCTATGTTAATAGCTGTGACTTATATTTAAAGGGTTTCTCCAACGTCAATAACAGAGCAAGCAGTCTATGTGTGCAGTGTTTCAGCTTAAAACGATGTACGCAGAGAAATCTGCAGTTTTGTGCTAGTAGCTTGTTGCAACCCTGGCATGTGTGACTTATGCCCCGTTTCCCCTGGACGGGTTGGTTCGGTCTGGTCCGCTATTTTGAGTGTTTCCATTATGAAATATATAACCAAACCCATACAACCGAACTGCACCATTCCTGGGCCCCCTTCAGATGAAGGTCCATAGGAAATGGTACGGTATGGTTAGGCCGAAGCTACTAGCGTCACACTACAGCATTGATTGGCGGACAGGAAAACGTCAATGCTCACGACAAATTACACGCTAGGTATTTGGTCTAAACCCCTCATGCCCCCTGGCGGTCGGACTTGCAGTGGAAACGCAAGACCATTCCAACCCTTCCAAACTATACCGAACCAAACCGTTCTGCTCAGTGGAAACGAGGCATATGTAGCTTGGAACAGCCTACTGTGAGTTCTGTTCATTAATAACATCTGTTGTTGGCGCACTGACCACAGACGCAGTGAGATTCTTCACATTGCAGGCAGCCCCGAGAGTGCAAAGAAAAGAGTTACTTGTGCACCATCCCAAATCCCTATGTATGTTCTTAGTTTACAATGGCCATTAGATTGTAAGCTCCCCTGCCACGTCAAAGCAAACCTCTTAGGGGGGGTTCTACACTTACAATTTACATTGCTTCCTTCAGCTTCAGAGAGGAGTATTTTTCTAAACCAGTACATACTTATTAACCCCCAATAGGGAACACATAGGATGGGTGGCAGCAGTGTAACATGGCTGAGTGATACAAAAGCCAGTACACAAAAAGTGCTCATCTGAGAGCGTGTCTACAATGTGAGATAGAGATGGATGGATAAAAGGATATATAAAGATAGATGGATAGATTGAGAGAGATGATAGATCTCAGGGCCGGTCTTAGGCAATTAGGCACCCTGTTCGAAAAGTCTTCACGACGCCCTCTCCCCCCCACCAAGTTGCCTGTAGACAGTCACACGCAGGCAAACAGGCAGGCAGTCACACACACGCAGGCAAACAGGCAGGCAGTCACACACACGCAGGCAAACAGGCAGTCACACATGCAGGCAAACAGTCACACACACACACTTCCAGTGGAGGCAGTTGGTCGTTGGGGAAGTAGAGACTCCTTCCTTCTTACCTCTTCCTGTGCAGCTTCGGGCAGGTATTAGCCCCGCCTCCGCGATAAGCCCTGCCCCGCCGCTCGTTCAGCCCCCCTGCTCGATATTTTATTTTTTAATAGACCTGTTTTAGCTCCCCTGACACCAGCCATGTGTGTGCTGTGTCGGCCACATGGTGCCCCCTAGTCCATGGCGCCCTGTGTGGCCGCACTGCTCGCACACCCCTAAGGCCGGCCCTGATAGAGATCTTACTTCACCATTTCGTGCCAGGAATCGTGTTTGTTCACATATTTTGATCTTTAGGAAGATCATATGCTGACGGACCTGTGGCCACCATAAGATTTGGAACATAAGCCTACTTATCCATTATGGCGATTCTGATAATTTATAAACAAAATAAAGTGTCCGCGCTATACTTGAAAACCTTATTTAGGTGATCACTCTCAATCTGAAGTAAAACACTTATAAATGCGGATTCATGGGAATACTTCCAATTGCAATAAAATAAAATAAAACAGACCACCGTAAGTGTAGTACTCAAATAATCATAGGGTCCAATAAATCTTGGGTGATGATCTTTTACAGGGTTAAGATTAGTCTTGCAGCTATGTCACAGCATCTGTAGCTACATTCTTGCACTGTGGGCTTTTAACATCAGCAAGTTGTGGTTCTCGTTTCCAAGATACCATGATATAAACTTTAAAATACACAGAGGCTTGGCAGCTGTTACCGTCAGTACACACTCCCACCCGATCTCAGCGCTGATTAAATGAATATTCAAACGGAGAGGAGGCTGTGGCTGGCAAAAAAGATGTGCATCCACCTCTGGCAGCAAGAAGCTGTTCACACTTTGACGCGTTTCGCCCACAATACTCAAGATCTTATAAGTGTTTTACTTCAGATTGAGAGTGATCACCTAAATTACGTTTTCAAGTATAACACTGACACTTTATATTGTTTATATATTATGTGTAAAGTTTTTAAGGATCTTTAAATGTGTATAGCTGCTGAATTTACTCACGTTCTTATTTATATTTAGTTTTATTTACTTTTAAGATCTGCGCTCTCCTATTTTGTCTAGATTCTGATCGTTTATGTAGCTTGTATTTCAAAGGTGCATTATATGCAACAAAGCCAATGTAAAATATTGTGATTTTGAGAAACTGCAAAGCTAACATTTTTGTCAAGAACACACCTCTAGAGGCTGTCAGACTGATGGATGGTCACTAGAGGCATTTCCTTATTGAAGACTTTCCATTTCTTAATGTTTTGAGGCTCAGCTGCATCAAACACAGATAACTGTGAATGCAATGGAGAAGTATGGAAATATCTGCTTGGCTGTGTGTAATTGCTGTACATACCCAATTGCCATGCACATTTTTAGTGTTGGTGTTTCTTTAACTGCAAATGTTCTTGATGGAAGCTTTGCTGTTCCTGTACACCATGGTAGAAAAACCATATACAGATGTTTTGCTTCCCTAAAGTGGAACTGTCACTTTCCAAGATTTTAATCCTGTTTACTTATACCTATATTTAACAAATATGTATTTGTACAGTGTAGAAAAAAAAAATGAATGTAGAAATCTAATCTACACCTCTTTATGCTGCAGCCGGGTGCCTCCATCTTGGCTCTCTCATCTGGGAGTCGGCATAGAGAGAAAATAAATAAAACAATGGCTCTATTTATTCTGCCTATTTACAATGTGTACCCTGACTGTCCCAGGACTGAACTAGATTTAAAATCTAATTGGCTTAATCTTTAATAGAACGTTTAATGCAAATGAAGCGTCATATGAAAAAGGTTAACAAACGTTAACATAGGTGATTTTCCGCTTTAAGAGACGCTTTAGTCACCAAGACCTTTTTATCTTAACGAAGTGATCTTGGAGCTTTGACTCGGGTGTAAATCATTGCCCTTTCGGAGTTATGGCAATGTTTACATTGCATCATGGTGACAGACACTTTCTATGTTGAGAAAGGAGAAGATGATGATTCTTCAGGTTCTACATCCTCACGCATTGTTTGAGGATGTCGGATGTTCACGTTGTACAATGCACGCAGCTCTGATATAAGCGTGCCTTCCTTGTTGTGCAATAACCCATGGGAGTGGTGTCCATTCCAAAGTCACTTTTGAGAAGCATGGAAATTGGTGCACATGCGCCTTTTGTCCACATTACACCATGTATCTTGATGACTGCAAAGGAGGCCGATCAGACTGCTGCGAGGACTGCTTCTCGACTCTAGAATAAAATAAAGTGTTATTTTCGTTGGATTTTTAAATGGATGGGGGGACTGAATTCCAAATGATCCACATATTTTAAATGAGGGAAAAAATATATGTATATTTTCACTGTATTGTTTTTTTAAAGCCTAATGAAACTGATACACCTTTATGGTGGGTATTGTGATTTACATCGCATATCTCTTTATGATACAAAGTGCATCTCCATGATGCAAGAAGTAACAGCACAAAATGTATTTCATCTGCTTAAAGAGATACTCTAGGCAAAACAACCTTAGCTTAATAAAGCGTTTTTTGTTGTTGTGTAAATCAGGTCCATGAAGTCTCAATGCTCAATTCTCTGCCATTTAGGAGATAAACTTTTGTTTCTGTTTATGCAGCCCTAGCCACACTTTCCCTGGCTGCGACATGGCCTGCATGAAAGAGAAACGGTTTCATTTTCAATCCGATGGGAACAGTACAGTGTGTTTACTTTAGAAGTGTTTATCACCTTCTTTGTAAATGTAACTTTAATCACACATGAGAGGCTCTAGCAGGCAATTAACAAAGAAAATGATACAAAATTCTACATTAAATACTTAATAAAGAAAGTTTAAAAATCAGATCTTTCGGGGGCGGGGCCTGACAGCCAAGATGGCCGATTGCACACACACAGAGCTCCTGTAACAGAGGGCACAATTATGCCAATATCGACCGAACTAACAAGGCCAGCGGCACACGGTGACCGGAGACTGACACTAGAGAATACAAGGGACAGAATGATACCTGTCTGGCACCAAACCACAGCGGAAAAGCCGACACCGACCATGCGGCCTAATTAAGAGCAGAGCCTGGGGGAGGCGGCCGATCTCCCGGCACGGGACACGCACACATGAGAGCACTCACCACAGCCCTGTTGCCCCCCCCCTCTGGACCGGCGGGGGATATCCCGGTCCTCGCTGGGGACGATTACCCCCGCAACACAGCTTGAAACCCAACAGACTCGGAGCGCCCCTGGGACCTCCGCTATGGGAATACCGAAGGAACCCAGAGAGATCACCGAAAAGCCTACTGACAGCCAAGCAGACCGCTCTGACTATGCGGCACGGCTGGACGCTGTCTTTATAGCATTCTGGCACAAACTGGAAAAGCAAATGCAACAAATGCTGCAGCAAGACATGGTGCCCGGCCTTCATGGCACCCACGTGGCAGCTGCAAAATGGCCGCAGCGAAACAACGGTGCACACGGGACCAGCAGCACCGCCTAACCTTGCATCGCAGACCGCCAGCTCTGCCGGCTCTGAGGGGGGCGGCACGCCGGAGGGTCAGACGCCGCGCATCACTCGGACACAAGGCGGCTAAGGAGCCACCCTACCAGCAACCTCGGACTGGAGTGCTGCGTCGATCAGAGGTATGGCGCAGCACCCAAGGCTTAACGGGAAATACAGCCCCACCCGCCTGCACCTCGGTACCGCGGCCTGCGGTACACCTCCTTACGCAGACTTCCCCCGGCTGTCGGGCCCACCTCCCTGGAACGGAGCTCCGACCCCGCTGCCACTATCACATCCTGCTTCCCGCGAGGCGGCTGGATACACCGTATTGCCGAACGGAACCTTGCCGCCAGACAACGGGCCTCGAGATCAGGCGTGGGTTGAGGGTCGGGAGTGGACTGGCTGCATCTGCTTTACACTTCATCGGGACGCCTGTTGCTTCTACCTGCATGGCTGACATGCCTAAAACTGAACTGCTGAGGACTCTTTCTCTTGCAGATAAGCAAAGTTATTAGTGATTTCCTTTAGTACCTTACTGACTCAAATGCCCAGTATCCTGGCAGCCATGAGAGTACGCTGCTTTTATCCTGGCAACCCAGATCTGCTAGATATGATCACCCGCATGACCTGTATTAGATAAGCCTGATCTAAAATAGATATCAGCATGGCATGATAGACTCTAAGTATGGTACTTAATGTAAATGCAGTATCAGTTTAAGCTATGATATTTGTTATGTCTACACCCGGGTTACCTTACCATAACGTGTCCCATCAAGCGTTAACTCTAAGGCACCTATCGTATACTCCTGCACAACCCAAGCCAATACGTTAGTCTAACTCAGTCTGGACCACCCTTCATTATTCAAACATCCCAATAAGCTACTGTTCTTCCACATTAATACAATGAGCACCGTTCCTCATACCACATACTTATTACAATCCCACTTGACATTTCGCTTATGTCTAACCACTCTCACCATTATTACACTAAACTCGTTAGTGAATCTAATTAAGCAGTTAAAAACCTGTACTGGATGTTGACATGCATAGCCTGGCTTGGGCTGCATAAACAAAATGATTTAACTCCTAAATGGCAGTGAACTGAGCAGTAAGATTGCAGTGGCATGATCTATACACCAAAACTGCTCAATTAAGTTAAAGTTGTTTTGGTGCTTAGTGTCCCTCTAATGCACAAAGGGAAAAAAACACAATTGTTAAAATCTAATTATCCTTTATTTATGGAGGGGGAATATGCTTAGTTTCATCCTTGAAATGTATAAGTCAAATTTTTTTATAATCTTTGTTTTTTCAATATTTTTCAGGTTTTCGAAAAAAAAAAAGACTATTTACCCAGTGAAATATTCTATGAATATACAGAGAAGAGATATGAGAAAGCTGATTAAAAATCTGCTGAGTTTTGTTTGAAATTTATTTCTTTTTGTTTTATTGTTTTTAAACAAAAATCTATATTGTGTGCTGGTGCTAATATTTAGCATAAGGCAGAGGGGATTTTTTTTAAATTGAATTATTCTAAATTGATCTGGTTCTCAGGAAAGCAGACAATATATATATATATGCAATAAAATCGGATACACATCTGGAAAATAATTAAAGCCTGTTTTGACAGAAATATTCATCACTGTCTACAAAAGCTAAAAGTTAATATGATGTAAGCTGTTGAAGGTAAAATGTATTTTTAAAAAATCTAAATTTTGTTTGTAATTGAATCTGTGTCTTTATTTAAGATGTACCACTGCTGTAAATCAATCTTCTTAATTGACTTGCAGAAATATTACACTGTCTGATTTCTTTTTTATATTTTTTTGTGCATTTTTTCTTTTTTGTGAATTTCAATATTATGTTGCTGTGAGTATAGGTGTACACTGCTAATTTTATTAGGATGTGTTCGTGGAATTTCTTACTATTCATTTTAATATTTTAAAATTTTAAATAAGACCTTTTTATATACAGTACAGGGCGACACAATCACAAGTGCAATACTATATATACCACTTAGTATAGAAGTATTCTCACATGTATAAGAGAGAAATAGAGAAAACCATAGTGTAATATTTTAATACAATTGGAAATAAATAAAACATTAACAAAAGAAACAAAAACATAGGCACAATTAAATATTACATTAACTGTGCAAAAAAAAAAACTTTGTAGTCTCAATGGGCTTAGTCCCCCAGGATAAGCAGCAGACGGTCTCTGTATCTCAGCATACCGATAATCCAAGTAGAAAGATTGGTGATCAAGTCCTGGAACTTGGCTTCCTTGACTTCCTTCCTGAGCTTGACACGTTTCATCCTATAGATTTCCTCATGAGCTGGATTCTTCCCTGTTTATTTAGTGTTTAAATAAGGTGAATGGTGTGTATTTCTGGTGACCCGGTAGTGTTGGGGGCCTGGAAAGATCGCCTGAATTGAGGAAGAGAGAAGCCCCATGATGCAGGCAAGGAGGCACAGGGGAACGAAAGTTCCTTCTGAATTGAGGAGATCTTTGAAGTTGGTAATCGTAGGACGCATTTCACAGAGTCTATCTTGAAACCGAGAAACTGAACAGTTTGAGACGAGGCGAGTGCCAATTTTTGCCTGTTCACCACGAAGCCCAAGGACTCCAGAAAGTGAACAACAAAGTGTGTCTGAGAGCGCAATCTGGACACTGCATCGCAGAAGATCAGCAAATCGTCCAGGTAAATAAGGCAACGAATGCCCTTTGCTCGAAAATGGCTTCAGCAGCTTTGTGAAGCACCACGTAGTCGAGCTGTGGCCAAACTGCAGACATGTGAACAGGCAGTCCCGTTGTCTCCAAACGAACTGTAGAAATCTCCGACGCGATTGGTACTGAGAAGTACGCGTCCTTGAGGTCGAGTTGGGTGAACCAGTCAGACTTTCCATTTTGAAGTGTTGGTAGATCACATAGCCATTGAGTTGATGAAGATTGATGACTGGTCGATAATCTCCCATCTTTTTCTTTACCAGGAAGATGTTGCTAAAGAATCCACCTCCCTCCTGAGCGAATTGGACAGCCCCTTTGTCAAAAAGGGAGAGTATTTCTTTGTCCACCAGGTGGCTGTATTCTTTAGACAAATGTAGAGGAGCGGGGCACGCATCAAATTCCGGCCCAGTAAGGTCTTCCATGTATGGTGCCCCTGACTCTGGGGTCAGTGGCAGCACCCTCATTAGGGCCTTTTCCGCCGATGCTGCTACGGCAACGTTAATCAACGCCTGGAGGTATTGCGTCGGTGGGGGTGTGTCACTCATCTTGGGTGATTAATCCTGTTGGGGAACAGTGACAGTCAGGGTTCGGTCTCCACACATACAATACCCCAGAGTGTGCCAGGCCCTGGTACAACCGGGGTTCACCCAGAAATTGGTCAATGCTGTGTGACTCGGAAACAAATGCTAAGTGTCAGTGCCAATATAAAAGGATCTCCCTTGCATTATCGGAGACGTGGAACTCTCATGTAAATATATATATATATATATATATATATATATATATAGGGGTATCCCCCTTCAACCCCTGGGCTAGGAGGTGGTACCACTGAGGGTTGGATGGAAGGGGGGTTCACGTAAGAGTTGTACCTCCATGGTAAACAACAATCCATGTACACACAAACAACGTTTGCAGAATCTGGCTATATGGGTACTGTGAGAGGGGGCTCACCCCTGTGACATCTGTTAGGGCAGAGTCCAGCCCTTAGGTAACTGGGGGCTCACCCTAGGTGGTATGCCATGTAAACAGAGGATACCCACATATGTCAACTTTTGCTGTATAAATTAAATCTTACCCATAAACAGGTACCTGGAAGGTAAGTAGAACATTTGCAGGAGGTTCCAAGGCCAGATGGTACAACAGATTGTAAGTATTCCCAGCGTCGAGATAGCGATCATATTGATCTGGAACGAAAACCAAGATGGCTACCGTGAATCTCATGCTACTCGCAAGATCCAAGATGGCTGCCGCATGCACTCAACATTCTGCATGGCCATAAGCCTGCCACGGACCCAGAGTATGCGGCACTGGCGTCCCTGTCAGCCTCCAAATCCCCACATAGACCAGGTGCAGACCGCTGGAAGTGAGAGCGCATTTGCTGCGCTCAATTTCGGGTCGTGTCGCGCTTGAGATCAGAGGCGAAACAGGTAAGCACATAGCTCTGATTGCTAGTGACTGACCATGGTTTAGGAACCGATACTGTTAGAAAAGTAGTCTAAGAGAGGGGTGAAGAGAAGAAAAAGGAGAAACAAGAAGCAATATAACTTCACATACCATAGAAAGAAATAAACCACAAAACCATAAGGTATAACAAACGGTGTATTTACAAGGCATTTGCATTGTGCGGCACTTTCAGGGTCAAACCCCCCCCCACCCCCAAAATACCTTGCCAGCCTCTTGTCCTAAGGGGGCTCAGGAGCTGGCCGGTTGCCACCTGTGGGCCCCCCAAGGCTGGCATGGGCTGATGTGGCAGGCGGGCTGCGAGGAAGCACTCTGAGTTCTTCGCTGCTCAGCTCCTTCACGCGCACCACAGTGATGCCGGAGCCAAAATATGACATCACTCCGGCATCACTAAGAGGAGCGCGAGGGAGCTGAGCAGGAGGATCACCGCTCCCTCGCCGCCTCCAGCCTGCCAGCCCAGCCAGGAGAAGCCCCACTGAACCCCAAGGAAGAAGCCACCAAAATGTAAGCAAATAAAATTGTGAGTGTGTTAGTGTTAGTGAGAAAGTATGTGTTAGTTTGTGTCTGAGAGTGAGAGTATGTGCGTCTGTTAGTGAGTGTGTCAGTGAGAGTGTGTATGTTTGTTAGTGAATGTGTATATTGCTGAGTGTGTATCTGTCAGTCAATGTGTAGGTCTGTTAGTGAATATGTGTCTCTGACACTGAGTGTATATGTGTCAGTGAGTGTGTGTTTGACACTGAGTGAGTCTGCGTCTGTCAGTGAGTGAGTAAATGTGTGTAAGTGTCTTGTCAGTGCGTATGCGTGTGTCAGTTAATGTGTCTGTCGGTGAATGTGAGTGTGCCTGTATGTTTGTCAGTGAGTGGGTATGTTTCAGTGAACGTGTATGTTGGTTAAACAGTGTGTGTGACAATGACTGTATCTGTCAGTGAGTGTATGCATCAGTGAAGGTGTGTGACTGTTAGGCAAAGAGTGTGTTGGTTTTTAACAGGAAGTGAAATTTAGAAGGGGGGACAGCACAAAACCAGTATACAACACTGGCTATAACAGGTATATAAATATGCAGTAAAAATACTAGGTAAAATACTCTGACCTGTGCAGTCTGGAGCAACAAAGAAAGAGGAAGTGATCGGGCTGACATGGTCCTTCATAGAGTTGTAAAAAGAGTTATGCAAAACATGAAGCCTCCTGTCGAGTGATAAAACATAATTTAGAGAAAGAACAAAGTATCTTATTTACACTGACTGATTTCTAAACACATACATTGAAGTTTAAAGACATATTACTCTGAGTATTATTGCTGTGGAGCTCTGTTATACAGTCAGGCACTCCAGCAATATAGCGCTCATAGAATAGAAGGACATGGGTATTTGGAACTAAAATGGGGACTGTCTCTCCTGATCAGGGACAGTTGGGAGGTATGTCAGTAACCTCTGTCTTCCAGGATGGGTGGACATATTAAGCTATTTAGAGAGTCAGTACTTTGAGACCCCTGCTTTACAACCTCCCTAGAGAAGTCCACTCTAAGTTCTTCTAATGGCAAACACAGTGCCCACCTAAATTCTAATGATGCATTGACACCAGAAAATAAACCCAGGAAGGCGGAAAAGGTGCCCAAATGTGGGAATTTTGGGAGATCTGAGATCATCCTATTAAATGCATTTTACCATGCTCAAATGTTTATATGGCATTTAATGTTTATATGGTATTTCATTTATTATAGATAAAAAGTAGGTTTAAAGGGAAGCTCAAAAAACTGTTGCACACACATGACCTGTATGACGCATGGAGGAATCTCTTCCCCTCGGCCAAGGATTATTCTTTTTTCTCACCTATGCATTTAACATACTCTCGAATTGACATGTGTTGGGTGGATGAGGGTGATCAAGGGACATGGTCGGACCACGCTCCTGTGGTACTCACTGCGAGAGGGAGGAGGAAATGGCAACTGAATGAGGCCATTTTGGATTCACCATCCACTGTGTTGACATTGGGGGAGGCAATACGCAACTACCACTCTGACAATAACTCTCCAGACATGCCTCCGATCACCCAATGGTTGACCCATAAGGCTGTACTGCGTGGGTTACTGATCCAATTAGGGTCAAAGTGCAAGAAAATAAGATGTAGAGATCACTCTAGATACCTCAGGAAATTAGCAGCATTAGAAAAACATAATAAAACAACACCATCTAGGAACTTAACCAAAAAAATAAGTAATTCAGAGAGAACTGCAGGAACTAAACTTACTTGACACTGAAAAACAGATGAGACAAACTAAACAGAAATATTACTCATTTGGTAATAAAGTCAGAAGACTGTTAGCAAATAAACTAAAAACCAAATATCTTCTAACCAAAATCCCCTGCATAACTTCCTCCACATGAGATAAACTTTATAACACCACTATAATAGTAGAGAAACTTGCTAATTTTACACCAATCTTTATAATTTAAGTGAAGACATCACGATACATGATCCCACACCTAATGATATTCAGGCTTTTTTAGATGGTGTCAAGCTATTAGAACTCTCACACTAACAAATGCAATTCCTAGACACTCCTTTTACGGAAGAGGAAGTTAGAGAGGCAATTAGATCTCTGCCCAAACACAAAGCACCGGGCCCAGATGGACTCAAAGTATTATCTCAAACTGGAGCAATACTTAACACTGCATCTGACTCGCCTTATTTATAAGATAAAGCAAACAGGCGATATGCCACCAGAAATGTTGGAAGCATATATGTGGCGGACCACTGTCAGTGAATACCATGCCCACTCCTCGTTCGGGTGTTTTCCCCTGTGTATTGTGCCTGTGTATTGTGCCTAAGTGGAGGCAGTCACCGGAGAAAGGCGCAAGCCCAAGTAGAAACCCTGAAGCTGGGAGTCGGCTTTACAGCCGCAGAGTCCCGCTGGCTGCCTAGAAGTCCGTGCTGACCAATCAAGAGAGAGAGCTCCCATTCAAAATGGGTTTGCGCTATTCTCCTGATGGGTCAGCATGGGTAAGCACTGATTGGTTGCTGCAGAGCAAATAGGGGTTTGTGACCTTTCTCCTGATTGGGCGACGAAACCCCTCTCCTCCCTGAGCGCTGATTGGCGCGAATGGGTTTCGTGCCTTTCAGCTGATTGGCTGTTGCTTGGTTTAGGTGAATTCACTGGACTAAACCAAGCGACGGTGTGAAATTATTTTCGGGGATGTACAGAGCCCCGAGCCTAGACTTTGTATGATGGTTTCTCGGGCTCTGTAAATCCAATAGCCAAGCTATTTGCAGGGGTGCTAGCCGGGACCCGGGGCTATCCAGGGACGTATATTTCATGTGTGTACCCCATTCCCTTTCCAGGGCATGGAGCCCCTAATTAATCCCACACTACCATCACAAATCCAAGATAAGGGAGAGCTACCAACCTCTAAATTCATGCTCAAATCGTGGCAATTGTGGCGAACTCCTTTCTTAACATCGGAAACCCTATTTTCCATTGCTCCTATTCGAACACTCACATCCATAACATCAGATTGTGGTGAACTCCTTTCTTAACATCGGAAACCCTATTTTCCATTGCTCCTATTCGAACACTCACATCCATAACATCAGATTGTGGTGAACTCCTTTCTTAACATCGGAAACCCTATTTTCCATTGCTCCTATTCGAACACTCACATCCATAACATAATTGGGTTAAACAGGGCATAACGAAGGTTAAACAAATCCTAGACGAGGATGGCATTAAGTAATTTCCGCAGCTGAGGGATGAATTCTCTCTGCCGAGTAGGGAAATATTTACATACCTACGCATTAAAAATATACTCGCATCTAGACATCTAAGGAAAGTAGACCATACACTTCTCCCATCCCTTGGTAAATATTGCATCAAACCCATCCGATTTTAAAAACAGCTATCTATCTGTTAGCTGTTATCAGGGGTCATGGAGATATCATATTTGGTGCCTTTGCATCATTGGATAAGTTGGGAAAAGGACCTGGGTATCAAGCTCCCTATTTAGGATTGGCACAGAGCAATCCAATATACTAAGAAGGCATCCAATTGTTTGTCCCATTGGGAGGCATATCTAAAAATTCTGACGCGTTGGTACTTAGTACCTAGCAAATTAGCTAAGGTTTACAAAGACTCATGCCCTACTTGCTGGCGATGCAGCACAGACTGTGGCACCCTTAGACACATATTTTGGGACTGTAAGATGATAAAGGCATTTTGGGCACAGGTCAGAGACCTAGCAGCTGAAAAAATATATACTCACATCCCCCATACACCAGAATGCTTTTTTTACTGCGTCATTCCAGAGTTAACCATCATACAACCATCATACAACCCTTGCAACTCAGATTGTTACACTAAATCTTCCCACCGCAGCTAAGAAAAGCATTGTCTTTCACTAGAAGAGCTAGTTCACTAGAAGAGCTATATATAAAATGTTAGTATTTATAAAGGAAAGTTCAGTCTGAGGAAATGATCACTTGTTATGTTTTATAAGCTCACTATATATAAAATGTTAGTATTTATAAAGGAAAGTTCAGTCTGAGGAAATGGCCACTTGTTATGTTTTATACGCTCGCTATAAATAGATAAAAAATAGATTTAGAAAGTAAGTTTAAAGGAAAGCTCAGTCTGAGGAAATTATCACTTGTTATGTTTTATAAGCTCACTACATTATTTATTTATTTATAAAATATTTTACCAGGAAAGATACATCGAGATTTCTCTCGTTTTCAAGTATGTCCTGGGTCCACAAATCATAGATACAAATGTTAGTATTTATCACTTGTTATGTTTTATAAGATCACTATATATAGATACAAATGTTAGTATTTATAAAGGAAAGCTCAGTTTGAGGAAATTACTACTTGTCTTTTATTAGCCCACTATATATAGATAAAAAATGTTAGTATTTATAAAGGAAAGCTCAGTTTGAGGAAATTACCACTTGTGTTTTATTAGCCCACTATATATAGATAAAATTTTTTAGTATTTATAAAGGGAAGCTCAGTCTGAGGAAATGGCCACCTGTTATGTTTTCTAAGCTCACTATAAATCGGTTAAAAACAATATTAGTGTTTATAAAGGAAAGCTCAGACTGGGGAGATAGCCACATTAACATTGTTATGGCAATGTAGTGGTAATGTCCCATGACAGCCTGCAGGGGGACCAGGAGGACACATTTCTGCAGCACACACACACACACACCAAAAAAAAAAAAAAAAAAAAGTAAACAGAGACTGGAGTTTACACGTCACTTCCGGGTAGGAGGACCAGACGGGGCTGCTGTGCAGTGAATGTAAGCCGGAGGCGGTTGAGCGCGAGTCCCCGGCTTCAGGCACGCCGTGTAGGCCTCGGGCTAAAGGAGGGGAGTGTGGGAAGGCTCCGGGCCCGGCTCCTGTCATGTCGGAGGAGGGTGGCTAAGAGACGTGACTAAGGTGATGGGGAAAGCCATATTGGGTGCTGGGATATCTGTGAAGGCGCCAGCATTGGGGGCAGAGTCAGCATGGCAGCCAGCGTGTCTGTATGGTTTCTGGCTTCCTATAATAGTGTGTGGGGGGATAGAGCAGTTATATGACAGGCTTTGAGCTATTAATACCGTACAGTGGCAATGCAGGTATAACAGCAAATGGATATACATTCACACAGGGGGCAGTAAGTAAATGGCAATATTATGGGGCAGCAAATACATGGCCTATATATAAATATATAGGCTATAAACATAGAATATATCCATAATAATTCCATACAAGAGACTACAAATATGTGAAAGTAATGGGGCAGCAAATACATGGCAAGAAAGCGGATAACTGCTTTAAAGGGACACTATAGGCACCAAAACAACTTTTAGCTTAATGAAGTAGTTGTGGTGTATAGATCATGCCCCAGCAGTCTCTCCGCTCAATTTACTGCCATTTAGGAGTTAAATCACTTTATGTAGCCCTAGGCACACCTACGTGCACGTGACTTACGCCGCCATGTATTCCTAGGCTGTAGTGCACCCTCCCTCATCCGCAGCACACAAATTATTTAAAAATAATCTTGTTACTTACCTGAACCCAGCTCCGATTTCTATCAGTGCTGAGTTAGGCTCCGCCTTGACATCGGGGACGGCTGGTAACCACTAGAGTTGGAGTTCTCAATAACTGCAATAATTACCGTTGCAGGGTTAAACTGACCGGGACAGTGCACCCAGACTAGTTCAATAAGATGAAGTGGGTGCCTATGGTGTCCCTATAATTCCCTTTAAGCTAAAGTTGTTTTGATGACTATAGTGTCCCTTTAAATACATGTCAGTATGAGGCAATGTCATAGGGGCAGCATATTTATAAAATGACAGACTTGAAATAGGACTTTAATAACATAAGGGGCGCAAAGACATGGCTGAAGACAGAAAAGAATGTCATAGCAAATAAATGGAATGCTTAGTAAATGTGTCGTTGAATGAAGCAGTGGAAACATGGTAAAGGGTAATAAGTTTGCACGGGATAATAAATACATGGCAGAAGCACTTGAATCTATACTCCCTCTGTTTACTACAAACACGCCTGTCAGCGTCAAGCTCACAGGAACTGAAAAGCAATCATTAAAGGGATACTATAAGCATCAAAACAATTTTAGCTTAACAAAGCAGTTTTAGTGTATAGATCATGCTCTTGAAATCTCACTGCTCAATTCTCTGCCTATACCTTCTATGGGAAAGCATTGTGATTGGCTGAGATTATCAATTTTGATGATGTCAGTCAAGGAGGCATATCCGGGGCTGAGAACGACTGAAGGAACCCTGCTCTACCCTGAAAAAGGTGAGTAAATCGCCTTTCTAACCAGAGGTAAGGAGGCAGACCACCTAAACAGTGGTTTTAGAACTATAGTGTCAGGAATATACGATTGTGTTCCTGACACTATAGTGACCCCTTGACACTTTATGGCATCATTCCTACTACCTACCCGTGCAAAGAAAAGTTTCTTGAAGGGACCTACCATATCAACAAGTCCTCTATGGCACCATCGTCTGCAACTTGGGATGTGATAGTCTGCTGCAAATTTTTAATATAAAAACTAAAAACAATGTAAAAAAGTGGAGCGCAAAATACTTAAGTAGATGACGACTCAAGGATCCCATAAACAAGAAAATTATACAAATAGTGTAATTCTGTTAAACTTCAGAACATATATATATATATACATACATAAATATATTATAGTAATGATTCTTAGTATGCAATGATGTAGGAATAAATGAAAATACAATTTATTAAACATATATTATAAATCAATAAGTTAAAAACTGATAAAGGAGGAGACTATATTTAAAAGAAGAAAAACTACCACAACAAGAGGACATAGTCTTAAATTAGAGGGACAAAGGTTTAAAAATATCAGGAAGTATTGCTTTACTGAGAGGGTAGTGGATGCATGGAATAGCCTTCCAGCTGAAGTGGTAGAGGTTAACACAGTAAAGGAGTTTAGCATGCGTGGGATAGGCATAAGGCTATCCTAACTATAAGATAAAGCTAGGGACTAATGAAAGTATTTAGAAAATTGGGCGACTAGATGGGCCGAATGGTTCTTATCTGCCGTCACATTCTATGTTTCTATATGTAAATTGCACATAATATGGAGATGAGTATAACTGCCTCTTAATGGAGATAGGTAGTGAGCATGTCCAGTATGCAACACCGCTACTTACAAATGCTTGGACCTTCAGACTGTCAACTAGTGTTTTCAGCTTCCAAGGCTTCGATCTGCTACCTCCGTGCAGTCTTCCTAGTTCAACAAACTCATGCATATATATGTGCATATATCTTTTCGTATCTTGCGGCCTTCACTGGCTCCGCCCACTTTGACACCAGATTTCATGGCAGCTTCCATAGAAGTTTGTGTTGTAATCTTGCACATGTGTGAGAGAACAGCACTGACGTCAGCTAATTCAGATGAAGCACCAGGAGCTGAAGAGGACCTCACAGAAGAAGATGGTGGGAGCTGCATAGGGCAAGTTCAGGAAAGTAAAAACATCCCAGTCCACTGCACTGCAAACAGAGCTGCCACCATGTAAGCTTTTTGCTAAATTTGCCTTAGAAGGTGACAGATCTATTTTAATTCTAATGTTCTAAGTTCTGCAAATCTATTTACACAGAATCAACACATTACCTTATAAGTGTCACTGCTTTGTTTCTCTAGATTTGAACAAAGCTGAGATTTCCTTATTTTCTATCTTATTAAATATGCTAAGTAGAATTAGCAGAATAGTATGTAGAAGTATTAAAATCATTCTTCAGGCATCCATGCTTCTTAAGTTTCTATTAAATATCCTGGATAGGTCACATCCTGACTGCAGAAGCTGCCAACCCTTTGGATTTGCAGGAATGCAGTAACTTCAAATGTCTCCTTTCATTATTACCAAATGTTGAAGATTGTAATTATCCATTGTATTGACAAAAGGAGGGATAATGTGCTAAGCTACTTAAAGGAACACTATAGTCACATAAATTACTTTAGCTAAATAAAGCAGTTTTAGTGTATAGATCATTCCCTTGCAATTTCACTGCTCAATTCACTGTCATTTAGGAGTTAAATCACTTTGTTTCTGTTTATGCAGCCCTAGCCACACCTCCCCTGGCTATGATTGACAGAGCCTGCATGGAAAAAAACCTGGTTTCACTTTCAAACAGATGTAATTTACCTTAAATAATTGTATCTCAATCTCTAAATTGAACTTTAATCACATACAGGAGGCTCTTGCAGGGTCTAGCAAGCTATTAACATAGCAGGGGATAAGAAAATCTTAATTAAACAGAACTTGCAATAAAGAAAGCCTAAATAGGGCTCTCTTTACAGGAAGTGTTTATGGAAGGCTGTGCAAGTCACATGCAGGGAGGTGTGACTAGGGTTCATAAACAAAGGGATTTAACTCCTAAATGGCAGAGGATTGAGCAGTGAGGCTGCAGGGGCATGTTCTATACACCAAAACTACTTCATTACGCTAAAGTTGTTCAGGTGACTATAGTGTCCCTTTAATGTTTCTGGTCTCTTTGTGACATTGCTATACTGGGGGAAACTTTCATTTTATTTTCAATACATCTACATATTAGGTGCAATGCACCATTTGGTAACAGTGGAGGCCCTTCTTCCTCTATTGTTTCCAATGCAAGTAGTTAAAGGGTTTGTCTATCCACCAAACCACTTCATTAATTTGGTGCCTGAAGTGATACTGCACATATGGAAAACATAAAAAGGGATAATTAGCCAATTTCTAGGAAGGGGAGGGAGGTAACTCATGCTAAAATTAATTAAAAGAACAAATATATTCCTGGAACAAATTTTACCAATGTTAATAACACTTAACTTTTATTGCTAGCATTAAAAAGAAAAATTATGTAGAACACAAAACTTGTTAAAAAGGCAGCTAGTCGATGCCAGACAACGTCCAATATCTTGCTAAAACACTAGATAACTCTCTCCACACACCAACAAACAGCTATGCTAGCGGAATTGCCATAAGGCAACCCCAAGGGAATAGCTTCCTTATACCTATATTATTTTAATTAAGATACGATACTCTTACCCAAGGGTTTTGATCCTATTCATCGGTGGACAGCCTAGTAGATTACTATTTCATAATGAGCTTCACAAATCATATTATGAGCAGTGTAAAATGAAAGGAAGGAGGGGAAGAAAGAGAAAATAGGAAAATTTATTTATTTTTATATATATATATATATATATATCCAAAAGTACAAAATAGCACTCCAGGGACTTCCAAGTAGAATGAATAAAACTTAGCTTTTATTAGCTCAAAATAAAAATCAACGTTTCAGTCTGAAAGTCTGATACAGACTGAAACGTTGATTTTTATTTTGAGCTAATAAAAGCTAAGTTTTATTCATTCTACTTGGAAGTCCCTGGAGTGCTATCTTGTACTTTTGGCTGTATCTGTTTGCTGATAAGCACTGGGCAAGTACATCAAGGAAGGTGGAGTGCATTACTATTTTTTATTTTTTTTATACACATATATAAATGTATATAGAGGGGGGACAACTTAGGGGCAGTAGCTCGTATCAGTATAAGAAATTTGTGTTGGTAGATTTCTTATAGCGAGAAGTGTATGAGTCATCAATTTACGTGCTTCTCCTTAAATGTTAATGGTTTAGTCCTCTAAAAAGAAGCGCCACTATACAAGAAATTAACAAATCAAAGGCAGCAATAATTTGTCTGCAGGAAACTCATTTCTGTAAGCGGAATCCTCCAATTTTTAATCCAAGAGGTTATCCTCAAATGTTTCATGCGCTATCTCCCCATAAGTCTAAAGGAGTGTCAGTAATGTTCCATTCAGATTGGGTATTCCAACTAGATAAACAATATTGTAATGAGATAGGTAGACTATTGGTTGTAGTAGGCTTGATGAACGGAATGCAAATTACAGGGGCCTCGGTGTATGCACCTAATGAGTCTCAAGCCTCCTTTTTTAACAAAGGTGTTTTCTAGGATTGCTAAATGGCGTCAAGGCCATATTATTATTTGTGGAGATTTTAATTGTACATTAGATACTGAATTGGATATTAAAAGGGAACAAGGTAAAAATCCACTTTCTCCCTGAGTAAAAGATGTTCTTCATTATTTTTATTGCATGATTATTATGACACATGGCATAGCCTCTACCCTGCAGCCAGGGATTATACTTACCTATCTCAGGTTCACCATACCTACTCAAGAATAGATATGTGTTTGGTTGATAAATTGACATTACAAAATGTATCAAAGGTAATCATAGGTACAAGGACATGCTCTGCTCATGCTCCAGTAATTACCACGTTTAGGACCCTTTATTCGGCAAGAGGGAGGAGTACTTGGCGTCTGAATGAGACGCTATGAAGTGAGGTCACTAAGATAACCATATTTGCTAAAGCGATCCAATTATACTACACGGATCACCTTAGCGATACATGTCATATTACTTCTAAATGGCTGGCCCTAAAAGCAATAATGCGCAGCATTTTTATTCAGGCGGGTTCAAGATGCAAAAAGCAGGAAAATGAAGATAAAAAAAAAAAAAAGGCTTTTAGAGAAACTTATTGAACTAGAAAACAGTAACAAATTAAATCCATCTAAAAACACAACAATACAACTCAATAAGGTTAAAAGGGATTTGCAGTCTTTGAACTTGAAGGTAGTAAAAGGACAAATGAGAGCTTAATTTAACCCATTATATGCAAGGCAACAAAGTAAGTAAACTACTGGCTAAGAGGTTAAAATCTAGAGCCCAACAAACTACGTTACCCTATATGGTATCCGCCAACAATAGCAAGCTGTTTAATCCCCAAGATATTGTTGAAGAACTTGCTGTTTACTATAACAAACTATATAATCTCAATTTGAATCAGGATACTTACCAGCCCTATAGAGATGAAATACAAGCTTTTTTTTTTTAGAGGAAAGCTCAACAATGCCAGTCGTTGATAGAACCATTTTTGGAAGAGGAAGTACTAAAAGTAATGAACGCACTGCCTAGACATAAAGCACCAGGCCCGGACGGGTTTTCAAATCTTTTTTACTTAAAGGACCACTCTAGGCACCCAGACCACTTCAGCTTAATGAAGTGGTCTGGGTGCCAGGTCCTTCTAGAGTTAACCCATTTTTTTATAAACCTAGCAGTTTCAGAGAAACTATGTTTATTAATGGGTTAAGCCTTCCCCCAAAGCCTCTAGTGGCTGTCTCATTGACAAGCCACTAGAGGCGCTTGCGTGCGTCTCACTGTGATTTTCACAGTGAGAGCACGCCAGCGTCCATAGGAAAGCATTGTAAATGCTTTCCTATGTGACCGGCTGAATGCGCGCGCAGCTCTTGCCGCTGCGCATTCAGCCGACGGGCGAAACGGAGGAGGGAGAGGGAGGAGGAGAGCTCCCCGCCCAGCGCTGGAAAAAGGTAAGTTTTTACCCCTTTCCCCTTCCAGAGCCGGGCGGGAGGGGGTCCCTGAGGGTGGGGGCACCCTCAGGGCACTATAGTGCCAGGAAAACGAGTATGTTTTCCTGGCACTATAGTGGTCCTTTAACATTTGGGTCCCAACTGATACTGCATCTTCCGAAATTTTTTAATTAGGGAGATGTTATTAACACCTGTTGTAACACTGCCTAAACCTGGCAAACCTCCAACAGAATGCGCTAATTTTAGGCCGATATCATTGTTAAATGTCGATACTAAAATTTACTCAAAATTAATAGCCTCACGTATAAAACCAGTGTTGATCAATATGATATCTCAGGAACAAGCTGGTTTAGTTCCTTTTAGGCATGAAATTAGTAAATTGGGCCCAAGATAACGATCAACAAGGCTTAGTGTTATCTTTAGATGCCGAAAAGGCATTTGATAATTTAAATTGGACTTGTATAGAAGAAGTTTTGCGTAAGGTGGGCTTTCCCCCTGCTTTTTTGGATAGTATTTTGGTTATGTATAAACATCATTCAGTGAGAGTTTATAGCTCGGGTTTCCTTTCATCTTCTTTTAATATAACGAATGGTACAAGGCAGGGATGCCCTCTCTCTCCACTGATCTTTATATTATGCCTAGAACCCCTAATACTACATATCAATAAACATAATAAAATAAAGGGCTTACAAACACCAGCAGGAGAAATGAAAGTGGCGCTTTTTCAGGACGACGTATTACTATTTCTATCTGATCCCCCAGTATCATTACCAAACCTTATGGCTCTATTAGGGAGTTTTGGATGGGTCTCCTATTAATAAAATAAAAAAAATAAAAAATAATTCAAAGAAAACCCAAGCCATGGCTATACATTTGTCGGTACAGTTGGCAGCTACCTTGAAATCCACATATTTATTTAATTGGCGCACTACGTCAATATCTTATTTAGGTTTAAAACTTACTAAGACACAAAGCTGCATAAATTAGATAAGCAACTGAGATCATGGGAGGATAGGGGAGTATCGTGGTTGGGCAGTATAAATACGGTAAAGATGATATTACTAAATATTTTATATCTTTTTAGAACATTACCAATCACTTTACCTAATGCACTCATAATGAAATTCCAAAGGATCATTAATGCACATATATGGAAAAAAAACCCTCAGAGAATAGCGCAGAATTTACTATGGAGAACTTATGTGAAAGGGGGTTTAAACATTCCAAACATAGTTGTATTATAAGGCCTCTATAATAGCGCAAGGTATGTCCATATTAGAACGCAGGGTTCCCCCAATATGGTTAAAGTTGGAGAATGCGTGCATACTTGGGGGTACAGTAGAACAGGCATTATGGGTTGGCCAAGGGAGACAGTGCCATGCTGTCTCCTACTAAGGGATTTTAAAAACTTGAGAGCAGACAGTAACTAAAATGGAAGTGGCTAAGGCATTGTTATGGGAGACACCTATTCAGGTTATTGCCTCCTTCGCCACGGATTTATGTTTAGACACGTGGAAAAAGTATGGGGTTTGTCATGTGGGTGCTTTATATAATGAAGCCGGCATTAAATTGTTTCCTTCAGGAAACATACCTTTTGCCATCCCAAGAACTTTTTACTTACCTGCGTTTGAAACATATTTTGATTACAGCATTTCCTAAGATACCGGAAAATACCATGACTACACCATTTGTGCAAAAGTTGTGGGGATATTTATGGGATAATAATAGTAAACAGTTGAGAATTGCCCACTAATTCAGTTCTCAGATCCCAAAGAACGTTTATCGTAAGTGAGAAATATTTCATATAATAATATCACAATGTATAAAAATAGATTTTTATTTATAATGACTAATTAATAATAATATGTAACATGCGTGACAATAATCAATGAATATTCAGTATAAAATGGTATGCAATACAAAGGAATGGGTATTACGTTTCAATGGCTAAACAGCATTATCTGTCAAGACTTACACGATTTATGACTATCTTTAACACAGACTGAAAGTGAAACTTTTCACAGCGAAGAACAGAATTCCTCAGAGTGCAGCGTAAGGTCGTAAAGTTTAGCTGACAGTTAGAATAACCCTTTCAATGCTGGCTAGATCTCCTAGGTAATTAAGATCTATTCTTATGTAATTTTAAATAAAATAATATTTAAACCAGTTCATTAGTCATTTCCTGGAACCATCCAATAAGAGAATCTACCATATTATATAAGCAGAGTTTGTTTTTAATTTGCCTAAATAGTTCTCTTATCTTATATTAGAGCAAATCAATACACCTGGATAAAAACAGCGGTATGCTAACACGTGATAATATCACATTAATATATAATTATTCTTAATTCCACCTGCAGAATGGAATGTTTATAACTATATATTCTTTTAGTTAACTAAGATTTCTTAATATGGAAATCTGACCGTGCTTTATCCAGTCATATATAATGCTATTAATACATTTTAATTAATTTAATTAATTAAATGAAACCAGTATAATTACCAGTTGAGTAGATATTTCATCCGATTGGTAGTCTCAGGAACTTATTTGGATGTCTCTCTGCATGGAGGTTGGAGTCCCCAAACTTCCAATTCCTCTCTCCTCTTTTTCTTTCTCCTTTGCATCTCTTGCATCCCTCTATCTTCCCTTTGTCTTAACTTTTAAAGGGCCAGACTCTCTGTACGTCATCAGTTGATAACCCAATAGAAGCACTAGAGGTGTGGTTATCTTCCAGATCGCAATTTAGGTATTTGGTCTATAGAGGGCAGTCTTGTCCCACTAAACATACCTATCCAGGAAAGAGTTAACTTTTCCTGGTGGCTATTTTGACGTCATTTTGCTTATCTCAAATGACCACTATAACTTACGTATCCTTCACAGATCAAAGGGTTTCTTTAAGTTTTGTCCAGACTATGTGTCTGCAAATCTGAGTTTTTTTCTGATATGGCAGATCATGAACTAAGTTTACCCTTTTCCATACAATGGTACCATATATATATATATATATATATATATATATATATATACAGTTAAATTTTATTATTTAATCTTCTCTGTCACAATTGTCTGGGTTTAGATTTGATTATATTCCATTAGCATTAGACAGTCTGTCCAACCCCCGTTTCTGCTTATCACTTGTTTATACTATGCATTCCTTTAGCTCTGGGAAAGTGGTTAGTTTACAGATAGAAATCTTGTGTCTTTTTGTTAACTTGGAAATAACAAAATGGAGTCTGGTCTGTTCAGAGTGACTCAGAATATACACTTTTAATTTCTCTCATAGCACAAGATGTCTGCCGATATAAATACCCTGACAAAGTGCAAAGGGAAACTTACACATAATAATCGGATTTCCTTTTGTTATACTATCCTTATGTCCTTAGAAGAAGAGGACATTGTAGATTATATGAAAAAATGGGAAAAAGATTTAAACAGGCAGCTCCCGAGGGAAAACTGGCACAAGGCATTCAGAAGTAAAAGGGCTTCTAGGAGTTTAGCACATTGGGTAGCATATTGTAAATTAAACATGAGATGGTACATGGTGCCCACAAAAATAGCACGTTTATATCCTGGAACACCTGCAGAATGCTGGAGATGCCAGGTGGAAACTGGTACCTTTTATCACATTTTTTGGGAGTGCTAAAAAATAACCCCAATATGGAATGCGATAGAAAAGTTGTTTAGTTTAGGTCTAAGGGTAGATATTCCGAAACAACCGGAATCATATCTCCTACATATGTTTTCGATAACACTCCCGGAAGAGGTATTAACAATAATTATACAATGTTTAATAGGGGTTAAAATAGCTATCACATATAAATGGAAGCAGCCAAACCCGCCAACCTTAATAGAAGTTAGGAATCGCCTCGATACATCAAGTAATTAGGAAAGGATGGCAAGTCACTTTATAGGAGATGAAGATAAATATGTAAAAAAAATGGCAGAAATGGATGGCGATTAGGAACATATATCTGCAGCTGCAGAAATAAATTAAAATTAAAGCAGTTCTTTAAAAAGTTTGAAGAGGTTATTTAAGGTTATGGTTTATAGGTAAGAGTAAGAATTAGTAGAATATACCTTTTTAGATAATTAGAGGACAGAATTGGATAAGGAAATATCCCCAGAATATAAGAAGGAACTGTTGTAGAATATGGTCGGCCTTACAATAACTTTTAGGAATAGGTTAAGAAATAATCAACATAATAACAGAAGGTTGAATATAGGCTGTTTCCACTGCATTTCCCCCACCACCACTTTTAATCCTATCTTTGTTTATTATAAGCAAATGTATATTATGGTAATGCTTTTGCAGTTACTTATGCCACCACTATTTGGTTTAAACAGAATTTTTTTTTTTAGATTGGCTAACGGTGCTCATTTACAAAAGTGTATAATGAGTTGTAAACGTTGAGTCTTTAGACATTATTTAAATTAGACTGTTGTATTTTCCACATCAAACGTGCTTAACCTGTGTCACACTAATGTAATAGGGGCTCAGTGTGGATAAATTATATTCATAAGGATTTACTAGATCATCTTATTAGATTAGAGATTTATTAATATGTAGTGGATATATTTTGGTTGAAGTTCAGAAAATTTTTACAGGTGGTATGGAATCTGAAATTAGTAATGTGTAACTGTAATCTGTTTATTGCATTATGTTGGAAGATGTGCATATTCATTTTTTCCTTTTTATATGTTATGCTTATATTGCTGATGTTTATATCTATCGTGTGGTGCATAACGTGACTGCGATCACATATAACCCAGTTTTTTTTGTTGTTTTTTTTTTTTGTATAAATAAAATAAGACATAAAAAAGATACGATACTTACCAATCTAAATACAATAATTAAGTGCATAAAGCTGATAATACACATTGATTCAAAGCAATGTAGATTGTTAGTGTATTACACATTGTTCTTTCAACTGTCTACATGTATGTGTAATGTTTTACCTACTGCCTAAGACAAAATAAAGAAGGAAAGGCTAGGAAAAAGTCTAGTGGATACAAAGTGTGCGTGAGTGTTGATACATTTACCAGCTAGTAACTGATTACAATGTAACAAAAAAGACTCAGTTTTTTAGGTTGTTTGACTAGACAGTGTTCAGAGCAAAAATGTAGATGCCCTTGAAGGCACTTGGATGGTTGCCTTTTACTATATCTGCTTTAGAAATAACCTTGGTTAGAGTTCTGAATCATTGCAATTCTTTTGTGGGAAACATTTACTGTGGCCATTTTTGTTACATTGTATTTAGTTACTAGCTGGTCTGGTGTGCTTTTTAAATATATATCCCCCCTTCTCTCCCCCCTTTTCTCCCCCCTTCTCTCCCCAGAAATGAATGATTCAAGCTTAGTAAATTAACATTTCCTATGTTTGAAATCATGGCACTTGCGTGAGAGTTAAATTAACGTAATATTTTTCTTGCAGAAGCAGAACTATGAGCACGTGCCGTTGGTGTACTCCTGGCGGTTCTGTAACCGTCGACCTTTTGAATAAGTATGCCGCAGGGGAGTTGCACGGCACAGATCTTCTTGGAGCCAATGATGACCTCTGTTACTGTATGGAGTGTGTTCTGGAGTACCACCGAGCACGAGATGGATCTCCAAATTTGCACAAGGTAACCCATTCAATATAGAACCTAAGTATGTTTTAAAGAATACCTGTGATTTCTCAGGATTTGTAATGCTGTGTTTTCTTATGTTCCATATTTAACAAATATGTGTTTGTGTCTGAAAAATAAAATCCTAAAAAAGAAAAAAGTTCTGGGCACCAGCAATAGCCCTGGTTTAGGTCAAAGGCACTATAGACACGATAACCACTACAGCTTGTTGTAGTGATTATGGTGTTTATTATCCCATTTAGCGACTGAAACAACCATGATTGAGTTTATATCTATTATGTTTGATTTTTGCTTTTGATTAGAATTTGACTTGTTTTCATATCTGGTTCTACCCAGAGGCTGTGGAATCTGGAAACATCCCGAGTCATTGCCCAGCTCGAGAAATCTATGCATGAAGAGATAGACGAAGATGATGAGCTCTTCTTCGTGGACGAAGATGGAGAGAAACCGATTTTTGGGTACACAGGCCCTAACTTTGAAAGCAATGTTCGAGTACCACTTCTGGAATCTCTCAAGTATCCTTATTTATTACTCAACCAACGAGTCAGTAAGTACAGCTTTACTGTCTGAGGTCAGCACAAATGTAATTACAACGTAAATGTATGTGTTTATTAATTATATAACCAGGAGAAATACATTGAGATTTCACTCAAATTTGAATCTGCTCTCTCACAGACAATGTCTATTATTTATTTTTCCTGGCTAATCATGGCAGCATTTAACATATGGGTTTAGCTCCTCCCTCTAACCCTCAGGACAGGAAACACAATCAATTAAACAATTAAGCATACCTTCCCCTTGTATAATAGGAACCCCATCAGCCATCACACCTCAGTCTTTTTTTCCTGTCCTCATAGCCCTAGGACAGTTAATTTTTTTTTTTTTTCTCCCTGAATTTTAAAGGGTAAAGTTTTTCTTTATGCTCACCTGATCATGCTGCTATGATCTTCACCCTGTGGAGGTCAGCCTCCCTCCACAGGAAGCCCAGGCACATGTAGCCCTTTCTCTCCTCGAGCAGGGAACCATGGTGGGTAGTCCCCCTGGCATCTGGAGCCTGAGTTTGCAGGATAAAGCCTCCAGACCTCGATCAGACGATCATCTATCCGGTAAGACGCCCGCGCATGCGCAATGGCCACGACCGGATTTTCGGCATGTTTGCCCTCATCCAAAATGGCGGATCCGCGGACTTGCCGCCAATCGGCGCATGCGCGCCTCCTTAAAGGCACAGAGCGGGAAATTTGAAAATGGCGGTATTTCTTCAAAAAAGCTGGCGTTTTCAGTTCCCTCTGTTATTCAGTGCTCTCTGGTGCCATATTCTGTCTCTGCAGGTATGTTTTTTTTATGCAGCCCTTATATAAATATAAAAATGGATCCTGCATCTCCATCAGCTAAATCAACAAGATCTACTATAGGTCATAGGTGAGCATTACGATATATACTATTTTTCTACATTAAAAAAGAGTGCATGGAGGGTACAGTCATATGACTTCTGTGTTTTACAGCCCTCAAGACCGGTCTGGCCCTAGATCTCCATCTAAGAGGAGGGATAAACCGGCGGCCTGCCCTGGATGTGGCACAAGGCCTTTGGATAACTGCAGGTTATGCCGCAAATGTTTATCCATGATTGCAGGAGAGTCGGAACATCGCAGGTCTCCTCAAGCCTCTACGTCCTCATCTCAGGATATAGCTTATTGGATTAAGCAAGCAGTGGCGGAAGGGATTTCAGAATCCAATAGAGGCAAAAGACCCAGGCGTGAGAGCTTTGGCCACGAATCCGACCTATCTGAAGATGACTTCAGACATCCTGCTGGTTCCTTGGATTTGGAGCTTATCTCTTCTAAGGCGATGGAGCATCTAATCAAGGCAGTGAGAAAGACTCTAGATTTGCCAGAAGAAGTCAGGGAAGTTTCTACTTCTGATAGACACTTCGGAGATCTCCATAAGAGGAAACCTTCCTTTCCAGTGCACAGATCCATTAAGGAACTGATTCGTTCAGAATGGAATACTCCTGGTAAAAGGATTACAAGTCAGGGTAGATTATCAAAATTGTACCCGATTAAGGAGGAGGATTCAAGAATGTGGACAGCGATCCCTAAAGTGGATGCTCCAATTATTAAGGTGGCAAAAAGATCAACTCTTCCGATAGTAATGCTTCTCTCAAAGAACCCATGGATAAGAGAATTGACGCAGATCTTTCTAAGGTCTTCACTACAGCAGGCTTGGGTTGTCATCCAGCAGTCTCTATCTCTGCTTTGTCCAGAGCATTACGTTCATGGATTCTTGATTTGGAAGAGGATATTGAGAGAGGTGTGAGTAGACGTCGCATGACGGACTCCTTGAAGGAGATCAAACTGGCCAGTGATTGGCTGTTGGAATCCTCCACAGATCTTATCAGGATTTTTTCCAAGGTTATGGCTCATTCGGTTACTGCCAGAAGGGCTCTTTGGTTGAGATCCTGGGGAGCTGACCTATCTTCCAAGAATAATTTGTGTACCTTGCCATTTCTGGGAGAGGTGCTTTTTGGCAGACCACTTGAGGAGGCGATTAAAAGAGCGGCTGAGGTCAAGCAAATCTTGCTTCCACAGGACAGGCGTCCAAAAAGACCACAACAGGACCATCGTCCTTACAGGCCACAGGGAGGATATAGAGATAGTAAAACCTATCGTCCAGGCAGAGAATATGCTCGGCTCTCCAATTGGAAGAGTGGTCAAACCGGAAAATCTTCCAGACCAAAGGCTCAAAATTCCTCCTTTCGCCCCACCAGACAGTTCTGAAGGTGGCTTATACCAGGTTCCCCATGTAGGAGCACGCCTTTCGTTCTTCTGGAGGACCTGGAGTGTGATTCCAGATGCTTGGGTGAATTCCGTAATCACCGCAGGATATTCTCTGGAGTTCGAAGATATTTCCCCTCCACCAAGATTCATCAGAACAAGACTCCCTGTCGACAGACAAAAAAGAGAAGTCTTGACCCATTATGTTGCCAATCTTTTTCTGGAAAGGGTCATTGTCCCGGTTCCTGTGAAAGAAAGGTTCCAAGGGTTCTATTCTCCCCTGTTCTTAGTAAAGAAACCAGGAGGAAAGTGGAGACCTATTCTAGACCTACACCAGCTCAACATCTTCTTAAGGATAAGAAAGTTTCGTATGGAATCCATCCGTTCCATCATTCCAGTGATTCACCACAGAGACTGGTTAATCTCAATAGACCTAAAAGATGCCTACTTCCATGTTCCGGTCACAGAAAGACATCAGAAGTTTCTTCGATGCTGTGTAAAAGGGGAGCACTTCCAGTTTCAGGCTCTTCCCTTTGGGATAAGTACGGCCCCGAGAACCTTCTCAAAGATACTGGTCACGGTAATTGCTTTCCTGAGGAAGATGGATGTAGCAATTTACCACTACCTCGACGACATTCTGGTAGTGGCCTCAGACTTCGAGATGTTACTCCAACACAGACATCTAGTACTCGAGACTCTCTCTCGGTTTGGGTGGCTAATCAACCACGAGAAGAGTCATTTAAAACCTTCAAGGGAGCTGGTGTTCTTAGGAGCATGCTTCAATACCCTCAATGCGATGGTATCTCTCGCCCAAGAAAGAAAATTGAAGTTGCAGGATCGGATGCAGGTTTTTCTTCAGAAGACTTCTGCTTCCGCAAGGGAGTTTATGAAACTCCTGGGTACCCTGACCTCTACTATAGACCTGGTCAGATGGGCGCATTGGAATCTTCGTCCTCTTCAGCAGCATCTCCTGAAAAACTTCAAATCCAGCTCAGACGACTGGGAGAAGCAGATCCACATTCCTCTCAGCCTGAAAAGGAAGCTTCATTGGTGGATGAAAGAAGAAAACATCTCCAGAGGTTTTCCTTTGAAGGAGGTCGACTGGGTAGTCATCACGACAGATGCCAGTCAGTTCGGTTGGGGTGCTCATCTGGGAAATTCCTTTGTCCAAGCAGAATGGACTCAGAATGCTCAGCACCTGCCTTCAAATATAAGGGAATTGAGAGCAACGTTTCTGGCTCTTCTTCATTTTCGGCATCTGATCAAAAGAGCCTGGGTAAAGTTGAGAGTGGACAACAGAGCGACTGCCGCCTATATCAACCATCAAGGCGGCACCAGGAGTGTTTCACTGATGAAAGAAGTATCAGCAATCATGACCTGGGCACAAATACATGTGGAAGGTCTACGTGCGGTCTATCTTCCAGGAAAGGAGAATGTCTTGGCGGACTTCCTCAGCAGACACCTGGTAGAAGCCACGGAATGGCACCTGTCAAGGACGGTGTTTCAGCAATTGGTCCAGAGGTGGGGTCTTCCCCAAGTGGATCTCATGGCTACAGCTCAGAACACTCAAGTTCCTTGTTTTGTTTCAAGGAGATTCCATCCGAGGGCGCTGGATCAAGATGCTCTTTCAATCAAATGGCACTTTCATCTGGTATATGTCTTTCCCCCAGTTCCTCTCATTCAAGCTGTTCTGAGGAAGATTTCCAGAGAACGTTGCAGGGTGATTGCAGTGATCCCCTTCTGGCCAAGACGCCCTTGGTTTCCTCTTCTGAGGAGGTTGGCATTGGAGGATCCTTGGGAGATTCCAGTCTCGGAGAATCTGCTGACACAAGGCCCGGTGGTTCATCCAGAACCTTACAAGCTCAGGCTTCATGCTTGGCTTCTGAAAGGCAATCCCTGAAGAAACAGGGCTTATCGGAACAGGTGGTGGCTACCCTTTTATGTTCCAGGAAGATCTCCACTTCATCTACTTACCACAGAATATGGGAAGCCTTTGCGGTCTGGTTAAATTCTTCTATACAGAACATGGGTACTCCTACAGTCTCTCAAGTTTTAGGTTTTCTACAAGCGGGCCTGGAGAAGGGTCTTAGTCTTAACACCCTGAAAGTTCACTGTTCAGCTATCTCGGCTCTCTCTGGCACTCGATGGGCACTTCATCCTATGGTGGTTCGTTTTTTCAAGGCCGTTGTACGGATTAGACCTCCTATCAGACAACTGGCGTCTCCTTGGAATTTGCCTCTGGTACTGCAGGCCCTAACGGAGTCTCCCTTCGAACCTATTGGGAGCATACATTTGCAGATCCTTTCTCAGAAGACTCTATTATTACTGGCTCTAGTCTCTGCCAGAAGAATGTCTGACATCAGAGCTTTATCAGCCGAGGAACCTTACACTTCATTCTTTGATGATAGGGTCGTTCTCCGACCGAGGCCTGAATTTCTTCCCAAGGTTGTTACATCTTTCCATCTCAATCAGGAAATTATCTTGCCTGCCTATTTTCAGCATCCTTCTACCCCTGAGGAATCAAGGTGTCATATGCTGGATCTTCGTAGATGTTTACTGATGTATATAGAACGCTCTGCTGCTTGGAGGAAATCCTCTCAATTATTCATTATACCTTGGGGTTCTCGCAAAGGTGAAGCCGCCTCAGTCTCCACTCTTCGTTCCTGGACGGTTTCGGCTATCTCCAGGGCTTATGGAGCGTGTGGTGTTCCTGTTCCGAAAAACATCAGGGCTCATTCCACAAGATCTATCGCTACTTCATGGGCTGCAGAGTCAGGAGTTCCTGCAGAGAGCATCTGTAAGGCTGCCAATTGGTCTTCTCTAAAGACCTTTGTAAATCACTACAAAGTGGATATTGCTTCCCGCTCGGATTCGGAGTTTGGCCTGTCGGTCCTGAACTCCTTTAATCCTCATAGATGATCTCTATATTAAACTATTTTTGTAGCATGCATTTCCCTCCCTGTGTTGTTATTGCTTGGGGAATCCCATATGTTAAATGCTGCCATGATTAGCCAGGAATAGGGAAAATTTATTCATACTTACCGTAATTTTCTTTTCCTGGCTATTATTCATGGCAGCATTTGGTTTCCCACCCTCTATTGGATATGCTTCTTGTTACTTGACTGAGGTGTGATGGCTGATGGGGTTCCTATTATACAAGGGGAAGGTATGCTTAATTGTTTAATTGATTGTGTTTCCTGTCCTGAGGGTTAGAGGGAGGAGCTAAACCCATATGTTAAATGCTGCCATGAATAATAGCCAGGAAAAGAAAATTACGGTAAGTATGAATAAATTTTCCCTAATTTTTTAATCCGGCAATATATTTTTCCTCTTTTTTATTTCCCTGTGTTTTTTTTTTTTTTATTTCCGTCTGGCAGTGACATTTAGTCTCTGTATTAATTTGCCTTTCAGTGCGCATGTCAGTTCTTGGGCATGCTTAGTACATCTGTTACCTTTAATAGTCAGGGTGGAGTGAGCATGCACAGATTCAATACATTTGTTGTCCGGAGATGTAGAGGACAGGTGAGTTTTATGCGAAAATTTCACTTGCAAAGGAAGGGATGCTTGACTTGAGCATCACCCATTGTTCTTTTTGTCAAGTTGGAGCAAATACACAAGGAAAGTAGTTCCTACCTTTCCTTATGTATTTGTAGAAAACCCAAACATGGTCTAAAAAAAGAGAGCCATGGGGAATCAAAGGATGAACGTTATGGTTCAGGTGACAGAGCCACTTTAAGTAAGACCTGGAGAGCACATACAAATATATAGGCACCCATTTAATAAAAATGTGTGTGCAGTACAATCCTAGGTGTAACAAAACACTGTCAGGTTATTCCATGTATGTGGATTGCGATAGGAGTAAGCTGCTTTACCAACTTAATTTTTTGAGTTGGGGAATGAAAAGTAAGGAGCAGGAAGTGGAACGGACAATATGAGCGATGGAGGCAGGTAGTGTGATAGTTTTCCAGAGAAAAATTTGAGCCATAAGAGGAAGGTTAAGAGTGTCTGGATTCCAGAGTTAACTAGATTAGTTGCTTCAGCATATAACAGTGATGGGTGCTATGGTTACATTGGTGGACACAGAAACATAACACATTATACAGAGTAATAAGGTTAGCAAGATGTCTTTGAGTTGCAGATGCTTGTACTCCATTCCCATAGTCTGTGAGTGACATTAGCATTTGCTCTACAAACCATTTTCTTATGGACATAGCTAAGCATGCTTTGTTCTTGTACAGAGGAGAGAGTTTGGGATACATTTTGTTGGGTGGTTTTTCAGTATAAAATAAAGATTGGGATCTCGCCACATACCGCATCTTTATTAGAACCGGCTGGTGTAGTTAGACTTTGTCATACTGCCCAATCAGGAATCCTGTTGTTTTAGGAGTAGGATGGGTTTTTTTTTTTTTTTTCCTGAATGCCTTGTCACAACTGTTTTACCATTATTTAATTAAAGTTTATTTTTGGAATCCCTCTTTTAAGCTCTGAGAAATTATCCTGTAACTCAGCCTTGAGTTGTGATATATTTGATTTACTGGCATAGATTGTGTTGACCACAAACATATGGACAATTGATGTTTTGCACACAGTCAGTCATCAATAGAAGATAGTAAAAAAAAATTGATCAAAGGTACTGCTCCAGCTACTCCAGTTGCATGGGGCCAGTGACAGTTATCTGGTTAGAATTAACATCACAAAAGAAGGCAGAAAGTTGAACTGTTGGTAAACTCTGCAACATTGTTTATGGATGCATTTGTTCTAGGACATTTGACAGTATTTGGAATAAAGATGATGAATTTGCCTTGTACAGTTAACAGTTGTATACATTACTAGTTAACATTTCTATATTTTCTTTACTTTATACCCTTCTTTACTCATTCATATATGTAGCTGAACTACCTACATTCTCCGAGTACAAGACATTAAAGTTGCTCATCAGCTGATACTATTTTATTTACAATTTCAGGTGAGCTTTGCGTTGAAGCATTGTGTAAGATGGAACAAGTCAACAATCCTTTTCAGGTGTATGAGAAACTTGCCGGGGTGTATTTACTGTTGGTACATCCAAATGAAAATGTAAGTTATTCTGATTTGAAATGCTACTTTATGATATGCCAGTGATCATCACTTGCAGAAACTGACATTACTCAATGGGATGAAATCATCATCGAGATTTGCAGTTGCTGACATTTTTGAAGAGGTGCTGAAGGGAGGGAAACACTTGGTTTCTCTCTTCCCAGTTCTTCACCCTATATATTAGCAAAGGATCCCAAGACCTTGTGCAAATCAGCATTTAGATCCATTTACTTTTATTTCATTTTTTATTTTATTAAAGCTTCATTGTTTAAATTGAATGTACTGCTGTCTGCAAGCATTGCTTTTTTTTTTTTTTTTTACGTTGAGATCATCCATTTACAACAAAAATACCACTCGTTTGTTTATCCATCAGATTCGACGTTGGGCCATCTTGACTGCCAGGGCCCAAGGAAAGGTAGAACGTGATGATTACTATGATTTGCAGGAAGTCTTCACCTGTCTCTTTAAGGTTATTGAGCTGGGTCTCTTTGAAAACCCTGATATCTACAGCACAGAGCTAGAGCAAGGAAAGCTAATACTTTTGCCTCCGCACTTGTATGATGTAAACAACTACAAAAACTACTGGCTGGGTGAGACTTTGTTGAAGAGGTGTTTTTTGTTTTGTTTTGTGCTCAACGGTCTTGGTAACATAACAAACTAGTGGCATGATTTAAGCAATTAATTTCTCATGAACAATCCTATTATTGTTACTTAAGCCTTTTTGTGTTCTTTTGTTCTGACAATTCTATGCTGTATCATATAATGAATTCAGACATTTATTTTGTAGGAATTTGCATGCTTTTGACAGTCCTCGAGGAACAAGCCATGGATTCATTATTGCTGGGCCCAGACAAACAAAACTTTTTGCAGTCCATTCTTCACGTTATGGAAAAGTACACTGAAGGTAACCGCATGATAATGTTAAATGCCTTGTAAAGACCCCCAAAAAGCCAATATTTCGCAAATGCCCTTGAAAAATGCATTTTTTGCATTATTGAGCTACACTATAAACTGTACCCAACTTGGTACCTGTACACAAGATTTATATATTTTAAATGCCAATAATGGGTAACCTTTGGTTTTGAGGCTACTTCTGAACTATAATCTCCTTGATCTCCTCACCAGCCTGATTTGAGAACCACTGGTTTAAAACTGTTGGCTTGTATGATTGATATATATATATATATATATATATATATATATATATAATTTTTATTTTTTTTTCATTTTCTAATTAGAGTAATGCTCTCTAATTAGTGATGTCCCGAACTGTTCGCCGCGGACTCATCATTGAGTAAACTTTGACCCTGTACCTCACAGTCAGCAGGCACATTCCAGCCAATCAGCAGCAGACCCTCCCACCTCCTGGACAGCATCCATTGTGAAGCTGCATTCTTAGTGAGCTGTCCAGGAGGTGGGAGGGTCTGGGAGGGAGGGTCTGCTGCTGATTTGCTGGAATGTGTCTGCTGACTGTGAGGTACACAGGGTCAAAGTTTACTCAATGATGAGTCCGCGGTGAACAGTTCGGGACATCACTATCTCTAATATCTTCTGAAAGCTGTTTTGAGTCCGATTTGTCTGCTAAACATGGGCCCAATTCAATATTAAAACTAAACTCAAGGGTGTAGGGTGTAATGCATTAAAAATGAGAAAAATCTGTCAAAACAAATTAAAATAAGATACATTTGACATTCTGCATTGTCTGCATACTCCTCTGCTTTGCCTGCTTTTGCATTGGGCTCTGCCCAGACCAGAAGGGACTCTGACATTCAAGATACTTAAACCATTTTCAGTTTGAGCAACCCTAATGGCGTGTAACTTTATTCATGGCTATTTTGGAACAGATGTCCAGCGGTGAATGAATGTCTAGCTTTCTCAGCCTCAGCCTAAAGTCTTTGCGTTCATGTGCAATATATTTATAGAATGAATAGTATGCATATTGGTTTTCTATTGATTGCTTGTCCATTTCAGATGAAAAGCTTAATCCCTTCTGGCCAGCACTGCATTGTTTTATGATGATTCTTGATCGTTTGGGATCCAAAGTGTGGGGGCAACTGATTGATCCTATCCAAGCATTTCAAACAATCATCTCAAGTCCCAGTTATAACAACGAGATTGAAAACGTTCGGGCAAGCTACAATAGGTCTGCATTTTGATTACTACATCTATTGGCAGTCCCCCTGTTTTGCACATTGCAATTATTTGCAGTTTGGTACTTTCCTTTGTTTTAGACACGTAAGGTTATATTCACTTGGCCAAGGTGCAGCAATACAGACTGTATAGCAGACTCTACCGATCCACTGAGAGAGTAAATTGGAGGAGATGAACTTTAATGCGGCTTAATAATCTAAAATAAAATATTTGAAGGTTTTTTTTTTTCTCTCATTGTTTTCCAAAATTGTTTACAAAGATCATCTGCTTAATATTACTTTTTAAATGTATCAGTTAAACCACGTAGCAACTATATTTTCAGTGCCTTTCCTCGTTGGTTATCGGCTTCCCCCACGTGTCCTGACACTCCCCATTCAAATGTTCGTACATTCCATGTTTCTAGTATCCTTCAATCCTTATTTCAGCATTATCTTTCTTATTAACTGTTCAGATCCTTATGTTTAAAGGGACACTCCACTGCCCAAATTAAAATAAATAGATCACTCTTTAGTAGATATATCCCCATTGAAATCATACATGGATTTAATTGTACATTGATTTTAAATTAAAAAAACAACTTGCAAAGCTGCATGAAACTGCTAAAGGAAGCTTGCAAAATCTGCAAGTCTGGTGCCTTTGCAAGCCCTCCTCTTCTAATCCAGCCCCAGTCCAATCACAGACTTCCCAATGCAGCTTAATGAGAAGTCTTTGCAAGACAGGTGCTCTGGGCAATTTCCTGCCTCTTCAAGGGACACTATAGTCACCTGAACAACTTCAGCTTAATGAGGTTGTTCAGGTGAGAACTATAACTCCCTGCAGCCTATCTCATGTAAACACTGTATTTTCTGGGAAAATACAGTGTTTACATTGAAAGCTTGGAACACCTCCAGTTGCAGTCACTCAGAGTGAACCAGAGGGACTTCAGAGTTGATGGAGGCATAATATGCCTCCATCCACTCAGATCTGCTGTCAGCAGAGCACAGGGCAGCACTGTGCACAGCATCCTGTGATTCAGTATCTCCTCCCTCTGCATGCAGACACTGAACTTTCCTCATCGAGATTAATTGATTCAATTCCTCTCTATGAGGAGATGCTGATTGGCCAGGGCTGTGTTTGAATCATACTGGCTCTGCCCCTGATCTGTCTCTTTGTCAGCCAGGGCTGGACTGGGAAAAAATTTGTCTCGGGCATTTTTTTAGCACAGCGGCCCACTAAGAAGGGGGCAGGGCAGAGAGGGTTTGTTTTGTCATCACTAATGACAAACATGCCCCCTCTCAAAGTGAGCATGTTCAATGCTCTTTCAGGGCAGACCATGCGCAGAGCTCTGCCCAAGATCTCTAGCACGAGAAAAAAGCCCTGTATTTGTTCTGCACAGCGCAAGCAAATTTAATAACATGCTTGCACTGTGTTTCCTTGCAACTTGTCTCTGGTGTCTCTATAAATGGATACCAGGAGATAAAAATGCCAGGAAAGAGTATTGTGCATGTGCTTGGAGCCTGCTTGTGGGATTGCTTGTGTGTAGAGTGAGCTGATTGTGGTGTGGTATTGTGTAATAAGGTCGGTTTTAGTAGTGTTGTGTTTGTGGTGTAATGTAATGCATATGTGGCTAGGGGCTGTAGAGAATGTGTGCATACAGGCTATAGTGTGTGTGTGTGTGTGTATATATGTGTGTTTGGAAGTATTGTGTATGTGTGTGGTGCAGTATATGTGAGGGGTTCTGTGTGTATGTGATGGATGCTGTGTGTGAGGGTGATGTATGTGATTGATTTGTGTGATGTGTGTGATGGTGCTGTGGGTGATTTGTGTGTGTGGGCGCTGTGGATGCGGGCTAGAGTTCACTCTCGCGAGATCAGGGGTGTTGCCATGGCAACGCTCCTGATCTCGCAAGAGGAACCCGGCGGAGCTGCAAGATAGAGCTCCGCCGGGTCCTCCTCTCCCTCCCCAGCCGCATGTCTCTTCAAGTGGGCCGATGAGGGAGATCTTTGATCTCCTCACCGGCTCTTCATGGAAAGCAGCGGGGCTGGCGCTCGGATAGTACCGGCCCTGCATAGACCGGCAGGAGATGTCCTGTAACCTCCCCTGCCGGCCTCGGCCCATGGCCACCGCGGCCCACCGGGCATTTGCCCGGTGTGCCCGATGGCCAGTCCGGGCCTGGTCTCAGCCGATCCTATAGGGAAACACTGTGATTGGATCAGGCTACCTCATGTCAGCAGACTGCTTGTTTTCTGAGTCTAACAGCATGCATATTTACAGCTTCAGACTTGAATACAGTAAGAGTTTTACTATATTTATGGAGGCCCAGGGGGGCTAGATGGTGGTGTTAACACTATAGGGTCAGGAATACATTTTTGTGTTCCTGACCCTATAGTGATCCTTTCAGTTTAGCTCCAGTGAGCTAAACAAAAAAGGAAGTAACAGAAACAGTTGTCTGAAAGCCAGGGAGCGTAACTAGGTTAAGTTATAAAAGTGTATTTTTTTTAATTAAAATATGCATTTTTGCTAAAATGAAAAAAATGACATGCTCTTCAAACATAAAGCACTTCAGCAAGCTAAAGTGCTTTTTGGATGCGAACTGTCCCTTTAAGAAGTTATGTCTGGAACACCTAATCTAGTATGTAAGACGAACTACAATTTTGATCTTTGAAAGTTACAGCCGCATCATTTTATTACCTATAAGTAGTCCAAGTTTTAATTGTTTGCACTTTGTTTTCAGTTAACATAAGGCTTTACGTTTCATTTTTTGCTCTTTAGAGTCTTTGTTTCTTACGTTTTATTTTTTATTTTTTGGTCTTTCTCTTTTCATTCTATAAGGCCAAGTAAGAGTGAGCCAGACGCTAGTGATGATGAAGACCTTGTAACATGTAGCCAGATGGTGTACAGTTTTAACACCGAAAAGAAAAAAAAGGTGTGTAACTGAAATTTTATTCTGTTTTTGAATCTACTTTGTAGGTCTTGACTTTTGAAGTAGTGCTGGTAAATTGTTTGACCTGAATTCCCTCCCCCCCACCCCCCCTGTCTAAATCAGGAAGAATAGATACATTTATAATATCAACAGTAAAGGGAAAACTGCTTCCACATAGGCCTTGAGTAGTACCAAATATGTCCCTGCAGGTATAGTGAATTGAGAAAACGAGGACATTTTGTATGAGGTTTGTGTATTTCTATGGAAATCAGATGTAAAATTAAGGGAGGTCAGAACACATACGAGAGGAGTCCCAACTCCATCCATCTTTCGAAAAACCATCCTCTACCAAGGAAAACATGCATCGTGAGATATTGCATACATTTTGTGAGGTGGCAAATAAATTAAAGACCACACTAACAGCTTAGGAATTAAAGGACCACTATAGGCACCCAGACCACTTCAGCTTAATGAAGTGGTCTGGGTACCTGGTCCAGCTAGGTTTAACCCTTTTTTCTATAAACATAGCAGTTTCAGAGAAACTGCTATGTTTATGTTAGGGTTAATCCAGCCTCTAGTGGCTGTCTCCTGACAGCCGCTAGAGGCGCTTGTGTGCTTCTCACTGTGGAGCAATGCTTTCCTATGAGACTGGCTGAATGCGCGCGCAGCTCTTGCCGCGCATGCGCATTCAGCCGAATAGGAGGAGGAGGAGAGCTCCCCGCGCGGCGCTGGAGAAAGAGGTAAGTTTAACCCCTTCCTCTCCATCCAGCCCTGAGGGTAGGGGCACCATCATGGCACTATAGTGCCAGGAAAACAAGTGTGTTTTTCCTGGCACTATAGTGGTCCTTTAATTCTTTGGGTTATGTTTATCTTTTCTTTATACGCTCTAGGAATTCCAAAATGTTTCTTCTCAGTGATAAAGTCTAGGTTGACGTTTTAGTTCTTTAAAGGAACTTTCATCAGGACAGCATAAAGTCATTCAAACATGTGAAAGGCTTTAAATCGGACAGGTGTGTGTGTGTGTGTGTGTGTGTGTGTGTGTATGTGTATATATATATGTGTATATATATATGTGTATATATATATATATATATATATATATATATTTTTATTTTTTAGATAGACAAGTGTCTCTTAAATTGACCGCTCCATTTCTCTTTTTTTGTTATCCTTTTTTAGGACACCGGATGGAAAAAGGCAATTTGTCCTGACTACTGTCCTAATATGTATGAAGAAATGCAATGTCTTGCCAACGTACTACAGTCTGATATTGGTCAAGACATGCGAATCCACGATAGCACTTTCTTGTGGTTTGTTCCATATGTACAGTCTGTCATGGACCTGAAGGATCTGGGGGTCGCTTACATCATTGAAGTGATCCACCACTTGTATTCAGAAATAAAAGACGTATTCAATCCGAGAAATCCACAGTCTGATAAGGTTACCGAACTTTTCATTCTGGTTTTGGTGTCGATCATTGAACTCCACAGAAATAAAAAGTGCCTCCATTTACTTTGGGTAAGCTCACATAAGTGGGTGGAAGCCCTTGTGAAATGTGCCATGCTTCCTACCAAAGATCAGCAGCTCAGGAATAACTCAAGAATATCCTCAAATTCATTCTTGCCATTGTCTCCCACCTCTCACTCAGGATCTTCTGTCCAGTATTCTTGTATGCTGTTGATTCGAAGCCTATTGCGAGAAGGTTACCAGCTTGGCCAGCAAGCAGCTTGTAAACCATATCTGGACAAACTGAATCTCCTCATTCGGGCCAACGTATGCCGAACTCTGGAGCTTAGCAAACCTGAAGCTCAAGGTTTACAAATGTGCTTGACGCAGATTATTAAAAGCGTAAAGGACAAAGTATCATCAAGTCCTAACTCTCATTTAGAGCAGGTTTTAACGAACAAAACACAGTCTGTACCCTTCATAAAGATTGAAAGGATGGAAGAGGATGACGACATATGGTACGGCTCAAGCTGCACTTCTTCACTTCAGCCTGTTGTAAATTCATCCTTGTGTGTGAAAAATGAACATCAGGAATCAAGAACATCAGAGGAAAAGTTGGATCCTTCTACACCAGGCTGTAGTTCTGTTACCACAATTAATGTCAAAAAGGAAATTCCTGAAAGCATAAAATATGTATCTTCTGCCAAGAATGGGTGTTCTTCCACTGTGCTGCCAAATATAAAATCCAAAAAAGACCTAAGTGGTTGGCAATCCAAATTATCTAAGGTAATGGAAAAGACTTTACTTCCGAAAAGTAAAAGAGTGATTTCCGCCGATGAACAAAACACTAATGGTAGAACATATAAGAGCCAATCGAAAACACTGCTGCCTCTTAAAGTACAAGTTAAAACAGAGCAATGTGACCAGTGGCTCATAAAACCCAAGGATGTTAAAAGTGAGAACTTTACTCCATCAAATCTAAAAATAAATTTGACCGAAGATGATGCCGATGGCTCTACTGTAGCAAGACCACTGGAAAGGCTGTCATTGGAGCCCAAGAGCCCAGAAATGATGTCTGTTTCAGTAAAGGAATTTACTTTAGATCAGGAAAATAAATCATTGGCTTCTGATAAACCACAAATGAACTGTAGACCAAGCTCAACAAGTACTGATGATCCTGGGGAAGCAGAGGATGACGATGATATTCCTTTGACTGAGATTAAGAAAAAATTGTTAAAAAGCCACACAAAAACTTTGAAAAGAACAAATTCACAAGTGGATCGTGATCTTGACGATTTGTCTTTAGCAGCCCATGCTAAGGTTCTGAGTTTTCCTGGTGACTCAAGCCAGGACACATCTTCACAAGAGCCCTCCCAAATTGAAAGGAGGGTTAAGGGAGCAATGAGATCTTCAGTCATTGATGATTCTTCATCTGATACAGACACATCTTCAAATCAGGTCATAACGATCTCAGACAACTCTTCTGAGGACGAAATAAAGCCATTCATTATGAGTATGAAAAAAGAAAAAAATGAAGACTGGTCTGCCAGTTCTACACCTGGAGTTTCCAAACTGGGAAGTGAAGTCCAAGTAAAATCCGAACCTTCTTCTTCAACTTGTGATGAATACAATTCACAGCTCTTTGAGTTTGAAACACAAGATGACATATTTTCTGTTTGGGGAGACTCTCAGGTTGACCAAAAATCTTCATCTCCTGAGCAAGCAATAAAAAGTTCAAACCAAAGTCCCGAGACCAACAAGCCAACAAATAGTAATGGCTTTGATCTGAGTGGTGATTTCAACCAGTGGGGTTATGACACCGACTATATTTGTGATGAAGTAATTGAGAAAGCAGTAGAGGATGCAGAGAAACAGTTTAAGTTGTCTATGACCTCTACATACCAAAAAGAGCCTGAAGATGAAAAGTGTTGTGAAAAGAACTCAAGTGAAAGGTTCAGCTCTAAACAGTTCTATGGCAAACATTCACATAAATCAAATAAGTGGAAGTCCCTCGCTGTTCCAAAGAAGGAGTCATTGTCTCCAGAAGCATCTCTGAGCAGAAAACCAGAAACTACTATTTCTCAGAAAATAAGCAAATCAAAAGTACACCGAAACAAAAGTCCTGTCAAGGCACGTTTAGAAAGTAAAAAACACAGCAGTCCCCGTAAACCAACACTTGCTGTGGTTCCTCCCAAAAAAATTAGAGTTTGTCCTGAGCCAGCCTCGACCGCAGAAAGACTTGGTTTGAAAAAAGCACCGCGCAAAGCTTTTGACTTGTCACAGCGGTCTCTTGATAGCTTGGCAGAACTACGGGACTATGGCAAATCAGCAGGAATGTTTAAGTCAGACAAACAAAAAACAAAGCTCATATCTCCCAAGTCTTTATTAGTAAAAGGGAACAAGAAATTGTTGGCTTGTCAAGATCTTCAGTTTTACCGGCAGTCAAGACCCAAGGAGATTAAAACAGGATCGAAGGAGACTAAGAAAGGAAAACAGGCAAGTGTATCAGAGAAACACAATAGAAAAGTTAATGAGGCAAAACAAACAATGACAAGGGACAATAATGAGACTGAAAGTTTTTCTGTCCAAAGTAAATACAAGCACAGGAATAGCACTGAGACAAATCCCAGCATGCCAGAGAAAGAAGAACCAAAGGTCGGAGAATTTACTTCATCTAAAAATAGTGATTCTGCTGATTTGAAGCAGAACGTTACCGATGATACATTGACAGAAATAGTTAAGAAGGCTTCTTCACCAAATGACCATGCTATTTCTTCTCTGTCTTCAACTGTGAATGATTTCACTAATAACAAAGGGGAGGAGGAGGATGATGATGGTCTTCAGTTAACCCAAGCTGACCCTGTTGACATGGAGGTATGTTCTCAAGAAGAATATGACATCGAAATTGGGATTTTTGAAGACAATGAAAAATGTAACATTGTCGAGTCTTCAGCATCCGTTCCCGAGACTACTGAGAAACAGACATGCAAACACACAGATTGTTCAGAGGCTCTCTTTTCTGGAGATTACTGTGCAAAACATACTATACCTGGAAAAGCAGACGATCATGTGTTTGCTAAACCAGGTTTGCCACCCTCTTTTCAAAAATATTCCAAGCCTTCTACTACAAAGATTTTCAATGCTAATAACACTTCCAGGTCTGCTGCTCTCTCAAAGGATCTTGAAAACATCCCAAAGATTCCTTGTGTTTCGAAGTCTAAAGCTCCATCATCAAAGCCCCCTGTGCCAAGACCAATCCTGCCATCTAATGCCCAAAAGAGGACTTCGGTAACACAAAATACAAATAGTGTGTTGCAGCCACTGATAAATCAGAATAACATATATCCCCAAACGTCTTTAGCAGTTACTTCAGAAACCGGGAAGCTTCCTCAGTATCAAACGAACTATCGCCCAGTACAGCATGTCCCAGCGTGGCTTATGAAAGAGGTTCTGCGTTGGAAGTATGAAATGTTTGACAATGTATCTCAATTTGGACCTCCCAAGAACCTGTGCCCATTACCCCTCCTAAAGGTTCCTCTTCTGTTTTCTGGCTATGAAGAGTACTTCAATGTTTTCTTTCCGCTGATGTTGCTGAACACCTTTGAATCCGTAAGTGTTAATTTGTTTCATGTGAGTTAGCGATTATTTTTGGTAATTTTCTGTCCTAATTTCTTTTGGTATACAAAACTGTAGAAAAAGCAATAGGCTGCTTACAGTGACAAGTTGGTATTTAGTGTAACCCTGTATTTAAGGGATATTATAGTAACCAGCACAACTACATCTTAATGTAATTGTTCTGGTGTGTATAGCCTTTAGCCAAAAGGCAGTGTTTACATTACTGGATGGTAACTCCTTTAGTGGCAGTCACTCGGACGGCCACTAGAGGTGCATCCTGGATCAGTGCTGCATAATGTGCAGCACTGATGTTTAGCGTCTCCACGCTCTATATGGAGACGCTGAACTTTCCCCATGAAGACCTATTGATTCAGTGCATCTCTATGAGGAGATGCTGATTGGTGCAACATGGTGTTTTGCCGCGCATGCGCAATAGGGTGAGATCATCAAATTTGATCTCACCCTAAAGGGGTGGAGCCAGCCACAAGGAGATCTGAGCAGCGCTGAAAAAAGGTGTGTAAACTCACCTTTAACACTTTTCTTAGGGGTCCAGTCACCTAAACTGTTATTTTAGAACTATAGTGTCAAGAACACAAGTTTGTATTTCTAGTTTTAACCCTGCAATGTAAAACAATACAGGTTTGTAGATTATGCAGTGTTTACATTGCAGTGTAAAACGCACCTCTGGTGGTTGACTTTCTTCTGTCATGTGACTAAATGCAGCTTACAGGAAAGCATTTGCCGCACATGTGCATCACTCCCTAATGCTCCTCGATAAGGAGTTTTGGATTGGTGCTGAAGAAAAGCTAAGGAACAAGCACCCCCACCCACCACCCATATCTTTTTACTGAAAGCTCCCCCACCCACCACCCATAGCTTTTTACTGAAAGGGGATACTCTAATGTTAGGAATACATGTTTGTATTCCAAATTCTGTAGTCTTCCTTTGAATATAGATTGCAGACTTTAGTCTTAATGATTTATATCTTTTGTTTATTGGATGATAAACATCCAGCGTGCTCTATCATTGGATAGAGCAGAATGCTGAATGTGTTATCTGCTCATTTGTTGTGTTGTTTACCGTGCCCTAATTTGACTAGACACTTATATTTGATAAAGTTTTCCACTGTGTTTGCTGGAGAGGGGACCATCTCTTGAAGTTATATATGCATGCAGTAACTGAATTCTGTTTTTAATACTTTTATATACATTTATCAGCCACAACATTAAAACCACCTGCCTGATATCATGTTGGACCCCCTCATGCTGCCAAAACAACTCTGATGTGTCAAGGCATGGACTCCACAAAACCTCTGAATGTGTACCGTGGCACCAATTATTAGCAGCAAATCCTTTAAGTCCTGCGAGGTGGGGCCTTCATGGATTGGATTTGTTGTTCCACAGGTGCTCAACTGGATTGAGATCTGGGGAATTTGGAGGTCAAGGCAAAACCTTGAACTCTTTGTCATGTTCTTTAAAACATTCCTGAACAATTTGTGCAGTGGTGCATTATCCTGCTGAAAGAGGCCACTGCCATCAGGGAGTACTGTTGCCACCAAGCGGTGTACTTGATCTGCAACAATCTTTAGGTAGGTGGTACGTGTCAAAGTAACATCCACATGAATGCCAGGACACAAGGTTTTCCAGCGGAAAATTGCCTAGAGCATAGTACTGCTGCTGCCGGCCTGCTTTCTTCCCATAGTGCATCCTGCTGCCATCTCTAACCTGGGTAAACGTTGCATGTATCCGGTCATCCACCTGATCTAATAGAAAATGTGACGTGATATCATGTCTCCATTGAGGGCGCTTTTGGCGGTGGACAGGGGTCATCATGGGCACTGTGACTGGTCTGCAACTACAATGCACTTTGGGTTCTGACACCTTTCTATCCTGGCCAGCATGAAGTTTTTAAGCAATTTGACCTACAGTAGCTCTTCTGTATGATCGGACCAGACGTGCAAACCTTCTCTTTCCATGTGCATCAGTGAGCCTTGAGTGCCCCTGTCCCTGGCGCTGGTTCATTGGTTGTTTCCGTGCACCAGTTTTGCTAGTAGGTACTAACCACAGCATACCAGGAACACCCCACAAGACTTTTGGAGTTGCTCTGACCCAGTTGTCTAGCCATAACTATTTTGCCCTTGTCAAAATCACTCTGATCTTTTTGCTTGCCCATTTCTCCTGCTTCCAACACAGGAAATTCAAGAACTTACTGTTAACTGCTGCCTAATACATTTCACCCCTTGACAGGTGCCATTGTAACAATATTATCAATGTTATTCACTTCTCCTGTCAGTGATTTTAAAGTTGTGGCTGATCAGTGTATATAGAACCATAGAATGTGACGGCAGATAAGAACCATTTGGCCCATCTAGTCTGCCCAATTTTCTAAATACTTTCATTAGACCCTGGCCTTATCTTATAGTTAGGATAGCCTTATGCCTATCCCACGCATGCTTAAACTCCTTTACTGTGTTAACCTCTACCACTTCAGCTGGAAGGCTATTCCATGCATCCACTACCCTCTCAGTAAAGTAATACTTCCTGATATTGTTTTTAAACCTTTGTCCCTCTAATTTAAGACTGTCCTCTTGTTGTGGTAGTTTTCCTTATTTTAAATATAGTCTCCTCCTTTACTGTCTCTTTATGTATTTACATGTTTCTATCATATCCCCCCTGTCTCGTCTTTCCTCCAAGCTTTACATGTTAAGTTCCTTTAAACTTTCCTTTTAAGTTTTATCCTGTAATCCATGAACCAGTTTAGTAGCCCTTCTCTGAACCCTCTCTAAGGTATCAATATCCTACTGAAGATACGGTCTCCAGTACTGTGTACAATACTCCAAGTGAGGTCTCACCAGTGTTCTGTACAATGGCATGAGCACTTCCTCTTTCTAGTGCTAATACCTCTCCCTATGCAACCAAGCATTCTGCTAGCATTTCCTGCTGCTCTATTACATTGTCTGCCTACCTTTAAGTTATCAGAAATAATTACCCCTAAATCCCTTTCCTTAGATGTTGAGGTTAGGACTCTATCATTAGTATTGGTATATCATTAGTTACCTTTTATTTTGAGAGGGGTGTACTTGTTTGCCAGAATGGCACTATATACTAGACAACATTTTGTGTTTAGCGATTTTGCTCCATCAAATACTGGTAATCGTTGGGTCGAATCACATCAAACAAATTCTCAGTCAAGACTGATTCTCAATTGGCTGTTACACAAGGCGAGAGGTGTTAGTATATGATTTTATTTCTTTCCTTGCTTAGGCACTGAGGCAGAGCCTATGATAATTTGTTTTCCTGTCTGTTTTCTTGAACAGCTGGCACAGGATTGGGTAACAAAACAGCGAGTGATCAATTCCCATATATGCAAGCTGCAGTTACAGAATTTCTGCCTTGATAGTCAGGTGAATCGTGGAGATTTTCAAGGTAATTTCAGGTTGTTTTGTTTATTGTTTTCTCCCCTCCCCCCACCCCCCATGTTATGTTATTTTTCTTCTTCTTCTTAAACTTGTTCTACATATATCACCTTTTCTATAGTCTGCATATTTTGAGCATATGTTTTGACTTCTGTTTCCAAGATGCCAAAGTATGTCAAAAACCAAAACAAAACCTCTGTGAGTTAACTCTTTGTTTCAGCAAGCTGCCAGGCTGTACACTGTGATGTCATCACTGTGTGAATGCCCAGCGGGCGAGTTACGAATAGTGATCTTGGGTATTGGACTGGCTGATTCTAACCCAGAAACACTCAAAATAATTAGCCTGCTAAGGGAAAAATCTGGCAGAGGCAATGTCTCCTAAATTTACTTAAACGGCATCACAGAACAAACATGCAAGTAATATGAACATTTGAACTAAAGAAAGAAATGAAGGGGGGGGGAATTTTCCCCTCCCCCCTTTTTTTATTTTTTATGATTTGGTGTTCAATGCAAGTCATAAGACCTATGTTGGGCTGTGGGGTTTTTTTTGTTTTGTTTTGCAACACCCATAATTATTGTCGGAAAGGTGTAAGGATGATCATTAATGGGCCATTGATAGTCGTTAAGTCAGTAATTATCCAAAGACCTATTGTGATCAATACATGTGTTTTACACAAACCTTCATGTCTATTTAAGTTTACACGTTACTTATGATATTGTAGACTTCATTTGTTGAATCAGGAGCAATGGAGAGTTGCCAACTTTCCTGGTGTACTGAGTAAAACCCCTCTGTGTTTTTAAAGAGCCAACGATTGTTGTAATTCTTAAAGCGTTACGTAAAGGCTGTTTAGAAAACTTAATATGGCTAATGGAAATGAAACAATATAGTAGCTATTGACAGACCTGTCTGCATTGTATATCTAATGGGACAGCTGTTACATTGCATCTTTTCAGTTTGGTTTCGGGATGCAGACTTGAACAGTCAACGTCACCCAAAGGAAGATGACTTGGTATTTCTAATTACACCGGACCCCAGCAGCAGCATTGCAGGAGATGAATCCAGTGTGTCTTCTACACTCGTATATCATACAGGCTATGTATCCCGCTTTACTCGTTCCCAGCGGACGCAGATGTGTAAGTACACACACCTGTCATCCCTAAAGCACTGTGATGTTAGGAGAGTATTTTACCATAATGCAGGAGTTAGCCAGTTTTCAGTACTCCAGATGTTGTGGACTACGTCTCCCATAATGCTGTTACAGCCATAATGCAGGCAAAGCATCAGGGGAGATTTAGTCCACAACATCTGGAGTGCCGAAGGTTGCCTGCCTCTGCCCTAAAGCCTTTCTTGGATTTTTAATTTAGCTATGCTAGCTTGGAAACATGGTCTATATTTAACTGTCAGATCATTCCTAGTATTGTCAAAGGTAAAATGGTAGTAAATACCTCATTACACAATGTTTACTGTGATGCGTGTAGAGAGCAGAGCTCCCTCATTGCTAATGTGCATTTTACTTCAAGAGGCACCTGTCAAAATACTGTAGGTGGTTTGGTTTACAGATTTACTTTACAGCACTGTCTTTGATCAGGTAACATGCTGATTAAACAGACTTCTCTCATGTCCTCCTTTCTTTTCACCCTCCAGTGGACAAGGAGCATTATACGCTGTGCGACCTTTGTATCCACACTTATGGGAACCTGTCCGGATGCCGCAATGAGCAAGTACAGTGCGTGGTGATAGGAAGTTTAGTCACCACACAAAGGCAATGCAAAGCACTGGTTCAGCTACAGAGAAACCCATTCTTTAGGCCAATCATCCATCCCAATCCCACAGATTTCATGCCAAGGGATAAAATAACCAGCCAGGTCTCCATGGTAGGTTCACATCCCTTTATTTACATCTGTCTGACAATTTCGAATTTTACAATGTTACCATGTAACACAAGCTATAAAGCTTACTAGGATGCATCAGCATGTCTTTCATATAAAATAAGGGATGCATTCACATCATGTGACTTAAACTGTGTAGCTTACCACTGCACCAAAGTTTATTGGTTTTGGTTCCTCTAACCTAATTTTACAAATGGTATAGTAAACTTCTCCACTGCATTGGGCTGAGGGCCTCTGTGCTTGGCATCGTTACAGAAATCCACAATTTATTTCTATTGTTACACTTAATGTGGCATGCACTACATCAGAGCCTTAATACCCAATATCTGCGTTCCTCCTCCCCCAACAAAAAAAAGTCCAGGTTGTGAGAACTTAGTGATTTGGTATTTCGGGATTCCCAGATCCAGAGAGAGCTGTTATTAGTAAGTATGGGTTTCCTGTTTTTCCATACAGTTAAATATATCTTGGCTGGTGTTAATTTCTTTGGTGATAAGGAAGGGGATGGAGCAAAAGAGGTAAAGCATTTTTATGAGGGCATTTGTTTTGGTGCCAAAAGTCTGGTCCCAGGAAGATCCATGATACGTATACCACTGTAGAGGGAGTGGTATAACACCTTGTGTAATATCTCAGTGGTAACAGATAAGCTAAATCACCATATTTTACACAGTTGCAGTTTGGACAGAGCTAAGGCTTTATGACAGATTCTTGATAAATCCACTAATTCCTTTAGATAAGAAGGGACATTTGACAAAGGATCATGTGTCCTTTGCATTGAATGCTTTTTTTGAGCGAGTCCATCACTGTCTCTAGTTCCTGTGAGTTAAGTTTGCCTTCAGCCCAATGGTAATTACTGTACTCTTAGTGTTATAGACCACATTTTCTAACCGAACACTTTGATACATCCAGAATATTTTGCAACACTGCAGAACGTGTTCGAGCTTAATAAATAATAATGTGAAAAAACCTGTCCATCTTAATTAGCCACCTCTTGCAACCGCATACTTAACTAAAGTTCTTTTGACTCCTTAGTTCCCCAGCCTAAAAGAATATAACAGCGACCAGAGATATGCTATAGAAAGGGCCTACGCAATGGTGAAACGGCACCCACGACTACCGAGAATATGCATGATCCATGGGCCACCAGGCACCGGCAAATCCAAGACCATAGTCGGCCTCCTGTATAGAATTCTGACGGAGGTAAAATGTTTTTTTTTTTTTTTTTTTTCTTCCAGGAATGTGTTTATGTGCCATATCACAAACTTAAGAATCAAAGTTCAATTACATTAATAAAATCAGATTGAGTGTTTTTTCCTGCTAACCTGGGGATATTTTCATATAGTGCTTAAGATGGCACTGTTGCCTGAAAATGTATTTTTGTAAATCAGTTTAAAAAAGTAATGCAAATAATTGGCTGTTAATAAGTTTCTTTTTGTGAGGGTAGCTGTCTTGAAATTGCATCACAGTTGTCAAACCTGTAGTGACAATGACACATTTTGGGGGAAAAAAGGGTTAAGGACGTTGAGTGATATTATCTTTGCCACTGAGCCCAAGATCACACCTGTGATAAATCCATGATTTTTAATGTCATTGTAGGCCCAGTCCAGGAAATAGATTGTGGTGCAAAAGCCAACTAAAGTATCTTCAAGTCTGGCTTATGTCTGATATCGCTTAGTTATGGTCTAGGTGTCAACAGGCCCTAGATATATTTGTAATAAATTAGTTAAGAATGGTTCCTATTTTATTGCTCCTGGATTGGGACAGGCAATATTAACAACATGAATTTGCTCCCAAGGGTCTTATACCTGTTCTAGAGGCTCCCTTTTAAGAGAAACATTGTTGTTCTACTGCCAGTCATGCAGTAATTAAACTAAAGTGTCTAGCTGAAAATAAACCATACACAATAAATGAGTTCTTGACATTAACAAAAATTCATGGACAACGGCGCAAATCATAGATTTACTGCAAAGTGAGTATCCTGTAAAGTATCATGACTAAATCACTAACTACACATTAGCTACATTTACGATGTAAGACCACGAAAAGTTACAGCACACAATATTAATGCATCAAGTATTTAGTTTACAAGATTAAACTCCTCGCCCACTCCTAGTGAGGTGGATCAAAGTTCTATATGAGGCTCCTAATTATGTCCCCAAATAAGAGAATTTTTAATAGAAGTGCTCTAGTATAAGCTTAAATTTCAGGCAAAATTCCCCTAATTATGTTTAATGAGCATATAAAACTACCTTATTCAATTTACTGTCTTAAAGGACCACTATAGTGCCAGGAAAACATACTCGTTTTCCTGGCACTATAGTGTCCTGAGGGTGCCCCCACCCTCAGGGACCCCCTCCCGCCCGGCTCTGGAAGGGGGAAATGGGTAATAACTTACCTTTTTCCAGCGCTGGGCGAGCTCTCCTCCTCCTCTCGCCTCCGATCCGCCCCGCCGCTGAATGCTTGCAGCGGCAAGAGCTGCGCGCGCATTCAGCCGGTCTCATAGGGAAGCATTTACAATGCTTTCCTATGGACGCTGGCGTGCTCTCACTGTGAAAATCACAGTGAGAAGCACGCAAGCGCCTCTAGCGGCTGTCAATGAGACAGCCGCTAGAGGATTAGGGGGAAGGCTTATCCCATTCATAATTATAGCAGTTTCTCTGAAACTGCTATAATTATGAAAAAATGGGTTAACCCTAGCTGGACCTGGCACCCAGACCACTTCATTAAGCATTTTCCTATTTTATATATTGGTATGCGTGAAAGCTTTCTCTGGGTTCTCTTAACTTTGCGTTTAACAACTTAAAATCAAGAGAACTTGAGAGGATAAATGTTCATCTGCAGCTCAAGGACGTAAATCTAGACTCAAAATGAGACAGCTATTGCCTCAGTCCTGGACCATGAATCTATCCCCCTACTGTGCATCTGGGGATTCTGGGACCATACTGCCCTAATCACCCTAAGCTCACTATACATTGTTTACTTCATGGGTACACTTTATCGCTGATTCTCCTTGTTAGGAGGTTCTCCACAGGTGGTCCCGGGATGTATCAAGGGCCAGCAGAAACGGACCTTTGGTTAGTGTATAGTGAAATAGTCAAACATTCAGCTGGCTTGGAAGAAATAGAAACACACAGACTCATAGACAGTATGCTTCTCAGGATCTTCTAATTTGAGTTTCCATGCCATCTTTTATACAGTAATGGTAAAAGGCAAGTCTATTCTATTTAAAGGAATACATATATCAATCTACAAAAAAAACAAGGAGATAAAATGTAATTTCTAAGAAATGTCAGGGCAATAGGTACAGAATTCCAAGAAATGATCCGGTGTTGGACAAGGTGCAGTCTGTCAGTTGATTTTGGCACCCTACTCAGAACACAAAAAGCAACTAATGCATTTAGTAATTTTCCAAAGCAAACAAAATGAAGGCCATACCCTAAAATGGAGTCTGGCTGACTAACATGCTATATAATTTAATTCACAGCACACCTAAATGTAGACTAACTAGCTTTCACTCACAGATTCAATATGGCTTCTATATTTAATTTTGTATCCGGTATACACTCCACATTATGTTCCCAAAATATGTCTGACTGTCTTGATGACCTGTTATCTGCCCGATGGTATATCTCTTTTTAGACGGTATTCCTTAACTTTTTTGCACACTGTGTAGCACTGGTCCAGGAAGCACCTCCAGTGGCCAACTAAGGAGTGGTCACTGGAGGTGTCCCTATGATGTAATGTAAACACACTGCCTTTTCTCTGACAAGGCAATGTTTACATGAAAATGCCTGCAGAGACTGACTATACTCGCGAGAACAACTACATTAAGCTGTAGCTGTTCTGGTGACAATAGTGTCCCTTTCAAATAAAAACAAGATTAAACCTAACCCACATGATATAACTAAATGTAACCTACACAATACAACTCACCTATTAGTACCTGAAAGCAACCTTTTAAACCTACTTTTTGTGAAACCGATCAATTTAAAATACTGGATGGATCTGGGCAGCATTATATCTGTATTAGATCTGACAGGCTGCTCTTTTTGGAAAGAGATGAGGCTTGTCTTACATGGAACCGTTGGACTAATATAAGCATGCCAATATTATTGCAAGCCTTTGTATACTATGGCAAGCTGTGAATTTTGGTTCTGTTCTGCAGAAGAGCAACACAAACATTCCGGATCAGAATCTCAACGCGAAGAACAAAAGAAACAGAGTTTTGGTTTGTGCACCGTCCAATGCCGCCATTGATGACCTCATGAAGAAGATAATACTGGAGTTCAAAGAAAAGTGTCAGGACAAAAATAACACACTAGGTTTGTGAATTTGCAACATATGTAGCGTGGGTAGAAAGTGCTCCCCACTGTACACAGTGGAGTTATTTACGGAGGACCAGAACTTCCAATCTGGTAGAAATGTGAAAAGTACATAGAACTAATAAACGTCTAATGTGCATTTTTTTTTTTTGGTAAACAGCTATAAGGGTTTAGTAAACTGCAAAAAGAAAGGCTTCAATGTAGTTTGTCACAGGGAGGTTTATAGGAGCAAATAGCCTTTAATGCAATTTTGAAGGTAATTCCTTTTTTGAGCCTTGATTGTAATTTTAGTAATGTAAGGGTAAATAATCTTCTGGCATTGATTGTTTTCTGTGCAGCTACTCTGTGACTGAACATAAAGGAACACTATAGGGTCAGGAATACAAATTTCCCCCTTAAAAAAACTAAAATAAAAAAAATGTAAAACTCACCTTTATTATATGGGAACGCAAAAGACCTGCAATTCCAAGGAGGCGGAGCCAAACGCAGCACTTATCATAGAGATGCATTGAATTAAATATAAGAATATCTTAAGGTCATCAACCCAGGGTTTTGTTTTTTTTTCGTTTTTTTCTCTTTCTCTTTCTCTTTCTCTTTAAATGTGTGCAGGCAAACCGAATTCTCTGATTCTGTATTCTTCACTCTTTCAGGGAACTGTGGAGATATAAACCTGGTACGTCTGGGATCTGAGAGAGTGATTTCCAGCGATGTTGTAAAGTTTAGCCTTGACTGTCAAGTGAATTACAGAATCAGTGAGTAACGAGAATTGTAATGACTGACAGGTTGATTAGATAAAGTCTAGCTACGTTCACTGTTTATTTGCTATCTTTTGGGATCAACATTTATTGCCTCTTTTAAATCACTCCCAACTGTCTTTTTAACTTCCGTCAACACCCAGTTTTGAGTTTATTTTACTTACCATTCTAGTGTGACTGTGACCCTTTCACCTGAATGTACATCTTTTCTGTTGAAGAAGCCTGTGATGCTACTCGTTCCTGTAGCACTATTACCAGGATACACTGACATATGCAGATAACCTTCACTATGTATGAAGTGAGGTTACAATACAGCTCCATTGAATGTTTGAGGCTACAATAGAGCCCCATTGCGGAGGTTATAAATGTATGCTTGTGAGAGATAAATATATTTCTAAAGCCTACTTCTGTGCATCACCTATACATGAAAACCAACAGATTCAATCCCCACACTCCCAGCATTCTTTGGGGAGCCTTGAATCTTACTAAACTTTCTTTCCTTTGCAGACCGAGCTCAGCATGATACTGGATTACACAAGCAGAAAGAAGCACTGGACAGGCAGCTGGATGAGCTTTGTCGGCAAAGAGCGATGGAAAGATGCAACAAGAACACCGTAAAAATATTTATATTAATATAAGTTCTACTAGGTTACTAGAATTTAGGTGCCTTTTACATTACCTTTAGTATGCCACAGGCATGACTATTGCATTGCAAAGCTACATGTTGAGTACACCTATAGCATTTAGAGGTTAAGCGCCTTACAACTATAATTGCACACTGCTACACAAACACACACACACTTAACCAATCACTCAGCCATTCACTTATATAACTACACACACACACACACACATATATATGTTACTAGTTAATCATTATACACACAAAATTGATTTAAAGCAGCACTGTCATGCTGAACTTACCTTTCCCCTAATCGCTTCCTCTTCTCTCCCTCTCTCATGATTTGTTCTCCCTTTCTTCCTATCTAATCTAGTTTTCTTTAAAACATAAGACAAAGTAGGAAATACTTTGTCTAATGTATTTTTCCTATACTTGACCAGCTCAAGTGGGTCAGATACATTTTCCCACAATACTCATTTCTTCCGTGATCTCGCGATGCCTGCTTTCACTATTCCAGAACGTCCTGTCATTTAGACGAAACGCCGACGAAACTATCGAATGGCTTACTAACAGAATGAGAACAGTTTGTTTATTCATGTTAGGACGGCATTTGGTACTTTGAGGTCGGTTCGAAATTTCATTCGAATGAATAAAAATCCAATCAGTGCTGCGGCTGCATTTTGCAGACTCTTAGTAGATAGCTCTCTACTTCCTACGGTACTAGGAAGCTATCTACTAAAAGGCTGAAAGACCAAGATTGGTCTTTCAGCCAACTTCACTAATACTAGGTAAAGATTACTTAGTATTCGTAATTAATCTACCACTACTCGCGATATAGCATATCTAGTAAACAGTTCACTGTTGTAAAAAAATAAAGCCCCCTCCCACACCCAAAACAATGGACACATGGTGCCACATAGTGTCCCACCCGTGCCCCGCGAGTGAGGGCTATTCAACTAAAGGGGGAGCAGCAGGTGGGGGCCCTAAATTAAAAAGGGGGGGGAGGACGGGACCTATTGTTCCCCCACCCATGGGGGCCTTAAATGACAATTGGGGGGGGGGGAACCTATTGACCTACCAGCCCCCACCCATTAGCGGCAGGTGGGGGACATAAATGAAAAGCACCCTAAATGACAAATTTTAATTAAAAAAATACTTACCATTTGATGTCTTTTTTTCTAAAACCTTGTTTTTATTTATTTACAGGTATTAAGTTTTATTGTTCCTCCCCCCCCCTCCTCTTTTAGGGCCCTCACTAATGGGTGGGGGCTGGGGGGGACACAATAGGTGTCGTCCCCATCCCCCCCCTTTTTTATTTAGGGCCCCCACCAGCCGCTCATGGGTGGGGGCCAAGAGGGACCCTATGCTGCTCTTTTTAGTATACATACCCTTACGGCATAGCGAATAGGGGCATTCGGGAGATTTCAATCTCCCTTATGCTAATATGGGAGTCATATTGACCCCCATATACTGAGGGAGGACATATTTTTATGCCGGTAGCTACCTCCTTGTAATAAATGGAACAAACAAACACACTGATATTTAGTATTTGTTTGTTCATCTTTCTGACGAATGAATGGACAAAATTCTCGTCCGAATTACGGACAATAGCGAATGCCCAAGTGTTTAACATGCGCAGAAATTTCACAGCGCTATCTAGTGTGGGAAGATTACGTGTCCCACAGGGACTTCTTCTTCCCAAACAAAGATGGCGACGCCCAGGACCTAGGTCCAGGCACGATATTAAGTATATAAAAAAAAAAAGTAATATGGGGAACTTAGGGGCATTTAGGGGTTAATTTAGATGTAGGGAGGAAGGTTAAAAAAAAAAAAACTGGATTCGGCCATGACAGTGCCGCTTTAATTATCTCTCCTTCCCTGCTACTCACATCAGTGAGCAGTGATTAGATGAGGTTACGATATATAGAATTATGTCCATGTTGTCTAGTGTTAACTGAGCTGCCTCTGTGCACTGTGACCCTTGAGAGCTAGAAATAAGTATTATTATTATCATCATCATCATCATTGGCATTTTAATATGGCGTCATCAAATTCAGCAGCGGGAGATTTAACAATAAATGAGACAATTACAAAAAGTCACATTGTCTCGTCCTTCTTAGTAAATATACTACAAGGAAAGTGCAAGGTTATGCAGAGAGCTCTCACTTCTGTTGCAGCATACAGAGAGCCTGCTCCCTCCTTTGTAGGCCTTGGGGTCTAGCTTGGCTTTTACTTTGTGTTTAGCCAAAGAGAGCATTTACATTGGCAGCCAGGAAGGCATACTCTCTGAGCGAACGTCAAATTCTCTGTTGCACTGTTCCATGATCTAACCAGAACTTTGTATGTTTTAATCTTAGTGTGATCAGCTAGATGAGACTATATCCAGACTATCCAAGGACAGGCAGCTGCTGGCAAATGCATTGAGAGAGGTAAGAGAATGGATCATTTACTACAAGTGTCCGATTTTAATATTCTGCTGTATCACTCCTCAAATACCTGTACTTTCCCATGGAGCCCAGTACCAATCATCAAAAGGGAAATGGGGCATTTGAGTATTCAAACAATAATGGAGATTTAACAAAGTGTTCTATTCCAAAGCATGGTCTAAAATACTAGTGAGGAAATCACCATGGAAACCAGCAGAACCTGCAGGCACATTCCAGTGGTGACTCCTCTCCTTTTACATTTTCTGCATTACTTTTTGGAACCAGACACTTTAATAACTCTCCCCCACCTACTCATCACACATTGATCTGCTTTCCTCTTTATAACCTTTGCTCCATTAATTCATGTTCTTCAAGTGGAACTATCATTGGTTGAGATTTGCTTTTAACGACCCTCAGAGAAGAGGTGGCGAAGGCAGATACTCCTCTATCTCACCTGGTTTATTCCTAAACCTGGTCTCTGGTTTCTGGCAGCTTCCACAAGGAATGTAGTTCTAGTTGCCTTTTCTCATCAGCGTGACACAAAAGTCTACATTTGGAGGTTGAAGCTCCTTCAAGCACTGCCCATTGACATATCTCTGCGAAGAAAAGAAAATGTTCCCGTAACACTTGTGTCTATTCACTAAATGATGAATTGGCTAAAGCAAACTTGGCTACTTTTATTCGGATCAATTTCTTTAGTTTTTTAAGGTTTGAATTGAGTTAAAGCTATCTCGTTGATTCCGTGGGATTCATGTAAACATTACTCAACTAACTGGGTGCACTTAGGGTTGGTGTAGTGTTAGACGTGCAGGTTCCTTGATCTGGGTCAGGAGAATTAAGTCAACTGAAGGAAGCAAATTCAGTTGCAATTTGGCTGCTTGTGAATAGCAGAAGCAGCCGAAATATATCGAGACCATTGGTGATTTCAACTTGATAGGTTACATTTAGTTAAAACCGCAAAATTGGGGCAACAGCGTTCGTTTTAGTGTTTCTGTTTGAGTGGCGTGGTTGTAAGGCTACCTATTATGTATGGGGACCATGCCCACGCTTGGATGTGATTTATGTACATATTGTATTTATGTATATGTTTTGTATTATGAGTGCAAACAATATATGAAATTATAAATAAATTTGAAAGAAGAAAAAAAAAATTGGGGCAACAGCATTTTGTTCTTCCTCACTGCATTTAGTGAATCAATTTTAGTATTTCTTACTTTGTCTTTTAAGATCTTCTGAGTACATTTGAGTTTCATTGAAATCCTACACTAGTCTCAAAGTAAGATAAAAAGTCAAGTTGCAGCGTCGTATTAATGCCTGTAAGTGACAGAATTGATTTTCGTGCTTCATTCACCAGAAGTTACATATGATACAGTGGTCCATTACACACATACACCAGGCTGCATGATGCAACATTAGGTGATCTTTAACTACCTGACAATAACGTACATCGAGAAATGGAGTTTGCCATCATTTGGCCTCCTTAACACCTGAAATCTACTTTTTGTTGTAGAGTAACTCCTTTTCATATATTCCTAGTTGGAAATGCTTTATATCTTTGAACTGGCAATGGAATAGTCTTTTCAGCTTAAAAGCAAGTAGATTTTTTTTTTTTTTTTTATGTTGGTGCTAAAATAGTCTCTATTAATTGCCAGTGTTTTTACTGCAGTGGATTTATCCAATGTGCGATCAATCAGTCTGCAGTGCCTCATTTCTGAGCAGTGATTAGATAATTGCCATAAAAAACGGATTCTGACAAGATTTGAAAGACCATTTGTTTTTACTTTAAATTAATTTATTTCTTAATGGTGAGGGCTTGGCAAAGCACAGTTTGCATTTTGTTTTTCCTTAATCTGTGTTTGAGAGTCTGCTCTCATATTCTGGACTAGTTGTTTAACTTAAACATACAATTGCAAGCTCCGCAGGCGCCCACAAGAGCTTCAGCGCAACATCATCCTGGAGTCTCACGTCATCTGCTGCACTTTGAGTACCAGTGGTGGTTTCCTTTTGGAGTCTGCCTTCCGACAGCTGGGTCAGGAGCCATTCAGCTGCGTTATTGTGGATGAGGTGAGTCTTCCTTATGATTTCTTCCCATTGCAACATGTTTTGGTAATGAATGTATTAACTCTGTATTTAACTCTGTCATACAAAAATATTACATGGGCCCAAGATTACAGGTTGGCGTTGCAGCCTGGCACAGCTTCCCTTTAGCTGAGAGCTGCTGAAACTTGCTTATAGGCTATTAAACAGTAATTCATTCCAAGTGCCCAGTGAACTCATTTAAAGTTCTGCTTGCTCATTCAGGTGTGCAGGAGGCAGGATTCCATGTTGTCTGTCACACACTAAAATTGTGTGCCTTGAACGACTGACCTTGGTTGCATGTACCAATCTTCTGCGACATATACCATCCCAAAATGACTGACGTGTCCCATATTTTAAAATAAATTAATTAAAACAAAAATCCTTTGTTGTTGTTGGACCCATTGAGGGACTCTCTTCGCCATATTCTTTATTTAAAAAAAATAAATAAAAAAATTCTTCTTCCTGCCCAGGCTGGACAGTCCTGTGAAGTAGAAAACCTTATTCCGCTTCTCCACCGATGTTCGAAATTGGTTTTAGTTGGAGATCCAGAGCAGCTGCCGCCTACAGTTATTTCTGTGGTAAGAATCCTTGTTGAGAATATCTAGCACGTAACACGTTACCTAAAAGAAGAGCAGAGTTCTGAGCGTCTTCTTAGGCCCATCATAATTGTTTTTAACATTGTCTTTATCAAGGTTGCTTGGCATCAAGGTATTTCATTTTTATGTTTTGCATAATTAATATGGTTCAGTGATCGGTTTCTTGTTCAATAGTTTCAGACATGAGTTAAGTGCCCAAGCAATTCATGCAGATTGACGTTTTCTTCCCATAGCCACTGGTTCACAAAATAATTCCCCTCTTCTTTAGTATTCTTTTTGGAGCTTTTGCTCATGACTGAGTCTTCATTAGATGATGTTGGGGAGTCTATGCTTTCAGATTTTCTCCTTTTCTTCCAATGTTAACAAAAATACCTGACAGAGTAGACAAATGGGCTTAAATGAAGGTACACCTTGAGAAGTTGACGGCAATGTTATCGGTAAAAAAACATTATGAATGTAAAATATTCTATTGTATGTCCTCTTACATACCTTGACTTACTGTATAACTGTATCATTCCTTGATTTTTGTACTCCCTGTCAGTCAAGAATAAAGAATTGAGGGGAAAAAAAAAGTTATTTGCAACTGCACATCTATAGGGTTTATGGCTGACTCACCAGGCTTGAATTACTATTCGCCAAGGGCTAGTGGAAATGTTGAACCCTGCAAGACTTCTAAACATTGAATGGACACACTAGGCACATTAAAGGAACACTATAGTGTAAGGAACACAAACATGTATTCCTGACCGTATAGTGGTAGAATGACTATTTATGTGTCTATCTTTACGTGAAAAGATGATTTTACTCACCCTTTTTCCAGTGTTGCGCTGATCATGCCTGTGGGGAGCGTTCAGCTCGAGACGCTGAGCGCCAGGGCTACACACTGCAGCACTGACTTGGGAAGCACCTCTAGTGGCCATCTGAGTGACTGTCACCAGAGGTATCCCTAGGCAGTAATGTAAACACTGCCTTTTAATACATTAAAAAGCCTGCAGGGAGAGGCCATAGACCTTAGCTGTAGTTGTTCTGGTGAGTATAGTGTACCTTTAACCACATACCCACATCTATGTTCTTGCATATCTTTTTTGTTATGAGGAACTTCCCTGTCCCACCTCAGTCAGTTGATTTATAGCTGTAACTAAACATCCACCCAGCGCTCTGTGGTTGCTACGCTCCCTGTAACTTGTTTTAAAGCTTTGCATGTATATTTGTGCTACCATATTTGCTAGCAAATGTATAGATTTATTTATTTCCCTTTGTATTTTCCTGACCTTTCACCTTCTTGTATATTTGGACTTACTGGTGCTACAGTAGCATCCCTGAACCCATAGCTTGTGGCTAAATGCCAGGCCTTGTGATTAACTGGTTTGGCATTAAGGGTCGGGGGGTGCATGCGTAGTCTCCATGTTTATTCCAGATTTTCATAGTGGTCATAGTGATCTTCAGTTATCTATATCTATTTAATGTATAAGTTATCTGGTAAATTCATCCATTAATATGGATATTATCATTTAATGATTTATTGATGGATAAATGTAATTGCCGTTTTGAGTTCAAGGGTGATTTACCTGTTAACATGTTTATTCTCCAGAGAGCTGAGGAATTGGGTTATGGGCAGTCTCTGATGTCCAGACTTTGCAAGCATATGCAAAGCTTAAGTACAGAGTCACCAGTCCTGCAACTAACTGTTCAATATCGCATGCATCCAGACATCTGCCTCTTTCCATCAAACTACTTCTATAAACGAATCTTGAAGACAGACAGGTAGCTAAAATGACCCGATGCATATACATCACTCTGATAAAACAAACAAAATGAGTAAACCTGGTGTTCACCTTTGCTTTTAATGTACTTCACAGGGCGATCGAAGAAGTCAGGTGCTCCATAGATTGGCCTTTCCAGCCGTACATGGTGTTTGACGTGGTAGATGGCTTTGAGAAGAAAGAGAGAGAGTAGGTATCTTAATCCTCTAATAAGGAGGACAGTTTATCAGACCCATCAGCAAATGCTGTTACAGCTTTTCCTTTTCCCCTCATCCAACCTGCATAGTAATTAATTAGCGGAGAGCACTGGGTCAGGAATTTGTATTGGAGCACCAAAATGGTTTGACAAAGAAAAAGTAGGACAGCGTCTGTAAGTTCTTTACACCATAGCCTGTATACTTGGGGGCTTATGATGCTCCATTTAAGTAGAATTGTGTGTCTTAAACACAAACCACAGTTGTCTAGATAAATCTATACATCTTTTTTAGTATCATGTCTTTTCTTGCTGTCTCTTTAAAAAAAAAAAACAACAGTGCTTTCACAAGGACCCCAAATGCCTTCTTTTCTTTACCGATAGATCATTTTCAAACCCTCAGGAGATTAAAATGGTAGTAGCACTTATGAAACTTATTAAAAGCAAGAAGAAGGAGTTTAGCTTCCGGAACATTGGCATTATCACTCCATACCGTGCTCAGAAGATGATGATCATCGAAGAGCTCAGGAAAGCATTTGGAAATGACCCTATGTGAGTAAATACCCAATGTACAGCGCTACGGAATGTGATGGCGCTATATAAATAATAAAAAAATAATAATAAAAGGATTTGTCTTGTGCAGTTAGTGTTTGTGCTGGAGGGGTTTATTTGTTAAAGAAGTATGCGTTAGATGCAAGACTGTTTGCCGTGAAAGTGAGAAAATGTAGGATATGTTTTTAATTTATTTTTAATGCATTGTGGCCTTCCCTCCCCCCACATTTTAGTAGGTATTTAAAGGAACAGTCACTTCTCTGAATATCACTAAATATCATTAAATTAAGCGCAACAAATAACTTATAACTTGCGTTAAGAATTTCTTTGTATGATGCTCTGCAATAATAGAAGTAAAATTTATAATATAAATGTATGTTAAAGGAGTTGGCTATCGACATCACAATCTAATTAAGTCCTGGCATAGGCAAAACATCCATTGCATTGTTCCTGTTTTCTCGCTCTCACTCTCTCTCCCTCCGTCCCTGTCTCCCTCCTTTATGTAGGCGGTCTTTCAAACGTATGTGCAGTTAATGTGCTAGGCACATGGTGGCAGCAAAACACTATACATTTAGAATGGCTTTTGTCCATAATTTCCTGTAACCAGCAGATGCTCATATTTAAAATACATGTTTTACCCAACTGATGACCTCTTCTTTTCCAGCCCAGGGGAAGTGGACACAGTAGATGGTTTTCAGGGTCGACAGAAAGATTGTGTTATTGTGACATGTGTCCGTGCCAACTCCACTCAAGGTGCTATAGGGTGAGTAACAACAAGTTCTCTGTTTGGATTATAGTTATTTGTGCCCTGTTTAATTTCTCTTTTATGTTTGATTTTAGGTTTCTTGCAAGTCGCCAACGTCTGAATGTTACAATCACTAGAGCCAAGTTTAGTCTTTTCATCTTGGGCAGTCTCAGAACCCTTATGGTAAGAATCCCTTTCCCATTGCAGAATTGTTTCTCTTTAGAATAAAGAATTTAGAACATTATGTTACATCACATTCTTGGGAAAATCATGACATTCATGGGAAAAATTGCATAGATATTTAAAAAGAACCCGGAGAGGCTTAAATAATAATAATATGAATTGCTTAAGCTTGTCTTATTCGCTGAAGCTTGTCTTATTGTTTCACATTAAAAAAAAATTCTTCCTGATGTAGTCACAGTCCTATTCTCGTACGTCTCTCTTCTACTGGAGACATTCATAATTTCTTGTAGACTTTGCTGCTGCTCCTCCTGTAAACCTGACATTTTAAGACTTCAGTTGGATGATATTGTATTGATTAATATAAAGGGTTAGCCACATAGAATCCATTTTCCCTAAAAGTTGTCACGTGTTTATCAGGATGACACAAGCCAGTCTTGGCACAACTCTCTATGAAGCGTTCTAAATGCTTAAAAACATACACCAATTAGTTTACAGCTGTGTCATTATCATTGTAGGTTTGTTCCTGTTTGAAAAGCGTCAGTCTAGAGAATAATCAATGCAATGGTTCCTTGTATTTAGATTACTTTCAGTACCCTTTATGTATTTTAAAAAGTTTATTCTCTTACCAGTTTTAAAAATATTGTCATCTTCTTTCTAATGTTCTGATGTCTTGGCTGCAGGACAATGTGGACTGGAATAATCTGATCCAAGATGCACAGAGACGCGGTGCCCTTATTAGAACTAAAGAGGAGACCTACCAGAAAGATGTCAATAAAATACTCAAGCTCAAAACTGTTGTTCAGCGTCCATCTTACCATTCAAGCTCTAGACCTGATGATAGAAGTCGACATAACTCATCTCACACCCCTCAAAACAAAATACTAAGGGAGCCAAATAAGCCTCCAAGAAATGTTCAGCAACCAACACATAGGCAGCCTATGGCACACCAGGCTGTGGACCACAGAAGGGACCCAATTAAAAACTTGCAGTGCACCTCTGTTGTTCCAACACCATCTTCAGTTCCAACACCACTTTCAGTTCCAACACCATCTTCAGTTCCAACACCACTTTCAGTTCCAACACCACCTTCAGCCACTAGAGAGAAGCCAAAAGACCCCAGGTTGGCACGTCGGCAGAATAGCACAAGTGAACCACAGGGGAGCAATGCTTTACCAGGGGATTCTCCATACAGTTCCACTGTAAATCGTGAGCACCATGGTAACCATTACCAACCATCTGCACCTTCAATAACAGACAATAGACAACCTCAGTATCAAAACCCTGGATCTGTCAACCAGGGTCATGGACACTACTACAGAGACAGAGATTATCGAATGCAAAACCCAATCTCTGAAGCGGGCCACGAGGCCAAGAAGAGAAAGATCCTCTAACTGGCTTTTCATCATGGTCTTCTTTGGCAGGACATTGAAGTAAAAAAAAAAACAAAAAACAATACTGTTCTGTTTTGTAAAGTACTCCAAACCTTTGTAATTAACCCTTTCTATGCAAGAATTTGAAAAGGGAAGGAATCCCAGGTTCACCAAAGAAGTCTTTACCTGTTGAAACATATGGGATTATTGTATAATAAATGTAATTACTAGTGTAAGATAGTTGTGCAGTTATATTATAGAAGTGCTTCGGGGGATATGAGTGTATTTTATTGTAGATTGATTTTATAATGGTGAAAAGCCAACTGTTTCTTGGTTGTCTGATACATGTTAGTTTGTTTTGTTTTTGTTGCCCCATTTTGTCTCATCATGGACACTAGCTGCCTGACCTGTACTGATCTGTCAGCTTTTGCAAAAACCATTCCTTGTTTTCTTAGCCACTTAGACTGCCTTACACAGTGCGTTTGTCCAACTTTTTGCTCTCAAATTCCTAGTGTGTTTCTTTTTTTGTTTTGTTTGTGTGTTTTTTTTGTTTTTTTTTTACATCTTATGTTCTTGGTAAACCTTATTCTCAATAGCTTGAAATGACACTATCGCAATGGTTAAATGTCAGATATATGCAGGCACATATTTTTTTCCCCCTCTCTCCACCCAAAAACCATTATCAAAATAGGGAGAAAATTTAATAAATTCAGCTCCTTTTTTTTTCCAACGGATGGTATTTATTGTACTTGGAATATGTTAATGCTTGTACAGAATAGTTGATATGGAACAATTTGCACTTACTACATAAGTTTGTATTTTCGGAATTTACTTTGCTCTACCTAAGCTACCATACATTTTTTTTTATTTTTTTGGTGTTGCAGTCCTTGATCTCTAAAAGGGACATTGTAGGCACCATAACAGCTTAATCTCATTGAAGTAGTTATAGTGTCTGGAGACCGCTGGCACCACCCTTCCATTTAAACCATATTGTAATCTTGAACCGTTGTTAATGCTATATTAGTGTTCCCAGCAGCTCATCCCCTCTATGCTGCTTGGGCTAATGGGGAAGTATCAACTTGAGCAGCAGTGGATGTCTGTGATGGGCTAAGAGTGTCAGCTGACTGCTTTCAGCCTATCACAGTGCTTATTAAGTATGAATTGGTATGGCTAGAAAGAGGTGTGCAATCTCTGTGGGAAACTAGAAACACACTTTCATTGTTGAGCTGTTCGAAAATGGATTAGCACTGAATGGAGGGACAGTGCCAGGGGTCTCTATGCGCTAAAATTAATTTGACGAGATGACATAGTTATTGTGCCTACAGTGTCCCTTTAAAGTTCTGAATTAGATCTTCACTCCTTGATGAATTTATATGTAGTTACATAGCCTAAAAAGAGACATGCGACTATCAAGTTCAGGCTTACATGTTTTAACCGGTTCTTGTCGTCACAGAAGCCTGCAAGTTTTAATTGGCATGCGAAGAACCAAAGGCAATTGTGGCGCTCATACAAGATAAGTCCTATTAATCAACACACACTTTTTGCACCAACACTAGTTGTAGTTCTGAAAAGCCCAGGATGCTTGGCTTGCAGAGCATTATGGGAAATGACACAGAGTAACAGCTGGAAAGCAGCCTCTTGGCTCTACCTGACTTCAAAGTCAACCACAATTCTGCATATTTTAAATTATTGATGCCTGTAGGGTCCAAGGTCAGTCACTGCTTCCAAGATATAAAGTGGAATTACCCTGTGCAGAAGAAATGGAAGCATGTTTTGACTGTGTAATTAAAGGGACACTCCAGGCACCCAGACCACTTCTGCCCATTGGAGTGGTCTGGGTGCCAACTCCCACTACCCTTAACCCTGCAAGTGTAATTATTGCAGTTTTTTATAAACTGCAATAATTACCTTGCAGGGTTAACTCCACCTCTAGTGGCTGTCTACTACTAGACCGCCACTAAAGGGCACTTCCGTGGTTCTAGCACAGATTTTGTTAGAGCGTTGCTGGACGTCCTCACGCTGTCTGAGGACCTCCAGCGGCGCTCAATTCCCCATAGGAAAGCATTGAAAGCATTTTTAAATGCCTTCCTACGGGGAGCTCTAATGCGCATGCGCGGTATTAGGTCTCCCCGGCGGGCGGGATCAGACCTTTTACGTTACAAGAATTTCTTTATTATGTTTATCTGCCCATTTTGGGTAATTTTTATACATTGTTGACATTTTTAATTCTGTATGTTCATAATGTGTTTAAAGGGATGCAAAAAAACATAAATTAAAAATAATACCTAAAGATGATACTCACAATTTTGGAATCCTCATAATGTGCAGCTTTTGAAATGCGCTCTGGCCAAACCAGAAGTGTCACTCGTGGTGTAAACATTACTTTTTTAGCATTGCGTATGGACACAGCGAGTTTATAGTTCACTTGTCAGCTTTTTGCTATAAGAAAGGAAAAGCTGAACTACAACTCCAGAATTGTAGCTAAAATAGAAAAATTTGTGAGAGCAGAATAATAAAAAAAAAGTTACATACTGAAATATATATATCGGATGCCAAAATACCAGAGTATTGCAGTATGCAATGATACCTTTTTTTATTGGACCAATATAATATTTCAAAGACAAGCTTTCGAGAGTTTTCCTCTCTTAGCTCTGAAGCAATACTGATTAATCTGATAGGTACATAGCTGAAAAGAGACTTGCGTCCATCAAGTTCAGCTTTCCTCACATTTGTTTTTTGCTGTTGATCCAAAAGAAGGCAAAAAAATTTTTGCAACAAGCTAGGAAATATTTTTCCTTCTTGACCCCAAAATGGCAGTCAGATCAATCCTTGGATCAAGCAGTTATTACCTTACATTGAAAAATTATATAATTGAATATTCTGTTTTTGCAAGTATGCATCTAGTAGCTGTTTGAACATCTGTATGGACTCTGATAAAACCACTTCTTCAGGCAGATAATTCCACATTCTTATTGTTGTAAAAAACCAAAAAAATGTTCCTTTGCCTTAGACGAAATCTTTCTTCCAGTCTAGACCTCATGTTCTATGTAAAATCCGGTTTGTGAATAGATTTCCACACAATGGTTTGTATTGGCCCAGAATATATTTGTATAATGTTATCATTTGTGTTAACCTTTCTTCACAGCTGATATGTTATTATTATTATACAGCTGATATGTTCCATTCCTTTTATTAATTTTGTAGCCTCTGCACTTTTTCTAGTGCCATAATATCCTTCTTTAGAACAGGTGCTCAAAATTTCACAGCATATTCAATATGTGGTCTTACCAGTGATTTAGAAAGAGGCAAAATGATATTCTCGTCCTGAGAATGAATGTCCTTTTTCATGCATGACAATACCTTACTGGCCTTGGCCACTGCTGATTGACATTGCACATTGTTGCATAGTTTGTTGTCTATAACAATTCCCAAGTCCTTTTCATGTGTTGTTATCCCTAATTCGCTTCCATTAAGGGTATACGTTGCTTGTGCATTCTTTACGCCGAAGTGCATAACTTTGCATTTTTTTACATTAAATTTCATCTGCCATTTGAATGCCCAGTCCCCCGTCTATCTAAATCCTTCTGCAGCAAAGTAATATCTTGATAACCTTTCAGATATTTTCCCAGCCACAGAAGTTAAGCTCACAGGGCTATAATTTCCAGGCAAGGATTTTGAACCCTTTTTGAATATAGGAACCGTATCTGCCTTTCTCCAATCCTCTGGAACACTTCCTGAAAGAAAAGAATCTTGAAAGATTAAAAACAGAGATTTGCTTGTTTCTTCACTTAGTTCTTAAAGGACCACTCTAGGCACCCAGACCACTTCAGCTTAATGAAGTGGTCTGGGTGCCAGGTCCTTCTAGGGTTAACCCATTTTTTTTTATAATCATAGCAGTTTCAGAGAAAATCACAGTGAGAGCACGCAAGCGTCCATAGGAAAGCATTGTAAATGCTTTCCTATGCGACCGGCTGAATGCGCGCGCAGCTCTTGCCGCGCGTGTGCATTCAGCCGACGGGGCGGATCGGTGGAGGAGAGGAGGCAGAGAGCTCCCCGCCCAGCGCTGGAAAAAGGTACGTTTTTACCCCTTTCCCCCTTCCAGAGCCGAGCGGGAGGAGGTCCCTGAGGGTGGGGGCACCCTCAGGGCACTATAGTGCCAGGAAAACGAGTATGTTTTCCTGGCACTATAGTGGTCCTTTAAGTACTCGTGGATGGATACCGTCAGCCCCTGGAGCTTTGTTTATATTAACTTTCTTTAGTCGCCGCAGCCCCCTGTCTTGAGTTAACCAATTACAATTATTCTGCAAGTTTTTAGCAGCAATCATTTGCACATCTATTGCCATAGGTTCTTCAAATAGTTATTTAAAATTCCTGCCTTTTCCTGGTTTTCACTCCCATTTCAGTTTTTAGTGTACCTACACTTTCATTTTTTGTTTTTTTAGAATGTATGTACTTAAAGAATGCTTTGGGGTTGGTTTTGCTCTTTTTGGCTATAATTTTTTCATTTTGAAGTTTAGCGAATCTAATCGCCCTTTTGCACATATTTGCACATATTATTGGCTTCCTTATATCTTTTTATAGGATACATCTGATTTGTCCGATTTAAATGCCCTTTTCTTATTTTTAATCTCTTGTTTTACTTCTCTACTAAGCCACATTGGTTTTAATTTGTTTCTTTTATAATTTATTACCCAGTGGTACATACTGATAAATGTACCTTTCTAAAAACTTTGGGAAGATGTTCCATTTATCCTCAGTGTTCTTTTCACTAAGGTGTTTATGCCAGTCAATATATTGTAAAGCTGCCCTTAACTTATAGAGTTAATACTAAAAAAAGGTATCATTGCATACTACAATACTCTGGTACTTTGGCATCTTGTCTACTGGACTAATACGGCTAATCCAATCTACAATATATATACTGCTCTAAAAAAATAAAGGGAACACAAAAATAACACATCCTAGATCTGAATGAATTAAAAATTCTTCTGAAATACTTTGTTCTTTACATAGTTGAATGTGCTGACAACAAAATCACACAAAAATTAAAAAATGGAAATCAAATTTTTCAACCCATGGAGGTCTGGATTTGGAGTCACACTCAAAATTAAAGTGGAAAAACACACTACAGGCTGATCCAACTTTGATATAATGTCCTTAAAACAAGTCAAAACGAGGCTCAGTAGTGTTTGCGGCCTCCACGTGTCTGTATGACCTCCCTACAATACCTGTGCATGCTCCTGAGGAGGTGGCGGATGGTCTCCTGAGGGATCTCCTCCCATACCTGGACTAAAGCATCTGCCAACTCCTGGACAGTCTGTGGTGTAACGTGACGTTGGTAGATGGAGTGAGACATGATGTGCTCAATTGGATTCAGGTCTGGGGAACGGGCGGGCCAGTCCATAGCATCAATGCCTTCGTCTTGCAGGAACTGCTGACACACTCCAGCCACATGAGGTCTAGCATTGTCTTGCATTAGGAGGAACCCAGGGCCAACCGTAACAGCATATGGTCTCACAAGGGGTCTGAGGATCTCATCTCGGTAACTAATGGCAGTCAGGCTACCTCTGGCGAGCACGTGGAGGGCTGTTCGGCCCCCCAAAGAAATGCCACCCCACACCATTACTGACCCACTGCCAAACCGGTCATGCTGGAGGATGTTGCAGGCAGCAGAACGTTCTCCACAGCGTCTCCAGACTCTGTCACGTCTGTCACATGTGCTCAGTGTGAACCTGCTTTCATCTGTAAAGAGCACAGGGCGCCAGTGGCGAATTTGCCAATCTTGGTGTTCTCTGTTAAATGCCAAACGTCCTGCACGGTGTTGGGCTGTAAGCACAACCCCCACCTGTGGACGTCTGGCCCTCATACCACCCTCATGGAGTCTGTTTCTGACCGTTTGAGCAGACACATGCACATTTGTGGCCTGCTGGAGGTCATTTTGCAGGGCTCTGGCAGTGCTCCTCCTGTTCCTCCTTGCACAAAGGCAGAGGTAGCGGTCCTGCTGCTGGGTTGTTGCCCTCTTACGGCCCCCTCCACGTCTCCTGATGTACTGGCCTGTCTCCTGGTAGCGCGTATATGCTCTAGACACTATGCTGACAGACACAGCAAACCTTCTTGCAACAGCTCGCATTGATGTGCCATCCTGGATGAGCTGCACTACCTGTGCCACTTGTGTGGGTTGTAGACTCCGTCTCATGCTATCACTAGAGTAAAAGCACCGCCAGCATTCAAAAGTGACCAAAACATCAGCCAGGAAGCATAGGAACTGAGAAGTGGTCTGTGGTCACCACCTGCAGATCCACTTGTTTATTGGGGGTGTCTTGCTAATTGCCTATAATTTCCACCTGTTGTCTATCCCATTTGCACAACAGCATGTGAAATTGATTGTCACTCAGTGTTGCTTCCTAAGTGGTCAGTTTGATTTCACAGAAGTGTGATTGACTTGGAGTTACATTGTGTTGTTTAAGTGTTCACTTTATTTTTTTTTTGAGCGGTGTATATATATATATATAAATGTTTTTTTGTTTTTTTTAAATAAACATACTAATTTGACTTAACATATGAGTACTTGGAGTGTCCATTTGACAAAGCACACTGTTTAGTAATGATCCTATGTGTGCACATCTCCAGGAAGTGTTGGCGTGTCCAGCACTAAGGCGTTGAATCTCAGGCGATAATGCACTAGTCTGTGCATTCATTATATTGGAATCAGGAAATATTTGTGTTCAGGTCGTGAATTTGAAGTCGTGTTCTGATGAGCTAGAAATGCTCTCATTATGCAGTTACTATTTACTAAAGTGTGAATTATCAAGAATTGGAAGGGAATTTTACATTCCATACCACAATTTTGCCTAAAATATTTAACTCCTCCTGCTAAATTGCCACTTTATTACATAATTGTGAGCATTTTGTACACTTTACAACTTCATTTTCTTATAGCACTATACTACACCTGTATCACATATACAGCCAGCACAAAATTGTACACCTTGCCTCCCCTGTACAGCATTACTCTTACACCTTATTATATGCACCAACAACTTATGTTATGAGTGCCCAATAGATAGATCTCCAGATGTTTTAAAACTACATTACTAAAGGCATTCCAAGGGCATGTAAAGCATCATGGGAGTTATAGTTCTACAACCTCTAGGTATCTACCTTTTGGGTACCTCTTCGGCTTATACCATTTTGTAGTTCTTAAGCAATAACTTTTATTCTTGGTATTCAAGTTGAGGTAGAGATTGGTCTATAAAGTACCATCGCCAGCCTTCTCATCCACTCACACACTTCTGTTTTGTCGCATTTTTTGTATGCCATCAAAATGACTCAATGGGTTGCTTTCGTCTGTTGGTAAGATTTGACCTTTTTGTTTTTAGCAGCACACACAAGATACGCAAAAAAGAGTAAATTATCCCAAATAAGTTTCCTGTTGTTCTGTTGTATCAGGATAAAAGATCACGTGTAGAACCAGAACGATGGTTTTATAGCAGTTCAGACAAACCGCAGCTTCTATGATACTTGATTGCCCCACGCCAAGTCTGAATGTAACAGCAGGCTGCTATTAAAACCATTTTACCTATGACTTTGGTTTGGTATTTTTGTTTGTTTGTTTTATGGCAGTTTCTTTTTCTATCAAAGTGTGTTTTGAAATGATTGGATCCTGAATTTTGGCTCTTTGTAAAGTAAATGATCCTTAATTACATGAAACAAGTAAGACTACCGTTTTTGTAATCTACATTATACTCGGTTATAAGCAGGACATGCAATTTTTAAAATTTTAAAATGTTAGTATATTTCTCAGGACTGAACATGCATCCCATAAACAATTTGCCGATGTTAGGTTATGTACATTTATTTATATAATTTAACTTTGCAGCATATTAACCCCTGTTAGGGCAGTTTTTGCAGCACTATATAAATTGGGCTTTAAAGCAGCACTGTCATCGCCACCCCTCTACTGACTCCTCTAAAATTTATTGTCCCCCCCAAATGCCTCTAGGGCACCTTCCCCCCCTCTCCCCCCCCCCTCCCCCCACTGCTTTGTTTCTTCTCCGAATCTATTTCCTAAATAACTTAGCATCTTAGTGTTCCTGGAAATGCCGTTTACCGCATCGCCTTCATTTGCCCACACTAGCTCGTGCTGTCAGATTCAGAGGACGTTTAGAAGGAGCGAAAAGTGGTAATGCGAGAATATGGATGAAAGGTGAGTATTCTGAAAAACTTTTCTAGACCGAGTAATTGGAGTTTACTTAAGCTCCACCCATAGACTAAAAGAGTCAGGGCTGGGAAAAAAATACATCCCTACTTTGTCTTTTGTATTTTGTTGGAACTAAATTAAAAAGAAAGACTGAGTAGGAAAGAGGAAGTGGTTAGGAAAAGGTAAGTACTCTGTGACAGTGTTGCTTTAATAGCTGTAGGGAGGCATAGTGTGCCCTGAAGATTTGGTGTGTGCTCACGCCAAGGAGTGGACTTCCCTCTGTCAGCTGGGCCATTTTTAGTGGACCCCTAGAATTTTAGCCCTTGAAATAGGCAAATACTGTTGAGTACTTTACAATAGATATTTTTTAAAAATTTAGTTTTTTTTTAAAATATATATATTTAGAATTTTGCAATCAAAAACTATATACATTGTGTTAAAAGTATGTGAAAAATTGGGTTATATTAGAACTTTTCTCCCCGGTCCACTTCAGCTGTTACTGTTGGAATATGACTCGGAATGCATTTTATGCAAATTAACCTCCTGTTTTACCACTGATTAACCAAATAACTTGTTTAGTAACATGTCAGATGATTGATCCACATGGAAAACCCATTATTGCATGACAAAACTCCAGTATTAATGACCTACAGATTCTGTAGTAATATGGATTTAGATATATTAAATTGACACAGGTTTCTCAAAATGTATGGAATGAATGGGGCCATTTAGAAGAAATATTAGGGAGAACATTCTTGTAAATTCTAATCCTAATCTTGTCCACAGATTAGTCTATTGACCTTTAATGTTAAACATATCCTTTGTGATCAGACCTTTTATTAAAGAAACACGCCAGGCACCTAAACCATTTTAGCATGTGTGACGTGTGTCATCTTTTTAATATTTTATTTTACAAAGTGCAGATTTCAACAGAAATTGACACTTTTATAAGTCAACCTAATTACACTCACTGGCTGTCAATCAGGCAACAGGTCCTGTTACTTCCTGGTTTGTTTAGCTCAGTGGAGCTAAACTCAAGAGACAGCAATTGCTCAGAGCACCTGCTTTGCAAAGACCTCTTCTTGACCTGCATTTGGAATTCTGTGATTGGACAGACACATAAAGTCTGGGTGGAGTTAGAAGGGGAGGGCTTACAAAGGCTTTGGGTGAGATCTGCAGCTTTTACAAGCTGATATTAGATATATCCCCAAGGAAATGAAATCCACTAATAAATGCATGCTTGTTTTCATCGGGGGTATGTCTACTAAATGTATGTTTGTGTGTATATACATATATATGTATATAAAAATATACAGGGCCGGCACAAATATCGTACTGCCTGGGTCCAAGGATGGAATGCGGCCGCCCTCCTCCCCCAACAAAAGCACATCCACCAAAACACACCCAGGTCCATTATGTTATACAGCGTCTTTGTAAGGGATGCAGTGTGTAGTATATGCACTGTGTGTTTGTGGTGGTAAGTTAAATGTTGAGGTGAGCAGCTGTTTTTTATTTTTAACTATTTCTTCTTCCCCCTTCTTTGCTTGTGGGCAGCGAAAGGGGTACTTGATTCCGTGGTGGTCCAATGGAGCAGGACAGTGAAGAGGGGGCCTGGGATAGTTGCCGTGGGTTGCTATGGCAATGCTCCAGCATGCATTGCGTGCCGCGTGGATAATTGCCATGGCAACCCGTGACAACGCTTTTGCGAGAGTAGTGGACTTGCTGCTGCTGGAGGTGTAAGATTACTCTCACAGGCCCCTTTTCATTGTATACACTAGCAGGTGCCCGAAACTGCCCATATATATTGAGGTACTTGTTATATATATGCAAATAGATGGCCCAGGTCCCTCACTTGTTAAAGGTACATTGGCGGCAAAATGCCGCCACTGTCAGTGTGCTGGACAGGCCGGCCCTTTATTTATATAGATATATATCTCCCTAAAACTATATTATGATCCATGAACAGAGCATATTACCCTATGGAATGGTCATTATCATTGGCACTCAGGAACCAGCAAAATAGTCCAGAGACTTGAGCAGCATTTGGCAGCATTTACTCATGAGTTAGCCCCTTCTCTCAATGCCGAAAGGACAGGAAAAAGTACTCTAAAATTACATACACATGGTCAATTATTTATCTCACCAATAAAATTCCATAAACCATCTGAAAAACATATATTGGCAAATATAGTGCAAACCATCTGATATCAAATTTATAGTTGTGCACACTTATTATAAAATATTGAGAGTTTACACTCACATTTCCCAGAGCCTAATCAACCCTGGCTCTGGGTGAGAAAGGCTCCTAGGGAAATAAAAATTCCACAATTGGATATTCCAGTCGACCCAAGCACGATCTGCAACACTGTGTGGGAGACACAAACCAAGAACAAGCCAATGGCACAGTATAAAAGATACATTTATTAATACCAAGATTAAAACTGCTTTTTGCAGCATTGCACAAAATCCCACCACAAACGCTTTTTTGTAAAATCCGGCTGCTTTTATCACTTCCATGTATCGGATCCTGCCTCTGCCCCTGCATGACGGAACGCGTTTCACCCATGTGCCCAGGGCTTCCTCAGACGTCTTATCGCTGAAGACCCAGCAACAGCACATCTGTATGAGTCGCCAGCCTGAGTAACCCCTTTAGTGACTGGGGGTTGGACCCAATCTCTCCCTCAGGGGATGAATGTAGTCCACTGCATACAAAAGGCTTAACTAGGGTTTGGCCTCTAATCCCTGAAGACCCAGCAACAGCACATATCTATGAGTTGCCAGCCTGGGTACCTCCTTCATCTGCCAGGGGTTTGACCCAACTTTCTCCCTCAGGGGATGAAAGCGGTCCACTGCATAGGCTCAGCTTGGGCTAAATGATAAGTGGCTTAAGGGGCCACTATAAGCATTGTTACTGCTTCATCTTAATGAAGTCGTTATAGTGTCTGGAGGCCCCTGATTCCCTCCTTCCACTGTTTTAACTATTTTAATGCTAAACGAGAGTCCCAGCAGCTCGTCCCACTGCTTGGGCTAACGCAGAAGCATTTGTCTAAACAGCAATGATTGGATGAGAGTATCAGCTGACTGCTTAATGAATTGGTAACTAAGACTAAAGAAGTGTGTAATCTCTGCTAAATCTAAAATCACACTGTGCAGCACTTTAATTTTTTCCACGATGCATTTCCTTTAAAGATGAAAATACACTTTTTGTGCCATTTACTGCTCATTGCAATGGGACTGGGTGGTACACATTCGTACATACATTAGAGATGTGTATGCAGCAATTTAGTAGCTAAATACAAACACCAAACAATACATGTAAATAAAATATAAATAAATGGCTTTATATATATATATTTGTTTTTTGACCAGTGGGTACACTTGAGTGATAGGTTTTACTTAAAAGGGGCACTGATGGAGGCTATGGGTGCTGTGCAAACTATTTGTCAAATTGTTTGGCCACTGTTCAACAAAAACTGTGTACCTTCTTTGCACTCTCTCCCATCCCGTCATCATCAGTTCTGTACAACCTGGAGGAAGATGATATTGCTGGAGAACTCTGGGGTGAGTTAGTCCAAAGCTTTCTGTCTGTCAATCAAGAAGTCCTCAAAATGCACTCTGTAAGGCCAGTTCAAAGCATTTCTTTCCAAGTGAGAGGGCTTCTACAAAACTAGCTTCTCTTATATGTGCACCTACCTTTATACATTCCATTGACGTGTATTTCTTCACAGGCCCCCTCAATATTGTTATTATTATTGCCATTTATATAGCGCCAACAGGTTCCGTAGCACTTTACAATATTATGAGAGGGGGGATTTAACTATAAATAGGACAATTACAAGAAAACCTACAGGAAGATAGGTTGAAGAGGACCCTGCTCAAACGAGCTTACAGTCTATAGGAGGTGGGGTATAAAACACATTAGGACAGGAAATAGTAATCAGATAGGGTGGGAGTGAAGCAGAGCTGGAGGAGAGAGCAAGAGAGAGGTATGTGAGGTAGAGGTTACTCTGGGAGGCCATAAGCTTTCCTAAAAAGATGTGTTTTAAGGCACTTTTAAAGGATTGTAGACTAGGGGAGACTCTGATGGCGGTAGGCAGGCTATTCCATAGGGAAGGAGCCGCCCGCGAGAAGTCCTGCAAACGTGAGTTGGCTGTATGGGTGCGAGCAGCGATCAGGAGGTGATCACGGGTGGAGCGGAGGGAACGAGGAGGGGCATACCTATGAATCTGTGAAGAGATATAAGAGGGGCTAGAGTTATTCAGTGCTTTATATGTATGGGTTAGCACTTTGAATTGAACAATTACTATTGTTAGAACAAATATGTGTTTTAGTACGTGGTG